CGGCATTGCACAGTGAATCATTTGACATAATTTCGTGACCATAATCCAGCAGAGCAATTTATTTATTACTGTAAACGACTAATACAGCGGCACCATAAATATCTCAAATTTTAGATTGTACGGTAGGTTTGTAGGTAGTACCTACTAGGTACATAAAAATTGTATATTTATATAGGTATATTTACATACATAAATACATATTTGAATATACATATACATAGTAATATATACTTATATTATCTATTTTTTCTACTCCCACCTTTAAAACGCCCTTTATCGTACATGTTTCCATGACACTAAGTGACCTTTTAAATACACATTGACAAGTTGTGGCTTTATGGCGCTTTAGTCACGGGCTGAAGTTAGCAACAGGTTTTTAGTCACAGGCTGAAGTTAGTTTTAAGTTAGTTGACAGTTGTCAAATGTCATACAATCGTTAAAATAAAGTGCCTTTCTTGTAAAATAATACCAAAGTGAAAATTATTTTATTATCTCAATACAAAAATACAAAAGTATTTAATAGTTTCTCAACGCCAATATTTGAAAAGTTTGTACTGACCTTTTAATTTCGCCGGCAGTAAACTATAACTTAAATTCGGGCACGGACTGTAAAGTGCTCATAAAACATTTTCTTTACTTTCACTGTGAAAAACTGTTAATTTTCAAGAAATACATTTCGATTTTTAACTTTTATAATATAAAAATTTGACATTTGACGGTGTCACACAGATTCCCCTATTGTTTCATAGATGGCGCTATATACAAATTTTTTATTTAAATCATTTTAAGATAATAAGTATTTGTCGTAGAAAAAGTATAGTATGCACCTCGTTTATAAACTTTTCTATTTCTTGACATAATAAAAGGGTTTAACGAGTAGGAAACGATAAGGTGAGTGACATTATACTAAATCCAATATGGCGGCCTTTTCAAGATGGCGAATAACGTATTTCTTTACAACCTCCTTGACATGGGTATCAAATGAAAGGGTTTGATGAATAGAATACGTGACGTCATTCTAACTAACAACTTATTAACCTTTTAGAAGTGCACACAATATAAGTACATTACATTATTTTACGCTTTTTAATTTTTTTAACTTTTATTTAGTACAGATTAAAATGTATGTTTAATGTAAATATGATTGGTCGATTTGGTATTAAGTGACCCTATAATTCAATTTAATTCATTTTCTGTACTTTAACCACAACGTGGGAAAGAGCACTTATTATTACCTGGCAATTTCATAAATCCAATAGTAATATTTTGTCGTGTTACTATTAACATAATAAATAGCTTTAATAGAATTACTCACAATAGTTCGAATTGGCTACTTTTTTATAAAAAACACATTTCGACAAAACAAGTAAATTACTTCCTTAAGGAATTGTTAAAATGTTGGTAGCAGCACAACACAAAACAATAATTCTCACTGATTATGTTATTTTATTCAATGGGATGTTTAAAAATCGTCTTTACAGTTAGGTAACCTGCAAAATTTCAGAGATCCAGTGCCGGAGGCTGGGGGCGAAGGGGAAGCCCCTGAGCGGATTTGCATTTTTTTACCATACTACAGATTTAGATTTTTTTTACTGTAGGAGAATCATTTCTATACAAACCATACAATTTGGCGGAGGAGTGCAATTGCATATTAAAATTAATTTTTTTTTAAATTTCGCATTAAAATAATAATTTTCAATAAATTTTCCACGGTTAAAGTTGAATAACCTCAAACCGTAAATTAGGTATTATATTTTTTGTCCCCTTTTTATCTAGGCGAACGTTATTTTTTATCAGCATTTTTTTCAACCATTGTTATTTTTTATATGCGTACAAATTATATGTGGTTAATTCGAAAAAGATTGTTAAATATCTTTCAGCGAACGCGAAAAAATTTACAGGATGTTGAGGTATCAGTGGACAACTAATGACTTTATAATATAAAATATGACCGCTATACTCAACATTTTATCGTCTTGTGAGTATAATACATAAATAACTATTGATTTGGGGTTTACGTAAAATAATATGAAAATTTCTCATTGTTTAGTGACATAATGGTGTTGTCTAACATCTACATACGTACATATGTATAAATTTATAAATGCAAAGATGAAAACAATTTGATATAATATCCATTCAATAAATATGAATACGTGTATTATAAATTTTAATAATTGACATTGCTGTTAAATGTACACAGAAAAAAAGGTTTAGTTAGCCTATTATTGGATTCATTTAACTAAATCTGTTGTTTAATAGAGCCAACTAAACAGTTTTCTGGGTTAATTTAACCAATTTAAAAAAAATATAATAACTATCTGGTCAAACTAATCTTTGTTTATATTAACCAAATTAATATAGTTCAATAAAACATTCCTTTTTTTTTGTGTGATAAATTTTTATTTGGTCATAATTTAACATGTAATAATTAGGTACTCCTTTCAAAGAATGTTTAATACGGAGGAGTAAGATTAATTAGGTAATAAACATATAAATGCAAATGAGTACAGTTGCCATCAAAAGAAAGGGTTTATATAAAACGTACGTAACGAATAATAATACATCAAAAATCCTTTCTTAAATTCAGGATGTGCGCTTTATATTTACAGATTACAGGAAAGGTTAATTAACAGCAAATTTCCTTTTCTATAAGAGATAATAAATGAGCATTTCAATTTACAGTTTTCTTACAATTTTTAGGCCAGTTTTGATTATGAAGGGCAAGCTATTATTAGATTTACAGCTATTTCAACACAATCCGGATATTTTCATTAAAACATTTACCTTTGTGTTATCATTGATTATTTTGTTAATAATTGTTTTTTGTTTTGCATACTCAGCTATTTTTAGGTACTTTAAATAAAACAATACTTACTTGTATTTCGAGGTTTCAGTGGTTTTCTTGTAGATTTTAAATCTCACTTGCTCATGCAGCTATTTTTTTAAGTGTTCCACAAAATCACAATAAATGTTCAACTATCCACACAAAGTTGACAACGGCGTATTAAACAAAAAAAAAAACGATATTAAACAAACCAAAAACGCTCAAACAGGTAAATAAACAAACACAAACTGTCATCTGTCAGAAAAAATGACTCATAATCGGACTCCTAAAATGGCGACTTCCGTCGTAAATTGATTACATTAACGAAATTGTTCTAATGTGTCAACTTCGCTCTGGTACACTAAACTGTCAGTAATCAATGATAACACTAACCCATTTTAAATGAGTTTAAAAGTTTGCTTGATATTACATAATACACTGTGTGCATACATGATAATATTATTGTTTTTAAAGGATAGGATAGGTCAGTGACATCCAGTGGCTCCCTAGTTTCGTCAAAAAAGATTTCATAATTGTTTTATTAAAAAACAGTAGCGTTTACTATCAAAGGATGACAATTTATTAGGTGACACCCTGTATATATTCATACATATGTATATAATTTGACTATATTTTCTTAGAATACAAAGCTCTTTTATATTAAATATAATAATATTAATAATAGGCCTTAAATTTGCTAAATCATCGTGTTTTTATTTTCTTTATTAAAATCCCACACAAGTGTCAAATTAGATTATGTACAAAAAGCGTACCTACAGTTATTTTCTCATATTGTGTTAAATTGTTTCAAATCTAATGAAAGTGTAAGATCCTAGTAGAAGTAGAATGCTTTGAAATAAACAAATTAAATTTCATGCAACGAAAAAAATAAGTGTTTTGCGGTATTGAGACCAGTTTCTAGGAGAGTGTTAACATGCTAATAAATTTGTATTTAAATATAGTCGCTGATTTCAGCAATAACACACTTCTCTGACAAATTAAGAGCAAATAATAAATTAAATAAAACATATAGGAAACTGCATGCACTTGAAATATACAAGGTCGTTGCGTAGGCGATTAAATGTAAATCTTCATTTGATTTTTGCTCATTAGCAAAATCTTCGTCTATAAACGATCTGCAACGATATAGAAGATTTGCAGATCGCTTACATAGAAAAAAATACATTACAAGACACATACACATACCGATATGGCTACTTATGGGTCATTCCATGTGACTAATGTCGGAAGCTTAAGCAAAGTAAGCAACTTCTTTGAAATATTCAAAAACAAACACTACGATATTTTTCTTAAGTAGGTATAGGAAATGTTTACTCAATAAAATAAAATTAAAAGTAATAGCAAATTATTTAATTTTATAAGTAGAAAAAGCATCCGTTATCAAAATACAAACGCATTGCATTTTTGGTAACTGTTTTTTCAAACAATACGAATGAAAAGAACGACTTAAATTTATAGTTGTTTATTTATTAGCGATATAACGGCGATAATTTACTTTTGTTATTGTAAACAATTATAGCTTTATAGTTTTAGACATCTGTCACCTTAAATTAGTCACAACAACTGTTTGTCATAAAAGAAACATTTATTGTTTTGCTTGTAAAACTATAATAGCTGAAAATGATCAAACATAGGCAAATTCAACACAAGGTGCAAAGTTAGTTGCCTAACATTTCACAGGTTTAATAGCAGTGCCATCTATATTTTATGCTTGGAACTAAGTTGGATTTTTAAAATGAAATAAAACTCAAGAATAATAATTATTTAAAATAAATTATTAAAAAAATACAATGTTTATAGGATAATATCTGTACATTAATACATATTAAAAGTAATTAAAAATAATAAAATGTACAATGTAATTTACCAGATCTAATTAAAGATAATAAAAATAATTTAACAACTTCCACGTTTCAAACGTTTATTTCTCCTACAATCTATAAATATGATACAAGTCTTTACAAAATAAAAGTTGTCTTTTTTTGGGGGAATGTCCTGTATGGTTGGTGTACCTATACAGGGTGTTAAGTAATTCAACAAGGGGGAGCAAAATTTGGTCAAATCCTTAACCACCTTTGATTAAATCCTATTTTAATATGGATTTATGAATGTCCACGAAAACCTAATAAAGCTAGTTCAGCGGCTAACTGTGCGCAGACATTCGGCGGGCAAAAGTAGTACATGCGCATACGAGCAACAAACAAAAATAATAACAATGTCGTAATGGCATCGACAGCGACCTCTAGCTCTAAGACGGCAAACAATAACCGCTGTAGGTTTTTATGGATTCTTCCGTGTAACTTTTGCCTGAGATTACGCCGTAATCCGAGTGATGGTGCGGACACCTGTGCGCATGAGGGCATTGGCACAACGTATTTACGTTAACTTCGTCTAAAAACTCTTGCCGCTTTCGAACTGTAAACAATCTACAAGGCTCCTTCCGTTGACATCTCATTCTCTAAAAAAAACGGGTTTACCAACTTTAGTATCATAGGTGTGCAATTCTTAAAAAAAAATCTCGTTGAGGTTAAGTTTACATTTTCCACAAAATATTTTGTTGGTTCTAGTTTAGTTTAATGCCATAATTAAATCTTGAGCTTAAATCATAGATATACTCGTTAAAAACTTAAATTTAAAACATGGTGAAAAAATTTGTTTAGGCGATTATAGCCGGAGACCCCAATAGCCGAAAAGTAGATAAGACGACGAACCTAACTTTAAATAATACACTTACAGTTTGTGGGGAGCAGGAAAATAAATACTGGAAGGCCAATTGGTCATCCGGCATGTGTATGACGTTTCTTTTGATGAGGTATGTCAAGGAGTTTCTCGGGCAATGACAATGGACCTCTTGATCTGTTACGTTGTTCGGGTATAACGTTATAGACCATGTTGTGTCTCTAAAGTACCTAAAAAGAAAATGTTTGGGTTGATTAAAATATATACAGGGTGATTCAAACATTCGTACCTGCATCGGGGGATTTTCTTCACAGGCTCGCACATTTTATATTGCCTTGTTTTTTCCACAAATGTATAACCATCATCTGTCTGCATACTAGTGGAACATGTTTTCCCTCCTGTACATCTGCATTGTTTTTCAATCCATGGTGTGTCATATAAATCAACTTTGTTGCATATTGATCTATAGTTACATTCGGGCAAGTCACTTTCAGAATTCTGAAAAAAAAGAAAAAGAATTTTAATAGTGTCATACTGAGAAGCTAAGATTCTCGGTAAAGCATATTTGGGATGTTTAAAATAATTATCACTATGTATAAATCATCTAATTATTAAAAGGATATCCTAAAGTTACTCTGCATTTTAATTTATAAACTGCTTCCACACAATCATTAACATTATAAACTTCCTTTATGGCTAACAATAAGTAGGTAATTAAAATATTTCTAAGACCTAAAGTGGAGTAAATGTGATGCCCCGAAGTTAGATATTTAAGGGTTTAGTAACGGAAATGCGTGAAACTGCAACCGGATACAGATTTTTTGTCAAGAAAATTAATTTATCCTATAAAAAAAAGGAAAAGGATGTTACTACTAATTTGCTTTTCGTTGGTTGATAATTTTTTTAACTATTGGCGGGAAAAAATAATTTTTTCTACTCCCACCTTTATCGTACATGTTTCCATGACACTAAGTGACCTTTTAAATACACATTGACAAGTTGTGGCTTTATGGCGCTGAAGTTAGCAACAGGATTTTAGTCACGGGCTGAAGTTAGTTTTAAGTTAGTTGACAGTTGTCAAATGTCATACAATCTTTAAAATAAAGTGTTTTTTTTATAAAATAATACTAAATGTGAAAATTATTTTATTATCTAAATATTTACAAAAATACAAAAGTATTAAATAGTTTCTCAACGCCAATATTTGAAAAGTTTATATGAACTTTTTAATTTCGCCGGCAGTAAACTATAACTTAAATTCGGGCACGGACTCCACTGTAAAGTGCTCATAAAACATTTTCTTTACTTTCACTGTGAAAAACTGTCAGTTTTCAAGAAATACATTTCGATTTATAATCTATGTTTATAACACATACAAATTTGACATTTGCGGTGACACACAGATTCCCCTATTGTTTCATAGATGGCGCTCTATACAAATTTTTGAATTAAATAATTAATAATAGGAATTTGTCGTAGAAAAAGTATATTATGCACCGCGTTTATAAACTTTTCTATACAGTCATTAATTTAAGCACTCGCTCGCAAGTTCGCTCTTGCCTAAATTAAATTCGTGTATAAAATGGCGTTTATCAAACTTGATACATAATATACTATTTTATTATACAGTTTTTGTCACAATTACAAAATAGTTTGTGTTATGATATACCGGTATTAAGTGTTATTAATTAATTGCCATATTGGTAGAAATATTTTGTAGGCAAAGATATGATATTTTTAATTACAATGTTGCCAATAGCTCAAAAGGTCAAATGTTGTTTTTGCTATTATCATTTGGATCGGATCCAGATGATAATATGTTTCGTTTTTAGGCAAAAAACACACAAATAAAATGTATAGTTTTTCGACACAATTAAGTAAAAACTTTTGATAACTTGTAGGAGACAAACCTTAAAAAAAAATTAACCTGTTGGAAGAAAATCATTTTTTTTTTGACAAACATTTTTACTAGAAATCCTTCACATATTTATTGTGATGATCGTCGGTGCAATATATACCAGCATTTGAATGAGATGGGGCGAGGGTTGGCGCGGCAAAGAGGGTGGGTTGGGAGGGTGCCAGCATAATGCCGGGCTGATGCCCGACCCACGTTCAATTTTCCCACGGCCAAAAAATACACCAGACTAGAACACCTGTACGATCGTTCGAGAAATCAGTGCACCCAAAACAAAGACGCACATATGGCAGGATCTACGATTTTCTACCCTGCATGGGTTTCAAGCAGGGGCGTAGCTGCCGTATGAATGATATGGGGCCCCCGGCTAGGGGGGCTTCGACATTCACAAAAAGGCACTTCTTGGCCGAATGGCATACAACATTTTATCTTCAAAGCACTTTATATAGGTCAATTTAATTCAACATCAAAGCGGCCTAACCTCACTTTTTTAGAATCTCATTTATCTATTAGCTAAAGATTACATTAAATGTACAATAATTATTATTGCCTTTAAAAGCAGTAATAGTTTGACAATACCATCAACATGATTTAAGTAGAAATGGATTTTTGCTATTACATTGAATTCAATTAATTGTTTAATAAATAGGTAGGTATCTAATTTCAATTTGTTTAGATCTTCATTTAAAAAATAGGTAGTTTGGAATGTTTAAGCTGTGTTTAACATTTAATTTCACTGAAAACTTAAAGCAAATTAAAACTTAAAGATAATTTAAATCGTAGAAAAAGAATCGTGCGTTTTCTTGGTTGCCTAACCTCACTTTTTGTTTTATTATTCATATTTAATGTTACAATAATTTAATGAAAAATATTAAACATTAACAGTAAAACAAACAAATTAATGCTTATTATAAATAAATTAAACCAGTTTAGTACGTTAATTTCTTAGAAAAGGATTAATTTGTCAAAACAATGCCCCTTGCGAGCAAAAATCGAACTAATTACTTGCCTCATAAAAATTTTTATCGGCCTAGGCCATAACAAGGTATTTCTTTATCGAATGTTGACAACAATAAAGTTTAAATTATACACCGCGTGGAGATAAATAATATTATTATTTAATTGTTTATAGTTCGATTTATTAAATTTAAATTTTCCTGAATACCCTCCTGTTCCAACGAGGCCGTGAACTCATACGCACCTTTCCGCTATGCGTTGTCTTTATTAAATTATAAAAAATTGGTAAATGAAAAAAAAAACTTTTTTTGTTTGCCCAAAATAAAATTTGGGCGTGACACCCAGAATCCCGTATAAGGGCCCCTACCAGATTTTTGATACGGGGCCCCCTCGAGGCTAGCTACGCCACTGGTTTCAAGCCAAAAAATTTGGATCATAAAAATATTTGTTCGAGGGTCAAAATGCGTTTATTATTATCAAATTTTTTACGGGTTAGCCCGTAGCCAAAGCGTTTCCTTTAAAAAAATCTCATTATCTTATTTATGCTACTGACAACCGTTCAAAGAGTTAATAACAATTATGTTTAATGGAATTGACTGTTGTACAATGAAAATCGATTTTTTTGTTATTGCGGATCTCCTTTTCGACATTGTTTGGCCTTTCAATTAACCTTTGAAGGACAATATACCTAAATCATTTGATAGATCTAAGTTCAAACTGTAACATAAGCAAAATAGAGTGTCTATAACATTTTGACAGATGTCAGATTGTATTTATTTTCATCGTAGAAAAATACAGTATGCAACTAGTTTTATAAACTTCTCTATGGAGGGTGGGTTTCAGTATCTTTTAAGATTCTGATTTAATTTTGAAAAAACTACTTTTTTCGTTTAGGTAACTTGGTCAAATATGCCAGAATGATGAAGAAAGTGCTTAAAAATAAAACTTAGAAGGGTTTTAAATAAAAAATAAACAAATTTTTAACAAGACCGTCGCATACTTTTTTATGTGATTTCATACATTTTTAATTGCTCAAAATTAAAAGTATCCCCATGTTGTGAATTTTAGGTTAGAGTTTTCACTGGTAAACAACCGACAACAAAAAAAACATAGCGAGCAATTTATAACTATTTATGTGTAAAGTTGAATTAAATTTTTAGAAGATAGCAAATATACAAATATACATACGACGGTCATGTAAAACAGGAGTTTTAAAACTAAAGTTAAAAAATACTTCTTAGGATATTGAACTGTTGGTATTATAAATCGATAAAAATAAAATGAAAAAAATGATGGCTAATATAAAGGTTTAAGTTTTAATACCCCAGGGTCATGGTATCTTAAACGTTACTGAAAACCACCCTTATAAAACGAGTTGCATACTGTATTTTTTTACTACGAAAATAAATACAATCTGACATCTGTCAAAATGTTATAACCCCACTTTCCAGTCGCTTAATGACATTTGACAACTGCAACAAACTTCACCTTGTATCTAAAACACCATAGCTTATTAAATTAATAATGTCTTGTACAAAAGTTGATAAATATGCATAAATTGTGGTGTTCTAATGTTATAGAGAGTATAGAAACCTTTTCTATTGTGAAATGTATTGTCGTGAAGACGAATTCTATAGCAAAATAAATATATTGTTGGATGGGTAGTTTAAAGGCTTTATCCTGTTTAAAAGTCATCGGAATTGTAAGAAAATTCTGGGTATTGTGCTGAGCTTTCGGATTTATAAAAATATAGTTCCGGCCGGATATCCGAGTTTTTGTTTCCTTTCAAATAGTCTAATCTTTTAAATGGATAATCCTAGGTAAATAGAATAGGTTTTGTGTAAAAAAGCTATGTGGAAATCTGATTTGGTTTTGTTCTAACCGCGAATCAATATTTAATAGACGCATAAGAATTTAATTTTTTTTTGTGATTTGATTTAGGATTTAATCCCATTCCAGCCCATTTTTGTTGGCCCTGTTATGTTGGTGTAGGTAATATTACTTGTCACTGGAGATTTCATTAAAATATTGTATTGCAACCACATTAACATCACATCATCCGTGAAAAAACCTGTTAAAATATCGTGTAGAAGATTTAATTATAATTATTAATATTAGCGACTTCCTGTTATAAATAATCCATCAATTTCACCCCCATACATATTCCAAGAATCCATAGCAATTAGTAATCGGCTACCTGAATATTCTGTAAGGCCTCGAGATTTGAAGATTAACGTTGCTATAAACTACTGGGCTTTAAAAACTACCTCCAAGCGTCGATATACTGATACCACGTTGAATTAACGACATCCCGTATTAAAAGGCGGGGCAACATTCACTAAAAAGTGCTTGAAATAAATATCTAATTGTAAATAACACGGCATCAATAAAAGACTGACTGACAAAAGATACGAAGCAAAGTGTTTTTAAAGAACCGGAAGTATGTTTACTCCTCTCTCAATAAGAAGGATGTCGCTTGCTTGCAACATTGTCTGAGGCAAAGAAAAAAATTTAAATCGGACCGGACGTAATCTTTTACCTGTTCTTATATTATTGATCAACAGCCACATGCGTGCAGCACATCACAACAAAACCGCTTCGACGCTTTTACTCGATTTAACAATAAATATTTCCCCAACTGCGTCATATCATTTGTTCTACTTAATAAACGATAAAAAAAAACAAAGAATTTCATAGCTAATTAAAAACATGGTTTTTATTTGTTTTAATGATTCTGCCACAATTGAGCAATTAAGGTCGCAGATAAGTTTTAATACATAATAATTCAAGTCACTGTACTTTAGGCGTACGCTTGCTCTGAAGAACACAGGTGCCCAAATAGTGCCACTGTTTTTGACCACGTGAGTGGCACTGGAGGAGCAGAGCGGTACTTGATGATTTTCTGGGAATTCTAACTGACGTGATAAATTAGTAATTAAACAATTAAGTGTAATTATAAGCTTGCCCACTCAGAAAGTAATTGATCTTTTCGATTGCCAAACATGATATTCAAAAGGGCATAAAAATAAATGGGTTTTTAAACGTTTCCGCTTGATCTTTTCAAAACCTTTTGTGCTGCACTTAAGAAATAATTGTTTATTAATTATTTTATTAAATTTGCTTTACAAATACCTATATCGCTGCAGGCTTTTTAATAGTTGTTTCCGCAGCAATAAATATATCAAAATAATAATAATAATAAAACAAATTTTAAATAAAATATCATTGATATTAATTAATTACTTACTGCTATTTTTAAATTGCATAAACTTGACAAGTCAACGAACTGTACAGCAAGCCAGCATTTTTTTAAACAATATATTTTTCAATGATATGACATATCTTGGCACAATTAATTTAATTATAAAAAAGCTGCTACTTACGCCGACTTGGTACAAAATTTTCACTGGACCAGAATCGTCGTGCGTTTTTTTTCTATGAAAATTCGCACTGTTATGATTTATTCTATGATGGTGATGATGCTGCTCCGAAGGCTGATGTTGGAATACTTCAAGCGGCAATCGCGTACTTAAAGTACAAGAAAAAAACAACACAAAAAAAGTTAAACCTTCCAAATACATTTTTAACAGTTTCAACAGGTTTAACAAAAGTTCAAATTTTCGAAGGAAAAAAATAGCAGCAACGAAAACATGTATTCAAAAATCACTCGCGTCAAAATGAATGGATTGCGTAACTATCGTTTCGTAAGGGAATGTTGCTTCGTTCATTTCAGAAATCGTACTACCTACTATGTTCTTCAACTTCAAGGTATGAATGGGCTAAAACGGGCACTGGAAGTGGACGCACAGCGCTAGCGGCCAATTCGTCCAATAATCACTGCTCGAATCCTATTGGTCGACTTTTTAAACCTGACTACTCAACAGCAGTTTTGCTATAAGGTGCCAAATTTGACATTTAACCAAATGTCATAATCAAGGACCGGATTTTAGGCAAAATGCCTTTTTGTTTCTATTTTAGGCATTTATTTGGGACCTTGAAATTAATCCTTTGACACCCCTTTGTTTTTGCCTAAAAGCCTAAAATGGCGAGATTTTGATTAATTGTCCTAAAAGGACATTTTTATGAGCCTAAAATAGACTCTTTTAATTTTTCAGTAAAAAATATATTTTTCATTGCGGAAAATTCAATTATTTTTAATTAGACCCTGCTTTCATGGTCTTATTTCGCCTCGAGGCGTAATTTTGTTTTGCTACCTAAATATTTATTATAAATAATTATGGATAATATTAAGTTTGTAAAATAATTGTTTTCATAGGTTTTACTGTAATTTCCATATATGTATTACATATACGAGGTGTGTTCAGAAAATAACGGGAATTGTTAAATTTCGCGGGTTCGGAGGGTCCGGTTGTCATAAAATTTTCTTTATTATGTTGTTATATATGCCCCCGAAGTATGATAAAAACTTTATCTGTTTTCATTGTTTACTTTGTCTGTGGCAGCCGCTAAGGTTAGACGTGTTTTATGAGCTCGGCGATTTTTCGTTCGTTAAAAGAAAGAATTTGTATCCAATTTTGCTTAAAAAATGAAATAAATTCTGTGAATTCTTAACAAAGGCCTATAGTGAGTCTGCTATAAGCAAAACAAGAATTTACACAAGCGCATTAACAACCGATAAAAACATGGAAAAAGTGGAATAAATGGTTATAAACCATCGCTGATGATGTTGTTATATCGATTGGCTCATCCCATGAAATTTTTTTGAATGTTTTGGGTATGAAACGCGTGGCAGCAAAATTTGCTCTAAAATTGTTAAATTTTGAACAACATTTTTGGCCAAAAACAATACTGTAATGATGCCCCAGCCTCCATATTGGCCAGACATGCCTCTGTCTGACTTTTTCCCATTCCCAAAAATAAAGAGAACCTTAAAGGGCCGTCGTTTTGCAAGCATAGATGACATTAAAAGCGCATCGCTGAAAGAACTAAAGGCTATCCCAAAGATCGAGTTTTAGAAGTGTTTCAAGTATTGGAAGAAGAGCTGGTACATGTGCATAAAATCCAATGGGGACTATTTTGAAGGCGACAACATTAATGTATAGACGAATAAATAAATATTTGTTTCAAAAAACGAAAATTCCCGATATTTTCTGAACACACCTTTTAACAGTTTTTAGTAATATAATTTGTCGCCATATATGGCATAATTAAATAACTCTCCACAATTTACAGGGTTGGGTAAATAGTTTTTCTATAAAGACAATAGATGGCTAAAGCAAACTTTGACAACCGTTGGAATCAACGTATGTTTGTATTTGTTTATATTTTTTGTTCAGCGTCTCCTGTTTATTTATATATATATATATATATATATATATATATATATATACATATGTATATATTTTAGGCACTTTCCGCCTAAAACGGCCTAAAATGTAGGTTTTTTTTGCCTATTTATGTGTCCTAATTTCCAATTTTTAAGGGCCTAAAATCCGGTCTTTGGTCATAATATCTAACATAATTTTAAATACCAAAGCCATATCTACCTATTTATTCCATACTTCTGGGCCTTACTTAAGATTATCAAAATGCATTTTAGAATGTTTTTTTACCCCCATCTCTAAAACACCCATTATCATACATATTTCCTAAGTGTTCTTTTAAATACACATTGACAAGTTGTGGCTTTATGGCGCTTTAGCCACGGGCTGAAGTTGGCAACAGGTTTTTAGTCACGGGCTGAAGTTAGTTTTAAGTTAATTGACAGTTGTTAAATGTCATACAGTCGCTAAATTGGTGCCTTTCTTGTAAAACAATGGCTGTAAACTAGATTTAACTTAAGTTCGGGTGCCCATAAAACATTTTCTTTACTTTCACTCTAAAAAACTGCTTTTAACCGGATTTAACCGGTGATTAGTCCATTTTCAAGGGATACATTTCGATTACACATAAAAATTTGCATTTAACAAAACTGATTCCCAAGTTGGTTACTCTATTATTTTATAGATGTCGCTCTACACAAATATTTAATTTAAAACATTTTAAGATAATAATAAGTATTTTTCGTAGAAATAGTATAGTATAAACTCATTTAATTAATAAATTTAATCCTAATTGAGGTATAAAAAATGGTATTTAGTTATAAATAATAATTATTATTGAGGTATAAAAAAACTATTTATACATAGTTTAGCATTATTTAATCAATTTAGTTCGAAGATTAATTTGCAAACAAAAAGACCTCCTTTCGTTAAGCAGTTATTCATAATGGATTTTTTAACAGTGGAAGAAATTTTCTAGCGTCACGAGATTTATGGACGGCCTCTTTAAGCTTACTTAAAAATATTTTATATTAGGAACAATTTTGAAAAAACTGTCTTATAAGATCGCCTCAATCACTAACAATCACTACACAAGTGGTATAATGCTAAAAGAATTTGTTAAAAATCCCATATAAGTATGCCTAATTACTCCAATTTAATTTGACAAAGATAATATCATGACTAACATGTAAAATTGGTCATTAAGGTAGTTAAGTCCGCTGCCTTAAAAATAGTAAAATCAACCGTAAATTGTGAATGAAAAGTTTAGATTTACTAAGTCATTCATAAAACTTGGTAAAAGGCACCCGAAGTAGTCACCGTACTACGTTTATACAACTCTTGGGTTCTAGAATTTGCAGCGGAGGAACTATGCGATTGTAGTAAAAATATTAATATTTTGAATAAAACGTTTTATGATATTTTTAGAGGGATTTTGTACTAGGTTTTAAAAAATATTGTGCAATGCTAAAATTTAAAAATAAATATAAATGGTAAAAACGAAATGATGCTCCTCATTGAAGTGGTTTATACTGAGGCACACCTGGATTATTAAAAACAACAGGTGGTGGTAATAGGTTTATTCTAGATCGTAGACTAACCAGTTCAAAACAATTGTTAATAAAGTCCGCTCAAAAAATGCAATCAATTAAAAAACATTTTTTTCAAAGGATGTTTTTGTTGCACAATATTCCAATTATAATTGGATAATATTTTATTGATCTCCTTGTTAAATTGACCAATGAAAAAAGTGAAAGGTTCTTGCAATTAATGTATGTTATTTGCGATTAATAGCTGAGTTTAGAAGAAAAAAACTAAAGCTACATTGAAACAGTGTCAATAAATTTTGTCTAACACAATCTTTACTTAAACGGAAATCAATCATTATCATGAAATTAAAATGATCGAGATCAAATTATATAAAATGGTAATAGAGGAAGGATGTATTAAAAGCTTTGGTCTTGTTTTAACGGATAAGAAAACATACTCTATGTTTTTTAGACGCTTTTTTGTACAGAAATCAGGGCCGGCTTTACCTATAAGCAAAATACACAGTCCTGGCAATTTGTTTGTAATATGCATTTAAAAACTTTAAGAGTAAGGTTAAATTATTCACAAATTGAGAGCCTTTCTTATGACGTTTGCTTATGGCCCCTAAAAATGTAAATCTGGCCCTGACACTAACACTATTCAATAGTATTGGCACATGCTATGTTAGTAAGGTTAAATTATTCTCAAATTGAGGCCTTCTATTTTGACTTTTGCTTAGGGCCCATAAAAATGTAAATCCGGCCCTGACACAAATACTTTTAATATTATTGGCACAGGCACAGTAAGGTTAAATTATTCTCAAATTAAGGGCCTCTCTTCTGACTTTTGCTTAGGGCCCCTAAAAATGTAAATCCGACCCTGACACAAATTATGCACTTTTCAAAAATTATTTAAATGGTATAATTACTACATAATATATGCGAGATAATAAATTCCCTGATTGTACATTTCTTAACTTCAACCCATGGGTGAAAAAAAAGTGAGGTTAAGTCAGATGTCAGATAAAATATCAAATAAATTCCTTGCAATACCTAGTTGAATAAAATATTGTGTGCGACTATTGGCCAGAGGATGAGTTACCACCTCTTTTTCCCACTAGACACACAAGACACTATTAATAAGTTGTAATAATATTTATTAAGTTTGACATCCATAAAATAAGTTTGACATTTTGTTATTTAAAAGTTTTTCTTAAGAATTTTTGAATGTGTGTGCATTTATTTTCAATGATGGGGAACAGGTTATACTCCAAAGACAAAATGTCGTCGAGTTAAAAAAAAGTCTGTTACAAGCGGTTCGAAATGATTTAACGGAAATAGGCTCGCTAGTGATGTTTTTAATTTATCGACTCTTCTTGCTTCTTACTAATTTAATACAAATATTTTGCGTGGGCTGTTCAAGGATACAAATTAAAGCCATGAATGAAGAAACATTTATTATAAATCGTATAATATTTTATGTTCAATTATACCTAATTTGTAATTCAATCTTACAAGCCTTTGCTTTAGTAATTATATCACATTATTGTTTATATACAGGGTGTTTATTTTTAACGCCATTGAAAGCAACTGAAATTAAAATTAATTAATTTCTGAAAACCGCCCTCTATTGCTAAAAATTCCAAAGATATTTGGACGTTTGAATATTATTTCAATTTAAAAGCAACTGTAACAATATTTGATTATTACATCTAAATGATCAATTAATAAATAAAATGAAATTTATATGCGAAATATTTAAAATATTTTACATTAGTCATAATAATTCAATAAATCTAGCTATTTGTTTATAAAATAATATTCATATTTGACACTTATTTGATAATGTATTACCAACTTCCCCTGAATGACTTATCGAAATAAAAACGGTCTTTATTGTTAAAGTTGTGTTCTTATTGTTTCAACAATGAATAAAACTAAAGAAACAGCGGAAAAAAGCCCAAGACAAAAATCTCCATGTAGATTATGTTATCATAGACCCTGGTAAGTAGGTACCTATTTTTTTTTCAAATTAAGCCAAAAACACATTGTTTATTATTGTTGATAGGGAATACTATTGCACCGACGAATTAATTAATATAAACTATAGACAACTAATGGAAAATGACGTGGATTTTGAACAAAATACGACATCGAGTTTTTTTCACGAACCAGAGTACAGTTTTGCCAAAATGTATTGCACAATTTTTAAATTTTCATGTTTTAGAGTTAACAGAGAGATCCCAGATGTAGAGGATGAATTTTGGGATGAATTATTTGATCTGGATACTTTATGCCTGGATGACCCCGTTATGGAAGATGTTGATGAAGTGATAACAATCATGGAAGAAGAGAAGTTGGCTTCAGAACAAGAAAATATCGAAGATATTGATGCCAATACGTTATTCGACGTACCTTGCGAAGATGAATGGACAAATTTAGAAGAGCTTATAAGAATTGCTGTTTCGGGAAATAGCGATGACGAGGAAATACCAATGGTACAACCAATGGCTCAACAAATGATACCACCAATGGCACAACCAATATTACAACCAATAATAGAAACAATGGCACAACCAGTGATACAACCAATGGTACAACCAATGGCACAAGCAATGATACAACAAATGGCACAATCAATGGTACAAAAAATGGCACAACCAATGGTACAACAAAAGAAAGAACAAATACCACAACCAATGGAACAACCAAAGAATGTAGTAAAACCTGGGCCATCTAGTCGTGGAAGACCAATTTTAGGACGTTGGGGAAAAATGTAATATTAAAAAATCTCTATGCACAGTGCTGTGATAATTTTAAAAGTTAAATAAAATATTTTTATTTTTTTTAAGTAAATTGAATTGATATTTTATATTTATTTTTTAAAAGAATGTATAAACATTCCTTAAAAAAGTTACTAATATGTTATTGTTTGAGACTGACTAATATATTTATAGATAACAATATTATTAACGTTTAAATTGTTCTAATAAAATGATATTTTTAAAACTTTTTTTTATTAACAAACTTGCCTCGTTTACAATATACAGAGTTGGGCAATGTTTTTTTCTCTGTTATTTTTTATTATCAGGTGAAATATGTCTAAAATAAGCTACGATTGATGATGAATTAAAGTATTATTATATCGCTATTTATATATCTGTCTTACTTATGCACAGCCACCCATTTATTACGCCACTTCTATCGATTTTCTGACGTCACTCATCATCTTATTTTCGCCTTTGTTTCATCTTTCATAACGCGTTTTAATTTTCGTAACGCCACAAATAAGTATCACTTCAATAAACTTGTAGGGTACGTAAGTAGAGGGTGTGTATTTTTCATTTATTGCTAGACTAGATATTTATCTATAGTCGACGCCACTGAGTAAATACAGGTATTTGTATGATTTTGTAAATAAGTTTATTATTGTTAGGTTAAGGCGCCAATCTTAAAATATCATAAAATACTATTTCCTTTTTATGCAAATGCCTAATAACAGGAACTAAAATGAATGCCATAAAAGGCCGGAAGTGTTTCCCAAAAGCCCTTGACTTTTTTACTTCGCAGAAGATTTTTTAGATTATTTCTGCTTACTGAATAATCTTTGTTCCTTTATATCCTTGTATACAATAAAAACTTTTCACTTGTTTATTATTGACGCAGGAATTTTAAACGAAAACGCCTAAAAACTTGTAAGTTGCAGTCAGTGGCGCACCATTTACTCCTAATTAATTAAAACAAAATAAATGTATTTAATTATTTATCTTTTGTAGAGCAAAATAACAGGAAAAAAATTATCGAGGTCAAATCATTGTGCAGGGAAATAATTATTTGCCAGGGGAGTTATTGTTGATCCAGTCAGCATCAGATCCAGCCCCAGGAATTCCACCATTGGCGCACCCTGAAGAAAATAATCAAGTTTTTAATAAAAAAATATTTTATCTCCACGCGGTCTATAATTTAAACTTTATTCGATAAAGAAATACCTTGTTATGGCCTAGGCCGATAAAAATTTTTATGAGGCAAGTCATTAGTTCGATTTTTTCTCGCTAGGGGTATTGTTTTGACAAATTAATCCTTTTCTATGAAATTAACTTACTAAACTGGTTTAATTTATTTATAATAAGCACTAATTTGTTTGTTTTACTGTTAATGTTTAATATTTTTCATTAAATTATTGTTAAATTAAATATGAATAATAAAACAAAAAGTGAGGTTAGGCAACCAAGAAAACGCACGATTCTTTTTCTACGATTTAAATTATCTTTAAGTTTTAATTTGCTTTAAGTTTTCAGTGAAATTAAATGTTAAACACAGCTTAAACATTCCAAACTACCTATTTTTTAAATAAAAATCCAAACAAATTGAAATTAGATACCTACTTATTTATTAAACAATTAATTGAATTCAATGTAATAGCAAAAATCCATTTCTACTTAAATCATGTAGCTAGGTATTGTCAAACTATTACTGCTTCTAAAAGCAATAATAATTATTGTACATTTAATGTAATCTTTAGCGAATAAATAAATGAGATTCTAAAAAAGTGAGGTTAGGCCGCTTTGATGTTGAATTAAATTGACCTATATAAAGTGTTTTGAAGATAAAATGTTGTATGCCATTCGGCCAAGAAGTGCCTTTTTGTGCTTCGCTCAATTGTACCTTGAGCTTAGCACAAAAAGCCTTACTTCTTAACCTAATGACATAAATAACTATTTTCTTCCGAAAAAATACCTTCGTCTAAAATGTTGGCGCATCGTTTGCCGGGGGAGTTGTTGTTAATCCAATCAGCATCAGATCCAGCCCCGGGAATGCCACCATTGGCGCACCCTGAAAAAAAATTAATTAATATAAAAAAAATTTTTTTTTTGTGAAAAAATACCTTCGTCCAAAATGTTGGCGCATCTTTTGCCTGGGGAGTTGTTGTTAATCCAATCAGCATCAGAACCAGCCCCGGGAATGCCGCCATTGGCGCACCCTGAAAAAATAATCATTTAAACAAAAAAAAAATTTTTGTGAAAAGAATACCTTCGTCTAAAATGTTGGCGCATCTTTTGCCAGGGGAGTTGTTATTAATCCAATCAGCATCAGATCCAGCCCCGGGAATGCCGCCATTGGCGCACCCTGAAAAAAAAAATTATTTAATTGAAGATTTTTTTTGTGAAAAAAATACCTTCGTCCAAAATATTAGCGCATCTTTTGCTGGGTGTAAAATGATGAATTCTATAAAACAAGTCGCTCAAAGATTTCAGAACACTAGGTTGCTCTAGACTCCTTCTTAAGTGATATCTAGCTCTGGCTAGAGCTAGTTGGTTTGGTGTCAATCTAGCAGACGAAACAGCCAAAACTCCGACCAAAACTAGGATTACAAACTTCATTTTTTTGATTTAGTATATGTAAATTTTAGTTATAAAACAGCACTTTTTTATTATATTACTGATACTGATATAACTGATATATTGCCTAAAAATCACCCTCCTTTTATACCAATCGTTATCTCTCATAATTTTGCTTATTTCCAATAAATAGTTAATTAATAAATAACCATATGGCCCAATGAAGTCGCGTATTTTTTGTTGAACAAATAATTAAATATCGGCTTTGCCCTTATCAAACATTATTAATTTACTTTATTTATTCATTAGTATTATTAAATAGGCAGGAAATTTGATAATACTAATTTATTTAATTTTTAAATATATTTTTTTTAAGTATAGGCAACATAAATTGTAAAACGTTATGTGGGTTGCCTATTAAATGTTCCCAAGTGAAAATAACACAGAAATTCTGAGGAAAATGTAAAAAAAAATAAAAAAAAATCGACTTGGTTGAAATTTTAAACGATATCAATAATAAAATCTCATATTCAAACGCTTTTAAACTTCTTAGACACCATATCCTTAGACACCAAAGAACATTAGACACATTTCAATTGTCAATTTTGACAGTTCGATCTTGGATGAAAATTATCCAACAATAATAATTAACAATGTGGTACGAAATTTTGCCCAGTTTTGGCATTATTATGGTTGCAATGACCCTTCCACATGCCTCTGCCTATTTAATAAACAAGGGTGTCGTAGGAAATGTAAGTACAAAACATAACCTCTATAATTATGTAATTTGTAGCATAAACAAGGAAAATAATTGATTTAGCGGTAAACCAATAGTTTATATGTTGCGTTTTATTTATTTTTTATTGTTGTTTTGCTATAATTTATGAGAGACACTTTTTCAATGATGCTAAAATAAAGTTATTTGTTTTAGTATTATCGTAGATCACTTTTGCACAAGGAGAATAGATTACACTACCTCAGAGATACAAGAATTTCAGGGGATCCCTATAAAGTTGTTGTAAGTATTTTTGTTAAATTATTTTAAAAAAATTGACTCATTTGTTTACAGGGTCTCGAGGCTATTCCAGATGCGTAAATAGAGAAATTGTAAAAAATATTGTTAATATAATAAATTAGTGTTTAATACATTGTTTTTTCTTATGTGTAATCCATGTCTAATATTTCCCATAGTAAATATATTTATTGGTAAATCCAAAAGAATATCGACCTAGGTCTTTCTGCCTATATAGATTTTCCATAACTATATGAAAAATAAATTTCTAAACTCGAGAATCGCAATAATACTTTAATATAATATAATATAATAAATGTTTATAGCTCAAAAATTGATTATTATTTTTTTATGGAAAACTTATGAGCAAGCTCTTGAGATACAAAATACAGTGTGGACACAAACGTGTGGAGTATAAAAAAAATTTAATGTAACTTTAAAAATGTTTTGGAATCTGTACTGTAAAAAAGTTACTTGTGAATGTGTCTGATGCCTCACAATCATATATAAAATTTTGAAGACATTCTATGGAAACTCTTTAAATGGAGATTCTACCTTAAGAAATAATAAAAGAGATTGTAAATTCTAAATTCCTTTTAATGCCGTTCCTGTTATTGGTAGGTAACCAATGGCAACGGCCGATTGAAAAGGTGTGAAGTTAGCGTCGATTCCCTGTAATCCCTGTAACGACCTTGGATTTCCCTACTGCCAGAATACGATATGTTATGTTATTCGCGGAAAATTGTTTTCGCATTTATTAATCAATAAAAACGAAATTTGATTATTGTCCCTTGAAAATGCCAAACGGGCACGAAAGACAATATGGCTACGAATAATGTTGTCGGCTGTATAGAAGGAATATTTTGATTATAGCCTCAGGTATAATGTATTTTTATTAGTTGGCATTCGCTCGAACTGTCAGTTGTGAGTCGGCAGTGGGTTTGTGTATGAGCTGAGACGACAAGTGAAAAGTATGTCAGAAAATATTGAAATTAGAACTATTATTGCAAATAAAAATCACATAAACACTGTGACAGATAGTCCTGTACAAGACCCAGCATCATCTGGAAAGGTTTGCATATTTTTCATTACATTCTATGTAGTATTATTGATGTTTTAAAATAACAAAAATAAACCCTACACCACATGGTGGTGTAGTGTTTAAGCTAAGTTATAAACAATATATCCCACAGTAAATCCCTTGCAGTTTTATAAACATGCATGTTATCCAGTGCCAACGACATGCATTCAATATTATTTTTATTTTAGTAATTACTACTACCTACTACATTTACAAATATTTAAGGTACATAACAATTAGGACTTAAGTATTATGGAGATACATGTGGGCCATAAATACATAAGGATTGTTAAAGTAATAATTAAAGTTGTAATGTGCCCTGCATTTTTCCTGTAAACATAATTTTTAAATCTGGAAACCCTAGTAAAAGTATCTCCATAGTTTGGGACTAGAAGAGGAGTAACTTGCTAGGGTGGCATAGAAATATTTCTTTGTAGGTGGGGAATCCTAGACAAGCTAAAAGAATAAGAACCTAAAATCATACACAAGCTAAAATAATGAAAATGTTTTTACAAAAAAACTAGTATTTATTTATGGTCCACATGTACCTCCAAATTATTTTAAACCTGATTGTTACATATCTTAAATATTTATTAATGTATGAGCTGCAGATTTGCCTTGGCATACTTAAATTATACTTTCAAAATTTTGGTTTTAAATCTTTGATCTAAATAAATATTTTATTTCAGGTATAACAATGTTAAGAATTTGCGTTATAGTACTTAGTATAAAATATCACGATAGCAAAATCACATGTGCAATTATATTGCTATCTAAATTATTATCTAATTATATCGCCTCAAAGGAAATTTGTTGGCAATTTAACTGTTTATTACAATGTCACCAATTCTATTTGTAAAATTATGCCGTTTATTTTTAGGGCTTGGAAGGAAGTAATGCCTTTGTGAGTCAAAGGTCTAAGTTGGTAAGATATACATTGCTTCAGTGTATGCTTTACCTTCTTTACCTTTCTTTTTATTGTTTCATTTGTATGGCCTTTTTATTATTTTCAATCCAGCTGGATTTTAATTTATATAACACATTACACATGTCTATAAATCTTTTTGCATGATTAGTTTTGCTTCTAAAACTCAAGTGCTTATGCAATAAATAAACACACATAACATTTTTTAATTATGTTTTTTAAATATTTTTCTGGTTAGTATTACACAATTAAATTAAATTTACACACAAAACAAAATTAATTTGACTATTTATCATGTAACTTAATCCTAAGCTTATAGTTTATATTATTCCTTCTGAAATTTAGTTTGTATTTTATCTACCAAGGTCTTGATGAGAGGAAACAACACAAAAGGGGACAAGTTATTCCTAATGACAAGCTTAAAATCCTAGCCAAACCTAAATGACTACAAACTAATAAGTACTCCCAAAATACTAAATAAGCTAAAATGAGAACAAGCTATAAACAAATTACTCTCAAAATACTAGACAAGATAAAGTAATACAAACTAAAATCATAGACAAGCTTAGAGCTTTATTTTAGCTTTTATGATTTTGTTGACAAGCCTGAAGCTGTTAGCTAAAATCCTACAAGCTAAAATGATGACATTATGACAAGCCAATATTGCAACTTTAATAAAATGTTTACTTCTGAAAATTAGATTGTATCCTAAACCAAGGTTCTCACAGTGTAGGTGGTCTTGAAGACAATACAACGTGCTACCTTGTTTTAAAAAAAAATTCATGATTTTCAAACTTTTAGGACACGAAATCGTCGTCAAGCGCCTTAAAAAAATCGAGCCGATATCGTAGCAGGTCTCTGTCGGCTTCATCGACCGATTCGTACAGTTCAGGTAAAAGATTGCGTTGTTGCAATGTTTATGTGTGTATGCGTATTTTAATTTTTAGCATCATGTACAGGTAGCAGCTCCGATGAAGATGACGTGTCGCCAAGGGAAAAGGTGCAAAAAAATTCGGCCGGCAGCTCGGACTTTTGTGTGCGTAACATCACACAACACGCGTTTGGCAGAAGGGAGATCGAAATTGCCGAACAAGGTTAGTTTGAAGTTTGTTTGAAGGTTGAATGGTCTTGGACTTTTATTGCCTAGACTTTGTGGTAAGAACCACTTTACTTGAAAAAAGACAACTTTGGTGGTATACTCAGTTACACTTCTCCAATAGATATTTTTCTCATATTGGTAACCTTGGGAATCATTTTAGTTTCTTCGGATTAAAAAGAGGCGCTGCAGTCTGAATCAAAGAAGTTCTTTGAAAGAACATACGGGTGAATATATTGAGATGTGAAAATGATTATTTTTTATTTTTGATTGTTTCACTGTTAGTCTAGAATGGGGTTTTTGGGAAGCCACCAGGTCTAGTAATAACATAACATAAGTGGTTCTGCCATAATGCAAGAATTTTAAGAAATCATACATTTTTAATATTAGAGCTTCACGGAGGTTAGAATTTCGTATGTTTTTTAAAAACACCCCTTTGTATATTCGAAATAAGTTATGGTATCTTTTGACACCTTAATATTTTTTTAAAATACAATTGTACATACATAAATATTTATTAAAAAAATCACTTCACGGTGGATAGGTTTTTAAATAGCAAATTAATAATTAAACTTTTGAATTATAAAACAGCAACACTCTCATCTGCATATAAATTCTACTGACCTTCAGGAATTACATGCATGTAGTAAACGGAGGTTTTTGCTTATTTAAAATGATTAAAGCCCCATCCGTTGCATAAAATTTAAAGCAAAAACAGATTCACGGATGATAGAATCAATTTTTGTAACATCTACATAAATGGTTATAAAAATTATATCTTTTTATTTTTAATAATATTTTATATTTGATTCGATTGCTGTGGATGTGTTTAATTTACTTAGTGAACTGATATTTTTAGTATGCTTTTACTACCTCAGATATTTGAAAACATATAGGTTAACCTAGAAAGAGTAACAGTCACGGAGGATAGGTTTTAGACTTTTAAAACATTGTAAAAAATAATTAATTGCGGTTAAAAATCTGGAACCTGAGCTGTAATATCTGCTTAATTATGAAAGATGAAAACACAATAAAAGTGTAGGTCAAACTCATATAGTTTTATTAAATATCACGGGGTAACACCATCGGGGGACATTTCGTAAGATTCACCCATACGCAATGGCAACGCAGCATTTATTTTCTGCAAGTTGGTGTGACGTCGTTGTGAATTTCAAGTTTTTGGTTGTGCATTTTCTCTATCTAAAGTGGTGATAATTGTAATATTTTAGTTTAACAAGTATTATAATCTTAACGTTCGGTTTATTAAACAAATATGTCTTTTTTGTATGTTTGTAAAAAATATATAAAATATTTTAACCCAACAATCACATATTCATTTTAATTTTTGTAAAATTTTTGGGTGGCCTGTCCATTAATTGTTTACAAAAATTAAATTCAAAATAAAAAACGTAACTAAATAAAACGAGTAACGTTGCGTTTAGTTCTTTTGAATTTGTAGATGGCGCTTTATAGCTTCAAAATCGTATCGTTAAGATAGCTATCTATTGGTTTTGTCTAGGAATTTACTATTTAAAGTAATTTCTCGCTAAAACAATTGAATGAATGAATTTGTGGTTATGTTTTTTCATTTAATTAAAAGCGCAGCTACGAACGCCATCTATTCAAATTAATACAAAGTTGTACGAATTTTGATTTTCCGGCAGTTCCTTTCGGTTTTTCCTAATGTTTTTTTTTATTTAAAAAAACCTCTGTATTGAAGCGAACAAAACAAAAAAAAATATTTAAATTGGTTGAGCCATTTCAGAGTTTTTGCAGGACCAACGTACGCATTTATATATATATACAGACTGTAGTAAGTAAGGCTGAAGACAAGGATGACAAATTATATTCTGATCAGAGAAAAAGAAACAAACTTCAAAAATAATTTGATTTAGTTAATTTTCTTACTTTTAATATGAAAAATAAGAAAAACAACCCTTTTAGGAAACAATAATAGCATATGGCAACAGCGCGGCATGCAGCCAGATACAAGGGCATGCAGTTTGATTCAGTAGCTCCGACGCTGTCGTAGGAAAATGTGTATAGTTTATAAGAAATACATTTTCGCCATTGGCTGAAATTTGATGGATTTTAAACAATACTTTTTACAATAGTTTTTATTTGCAGAAATGCATTAAAACAAAACAAACGAATTCGATAAAAATAAAACCTATAAATTCTCGAACAAAAATAATTCTAAAATAACGAAAATAACTTTTTTTCTAAATTAAATGTTCAAATAGACCACCAGCAGCAGTTAAACAATACCCTAGCCTATAATAAAAATTCCTGAGCATTTCAATCCCTACCACAGTGGGCGGGGTTTGGCACTTGTTTTATTTAAGTGTATCTATTCGTTTTAATACATATAAAGATATTTGTTTAAAGAACCACGTAATTAAAAATACTAAGGCAGAAGTCCAAAACCATTTTTTTATTCAAAGGTGACGTCACCAGACAACCCGGTCATCTTGACACCTTGGTATTTTCGTTTTTTTTAGAGATGCCCGGTATAATGGCATTAAGGAAAAGAGCAGCTGATGATAAACCGTTGAAGAACGCCAAAATTGTAGGATGTACTCACATAAATGCCCAAACCGCTGTTATGATAGAAACTTTGGCTGCCTTGGGTGCTAGTTTAAGATGGGCTGCTTGCAATATTTACTCCACACAGGTAGCACTTCTTCGAGCATCTAAAACGAAAAAGGTAAAATGAAATATTTTTTTTTAGAACGAGGTAGCAGCCGCTTTGGCCGAAGCTGGTTACTCGGTGTTCGCGTGGAGAGGGGAGACCGAGGAGGATTTTTGGTGGTGCATAGATAAGTGCGTGAACGCGGAAAACTGGCAACCCAACATGATTCTAGACGATGGCGGCGATGCCACGCATCTCATGCTCAAAAAGTATCCGGCTATGTTCAAATTAATTAAGGGCATTGTAGAGGAAAGCGTGACTGGGGTGCATCGCTTGTATCAGCTTTCGAAAGGTGGAAAACTAACCGTCCCAGCTATGAATGTAAATGATTCTGTTACCAAGACTAAATATGATAATCTTTACAGTTGTCGCGAATCCATTATAGATAGGTAGGTATTGGTAATTAATTGGACTGTCAGGGACATGCGCAATAGTAGCAGTGGCGGCCCGTCAGGGGAGGCAGGTGAGGCAGTGCCTCATCATAGAGAATTCAAAAATTAAGTATAATTTAAATATTTTACTTTCTATAATATACTATACATTTTTAATATTTGGATTACATGAATTGTGAAATAGTCAATAAAATTGATTGATTTTATACGTGGAATACCCAGCAACATTTAAATTATTTAAATTTGAAACGACCGCAATTTAAACTAATATTTATAGCTAGATGATTGGCTCAGAAGCATGCCTGAACTAATTTAAACTCACGATTGGCGTTAGCCTTGTTGTCTTTTTCTATTACAATGCGATATCATAGTTGTCTCCTTCTCTCGTATTAGCATACGCGAGGCAGGCACGCCTACATCCAAGGAAATAAGCAGGTGTTGTGGCAACACTGTTGAGCCATTCCATGCCAAATCAACACACTTTAAAAAGAAATTTTTCCTCACCATTTCAGATTTTCCTAAAATTTGGTATACTTATACTATGTACTAAGACTAAGAAAAATACAAATTTTTAAATTTTTATCTCACACCGTTTCCGATATATGGCTATGTAAAGTTTTTAAAAACTCGCGAAAAAAGTGTGAACGTTTATTTTTTAAATTGCGCTGGAAGCTGTCCTAATTTAGTTAGAAAGCTGGGAGAGGTGTCATTTTGCAGCATTTTAAATGCTCTTTCAAATGACATACGACTGCCAACCACGTGAAGGTCAACAATATCGGTACAATTTCTCACCGTAATATCCATAATGACTAAATTCACATAAATCACCAAGTTCAATTAACTAAACCCACAGAATAAACCACTTACAAAAGAATCATAAAATAGACAAACTCATAGAAATAGAATAAACAAAATATTGCGTAAATAACCACAGATTTGTTCTTTAAACAGTTCAGAATTTTATAGGGTATTAATGAAAAGATTTTGTTCAAAATCCATATATATATTTTGATTTAATTTTTTTTTTAAAAGTACATAATTTAAAATTCTCAAAATATTTGTATAAATACTTGGTAGTGTTCTGAATCATATAATAAAATATTAATGTGGGGTCTTAATGGGTTCATTGTTAAAAAAAAATATTTTTGATGCTGGTTTTTCACTTTTAACTAATTTTGACATTATTCAACGTTTATCAGGCTTAAGCCTGACAATTGTATTTTTTTTATAATATCGGCTGTCATCATTCCCGACTTGTGTAATTTAATTACTGTGATACGCTTGTTTTGGCGATTCATATTGAACTAAATTTTAAACAAAACAATATAAAATGAATATTTTCAAAAATATAAGGGTTCTAAGAACCCTAATAATATCGGCTGCCTACATTCCCGACTTTTTTAATTCAATTACTGTGATACGCTTTTTTTGGCGATTCATATTGAACTAAATTTTAAACAGAACAACATAAAATGAATATTTTCAGAATTGAAAGGGTTCTAGGAACCTGCTCGAGCAAACAATTTCCGCGAAAACGTTATTGATAAATTTTAAACTCGCTTAAAAAAAAATTCAGGGAACTTTTATCGGACCCTGTATATATTCGTAGTTTATTTAAAAATAAAACTATAAATGAGGTGTGTTTAAAGTGATTTTGGTGTCAACATGGAGCCTACTATTGTAATAGTGCAGTGTTATAATCCAATGAAAAAAATAAATAATTTTATTAGAGACAGAAAAAAACTGAGAAAAGTCCCAGCATGGATGACTGGATTATTTCCACAAATGCCTATTGGCTCCATGATTTGTCATACCTGCAGGAAAGATGTAACGAAACTGTCAAAATTAGTTAGGTGAAAAACCAGCATCACAAATATTTTTTTTTAACATGAACCCATTAAGACCCCACATTTATATTTTACTATATGGTTTAAAACCGTACTAAGTATTTATACAAATATTTTGAGAATTTTAAATTATGTACTTTTTGAAAAAAAATTGAATCAAAATATATATATGGATTTTGAACAAAATCTTTTCATTAATACCCTTGGCAGTCGTATGTCATTTGAAAGAGCATTTAAAATGCTGCAAAATGACACCTCTCCCAGCTTTCTAACTAAATTAGCACAGCTTCCAGCGCAATTTAAAAAATAAACGTTCACACTTTTTTCGCGAGTTTTTAAAAACTTTACATAGCCATATATCGGAAACGGTGTGAGATAAAAATTTAAAAATTGGTATTTTTCTTAGTCTTAGTACATAGTATAAGTATATCAAATTTTAAGAAAATCTGAGGTGGTGTGGTAAAATGGGTGTGTTGAGTTGACATGGACTGACCCTGTTGCGGAATTTTAGATAAATTATACTTCACACGTTTTTCAAAATTCAATAATAAATGGTATTATTTTTCTTATAATAAATCGATTTAATCGAAATTATATTTCTATTCTAAAATAAACATATTTTAACACTATCGCCATCTTGTAGCCATCACAGTAACCAATAAAATAAATACAGATTCCTTCTTTAGGTTTGTTTTGGGTATAAAATTCTGAACTGTTTAAAGAACAAATCTGTGGTTATTTACGCAATATTTTGTTTATTCTATTTCTATGAGTTTGTCTATTTTATGATTCTTTTGTAAGTGGTTTATTCTGTGGGTTTAGTTAATTGAACTTGGTGATTTATGTGAATTTAGTCATTATGGATATTACGGTGAGAAATTGTACCGATATTGTTGATCTTCACGTGGTTGGCAGTCGTATGTCATTTGAAAGAGCATTTAAAATGCTGCAAAATGACACCTCTCCCAGCTTTCTAACTAAATTAGCACAGCTTCCAGCGCAATTTAAAAAATAAACGTTCACACTTTTTTCGCGAGTTTTTAAAAACTTTACATAGCCATATATCGGAAACGGTGTGAGATAAAAATTTAAAAATTGGTATTTTTCTTAGTCTTAGTACATAGTATAAGTATATCAAATTTTAAGAAAATCTGAGGTGGTGTGGTAAAATGGGTGTGTTGAGTTGACATGGACTGACCCTGTTGCGGAATTTTAGATAAATTATACTTCACACGTTTTTCAAAATTCAATAATAAATGGTATTATTTTTCTTATAATAAATCGATTTAATCGAAATTATATTTCTATTCTAAAATAAACATATTTTAACACTATCGCCATCTTGTAGCCATCACAGTAACCAATAAAATAAATACAGATTCCTTCTTTAGGTTTGTTTTGGGTATAAAATTCTGAACTGTTTAAAGAACAAATCTGTGGTTATTTACGCAATATTTTGTTTATTCTATTTCTATGAGTTTGTCTATTTTATGATTCTTTTGTAAGTGGTTTATTCTGTGGGTTTAGTTAATTGAACTTGGTGATTTATGTGAATTTAGTCATTATGGATATTACGGTGAGAAATTGTACCGATATTGTTGACCTTCACGTGGTTGGCAGTCGTATGTCATTTGAAAGAGCATTTAAAATGCTGCAAAATGACACCTCTCCCAGCTTTCTAACTAAATTAGCACAGCTTCCAGCGCAATTTAAAAAATAAACGTTCACACTTTTTTCGCGAGTTTTTAAAAACTTTACATAGCCATATATCGGAAACGGTGTGAGATAAAAATTTAAAAATTGGTATTTTTCTTAGTCTTAGTACATAGTATAAGTATATCAAATTTTAAGAAAATCTGAGGTGGTGTGGTAAAATGGGTGTGTTGAGTTGACATGGACTGACCCTGTTGCGGAATTTTAGATAAATTATACTTCACACGTTTTTCAAAATTCAATAATAAATGGTATTATTTTTCTTATAATAAATCGATTTAATCGAAATTATATTTCTATTCTAAAATAAACATATTTTAACACTATCGCCATCTTGTAGCCATCACAGTAACCAATAAAATAAATACAGATTCCTTCTTTAGGTTTGTTTTGGGTATAAAATTCTGAACTGTTTAAAGAACAAATCTGTGGTTATTTACGCAATATTTTGTTTATTCTATTTCTATGAGTTTGTCTATTTTATGATTCTTTTGTAAGTGGTTTATTCTGTGGGTTTAGTTAATTGAACTTGGTGATTTATGTGAATTTAGTCATTATGGATATTACGGTGAGAAATTGTACCGATATTGTTGACCTTCACGTGGTTCTTGCTGAACAATGAAATATTAATTAGACAAAAATGAGGTTTATTTAAAATAAACGTCATTTTTACAATAAAAAAATGAAATGTCACGGGCCGCCACTGAATAGTAGTCCAAAGAAAATATATGTGCTGATTTTATTACATTTTTTTTTAGTTTAAAACGTTCCACAGACGTAATGTTCGGTGGTAAGCAGGTTGTTATATGTGGATATGGGGAAGTTGGTAAAGGATGTTCCCAAGCTTTAAAAGGATTCGGTTGTGTAGTGTATGTCACCGAAATTGACCCCATTTGCGCTTTGCAAGCAAGGTAAATAATATCATCGATTTTATGCTTGAGAATTTTCGATATGTTTACTTTTTGAATTGAGATTTCTATGTCACGCCGTTTTAGCATTTATTAGATAATAGTTTTAAGATTAATGATGTAAATTTTTTAAACTTAAATCATTTAAACGACTATTTACAAATTTAAACCAAAATTTTTATTTTAAATTGATACATTTTAACACAAAATTGATAACTTTACATTTAAATGTAAGTCGATAATTTTTAATTTATAAAGTGTAAACGTACAGTTACGGAAAATAGTAATGTCCATTTGAATGCCCAATTGTAACTGTTTGGAAGCATTCGGAAATAGTCAACTCTGCCTACATATTTAACCGTATTTTTATTAAATCGTTCATTTTTTGAAATAATTTTTTATAGTTTTGTAAAATTTATACATTTATTCTATTAAAAACGAACTTTGTAGGCTAAAAATAATATTATTAAGTTGTAGTTTTTAAAACTTACTTTACAATTTTGAAAACTAGCAATGATTTAATACACTATTCTACATCATAGGAATAAAAATTAAAATTAAACAAAAATATTTAGAATTTTTATACTTGGTATATTTTTAAATTAAATATGCTAGGATTTATCAAAACAACGTTTGATGTAATTATAATAAAAAAAGTTAACATACCATGAAATTGCCAAAAAAAAATGTAAGCTCTTAATATTAAATTTACAGATCCCTCATTTTTTAATAGTATATTATGTATCAAGTTTGATAAACGCCATTTTATACACGAATTTAATTTAGGCACGAGCGAGCTTGCGAGCGAGTGCTTAAGTTAATGAGTGTATGGAAAAGTTTATAAACGAGGTGCATACTATACTTTTTCTACGAAAAATACTTATTATTATCTTAAAATGATTTAAATCAAAAATTTGTATAGAGCGCCATCTATGAAACAACAGGGGAAACTGTCAAATGTCACATTCAGATTCACATTTTTACATTTTATAAACACAATTATAAAGGTTATAAATCGAAATGTATCTTGAAAATTGACAGTTTTTTACAGTGAAAGTAAAGGAAATGTTTTATGAGGACTTTACAGTCGGTGCCCGAATTTAAGTTATAGTTTACTGCCGGCGAAATTCAAAGGTCACTACAATGTTCATATAAACTTTTCAAATATTGGCGTTAAAAATTTTCACATTTACTATTATTTTACAAGAAAGGCACTTTATTTTAACGATTGTATGACATTTGACAACTGTCAACTAACTAAAAACTAACTTCAGCCCGTGACTAAAAACCTGTTGCTAACTTCAGCCCGTGACTAAAGCGCCGTAAAGCCACAACTTGTCAATGTGTATTTAAAAGATCACTTAGTGTCATGGAAACATGTACGATAAACGGCATTTTAAAGGTGGGAGTAGAAAAAATACTTTAAAAATGTATAACTCGTCAACGGATTAGTGGGCCGATAAAACTGAAACAATTTTTTTTGAAAAAGTAGGAAAAAATTATAATTGAAGCATGGTATTCCCAAAGGGTTTTGACCCAATTTGGTCAAATATTAAATTATTATTTAAAAATAGTCTATGTGCCATGCAAAACGACTTAAAAAATATCCCAACTCCATATTTTTTGTTCATTGATTACTCATAATTTTAATTTTGCCGTTTTCATATTTTATTGGATTATTACCTTGAAATAATTTGGTATTGGGCAGTTATTTCATAAAACAAATAATAAAAACTAAAATATTGATAAACTGATTAAAAGTGAATTTCTTTTCATAAGCACGACATGCATTTTAGTTTAAAATTTTAATGGCTTTAATTTACATAGTAAGAATAAATATTTTAATTCAAATTGACCAGGTAACAAAAAATCACATAAAAAGGTAAATACATTATTAAGAGGGCTATTAACAATTTTATTTCCAAAATTATGCAAAAGTTTATAAATATTTTAGTATAAAATGTCTATATATTTTATTGAAATATATTATTTTATTTATTTTTATTGCATAAAATGCGCGTAGAAAGAATGTTAAATAGCAGGTAGGTAGAATTATTGAGTTTAAAAATAAATATGTTAATTTTATTACCAAAACCCGAACAATTACAATGGAGCATTCAAATGGACATTACTATTTTCCGTAACTATACATAGCAGCATAAGCAGTCAGCTAAAGCAGCGTTTACACTTTGTGAATTAAAAATTATCGACCTATGTTCATTTAAATGATGTCGATAAATTTTTAATCCAAAAATTACCACAATGAATTGCAAGAAATTAAATTTATTTTCAGCATGGATGGATACAGGGTGGTCAAACTAAACGAGGTGATTCGTAATGTAGATATAGTTATTACGGCGACAGGAAACAAAAATGTCGTGACAAGGGAACACATGGACAAAATGAAGAACGGCTGCATCGTTTGTAATATGGGTCATTCCAACACCGAAATCGACATTGTAAGCAAACGAAAAAAATACTGAACGAAAGAGAAATAAAAAACACTTTCTTACAGAATAGCTTAAGAACGCCAGATCTGACGTGGGAGAAGGTACGCTCCCAGGTGGATCACGTGCTATGGCCGGACGGGAAGAGAATTATTTTGCTGGCGGAAGGAAGATTAGTCAATTTGAGCTGCTCGAGCTTACCTTCGTTTGTTGTTTCGATAACTTCGGCCACGCAAGCGTTAGCCTTAATAGAGCTCTTCAATGCACCTACAGGGCGATACAAATCCGACGTCTATTTGTTGCCTAAAAAAATGGGTAAGAGAGTTAGATGAAGAGTTGGGATATTAATATTATTATTAATATTAATGTTTTAGATGAGTATGTTGCCAGTTTACATCTTCCAACGTTTGATGCCCACCTGACTGAATTGACAGATGAGCAGGCAAAGTATATGGGTTTAAACAAAGCTGGGCCGTTCAAGCCTAACTACTACAGGTATTAATTAGAGTGTACGGGAAAATTTTTACTTTTAAAAATGTACTGCGATAGATTAAGTCAATGTTGTTAGTTGTTGCCAGATAGTTTTAAATAATTGATTATTATATAAAAAATAAATAACAAAATAAATTGCACTTGCATTTTACACAAAAATGGTTAATATTAAATAACGGGTAGAATTTTGCCTTATATTTGTTTTTATTGAAGTTTGCAATACTAAACAATGCTCAATAAAACTTATTTTTTTATAGCATCACTCTCATCACATAACAATTTTATTTTTAAATTATTTTGCCCCAATCCACATCTAATCTATCAATTAATGCTATTTATGTATTTTGGGGCATATTAATTTACTTTTGATTGTTCCTTAGTAAACTACAAATTTAATAAAATTCGCGACTTTACTTTCCATAGAAAATAAGTTCTATAAAAAGCAATCTTGAATGTTGGTGATTGGTTTATTACTTTCTACAGAAATAATTTACTATTGAAAGTAAAGTTTCTGATTTTGTTGTTTGTTAAAATTGTACTTAATGAAACGTAATAGTCAATAATTTGTATGTAAATGTTAAATCAATTTTGTGCAGTTTTTATAGTCATTTTACTTGCTCACTTACATACACATACAGGGTTAGGTATAGGTATCTTTTTTATTTGAAGAGCTACAAGGTCAGTTAAATTGGACAAAAGTTATTAAAATGGTAGGTATTTGAAAACTGGGGTAAAAAATCAACGGTTCTCAAAATCAATCGTTATTACTTAATTACTACATAGGAATTTTAAAACAATAGTTGTTTGTTTTACAAGTGTTGAAAATGTTTTTTCTACGACCCTTTTATTTTTTATTGTATTCAAATATAAAACAAAATAACCTAAAAACGTGTTTGACAGCTGTCAAAATTACTTCCATCTTATTTTTTAATTTTGAAGGTATAAGTTACTTAAAATTAATAAACGTACCTTCTCAATTTAAATAAAGGCACTAAAATTGAAATTTATTATACAAACACAATTATTTGTGTTCTAAATAATATTTAGACAAACATATACAAATACAATACAAATTTTTAAACAAATGTCAAACGATGCTGTCATTTTTTACACAGAAATGTCACTTTACATTTGTGTTTTGCCTTGCCAATGAAAAGATTCATTTTCTAAGCAACGATGCCATTACAAAATGTGACTTTTACATAATGGTCGTAGAAAAAGTAAGTTTTTCATGCAAACACACATTTATCCACATTTTTATCCAATTTGTGATTTTTTTGAAGGGTTTTTAGTTTTTTTTCAAATATTTTAAGAACCGCTTAATAAGGCTTAATAGGCTTCTAATTACGCAACTTTTCTCGAATTTAACCTCTAACCAAATAAAAAAAATCCCCATTGAAGTATACACATATACAGAAGGATACTTGGTGCACCCTGTATACTGTGACAAATTTATTTATTAATTGGATTGTATAAAATTTCTTTTAATTCATTGCTTCTGTAAGCATGGGTTTATCCGAGTGTACTCCGAACACCTACTCTTGAAATAAATAAAAAACTTGTTTAATGTATATCAAGAGACAACTCTTTAAACTTGCAATATGCGTAGTTAATTTAATGGCCTATATAACTTAGTTAATAGTGTATTTGTAAATTAGTTTGTCAGTATTAGTACCTAAATGCAATAGGTACACATTTATTTGAATCTTTATGTTCTAGGAAATTATTTATTTTTACATAATCGGCAATTATACACCATTTATAATAAAATATATAAAGTAAAATTTCTGTGTCATACTTGTGATTAAATTTGTAGCTAGTGATATTCTGAAAGTATTATTTTTAAGTTAAACTCACAATAAAAATTAAATAGATCATCTAGATGCTAATAATTTTTTCTATGCTGACGTTTGTAAAAATTGTTAATATTTGGGAGTATACTTTATTTATAAGGATAAATTATACATCCCAAAAATATATTTGTTAAACAGTGGTCATTATGATTTAAAAGTTAACTATTAAAAAAAATTAAATCATATTCTTAAATTTTGTTTAATATCGAATAAGTTAAGTTTTTAATTCATATGTACCACTACATACATTTTATGTATTATTAGGACAAAATAAAATATATAAAAGCATATTTCCCTTTTATTTCTCCTTGGGTTTTCTATATTTGTAAAAAGGTAAAAATGGTAAAAAATTACTTTCTATAAAAAATTATCTCTATACACTAATCATTCTCCACAGCACACTGGAATGCCGGGCTCTGATTGGTTTATTGCTTTCTATAGAGGCCATTTTCATTGGAAAGTAGGTAACAAATTTTTAGAAACAAAATTATTTAGCAGTGAAATCTAAATAGTATAAAAATTGATTTTTAACTTAATCGATTAAAGGGCTGGCATGGCATGTATGCATTTTAAGGTAAGTATACAAAAAATGAATATGAAAATAACATAATTAATTAGGCAATTATTCAAAAAAATCCCCTAAAAACTTGAAATTTCAACTTTTATAGGTTTTAGTTCCGATTTCGGCCGTTGGCACACATTGGCGCTACTGTCTAAGTATTTTACGCATGTTCCCACTATTTAAACTATTTTTAAAATAAATCGAATAAAAAGTGATTAAAACGTTACTAATTAGTATTATTTTATAATTAAATGATTGGGATTTCAACATAGATAATTTTTTATTTTATTATTGATAACCCAATTCAAAATTGTCAAATGTCAAAAACCTAGAATCAAAACATGCGAGTGACAAATAATTTAAAAATGTAATAAAATTTAAACTAAATACCACGCAACTGATGTTTGGAAACTATTCGAACCATGATATAAATACATACAAATTCGAATCACGACTCTAGACGGTAATAAATTTAATTTCGGTTTTAACCTGTTATAGCTAAAAATAGAGCTAACTTTTGAGTATATGTAGACATTAAATTAAAACACGCTGCATAATTCATATTGTTATTACTCTTGCAGAAGCAAAAATGCCCGGAAAAGTAAAAGTAAAAATTATATCAGGGAAAAACTTACCTGTTATGGATAGGTCGAGCGATACCACAGATGCTTATGTGGAAATTAAATTAGGCAACACTACATACAAAACCGATGTATGCAGGAAATCCCTGCACCCCCAATGGAACTCCGAATGGTACAGATTTGAGGTACTGCAACCGCACCAATAATCACCTACAAAAATACCAAAAAGTTTTATTTAGGTTGACGATTCAGAACTACAAGATGAACCCCTGCAAATCAGGCTCATGGACCATGATACATACTCAGCTAATGATGCAATCGGCAAAGTTTACCTAAATTTAAATCCACTACTTCTCCCTGCTGCCAGTCAGTTAGTCAAGTACAACTACAATGGGGATTCGAATACAAATCATGACAACATTGGTAATTCGGTTATGTCAGGTTGGATTCCTGTATACGATACTATGCATGGTATTAGAGGCGAAGTGAATATTATCGTTAAAGTGGAATTATTCTCGGATTTTAATCGATATCGACAATCTTCCTGTGGAGTTCAGTTTTACTGCTGTAAGTACCCTTTTATTTATACAGAGCGTCTGTTTTGGAAGTTTTAATTTTGAAAAACGGGATATTTTTAGGTTATGTAACGCATGCGCATTTCAAAGCATCCTACTGCTTTTGCGTAAATATTATTAGCGAAAATAAAAGAATAAGGTTTAACTTACCATAACAAATCAATAACTAATTAAATAAATAAATATTTCACTGCTAAAAAACGATATTTTTAAATTGACAATGGTGTTTTCGAGAATTTTCTATGTGGAGAGAAGTTTGCAATGTATTAATGTTGCCAACTTCTCTCTGAATAAATTAATTACACTACACCAACATTAAAATTCAACAAACTTTATATTTAATTTATTTATAAACTTTATTTAAACTTATTACATATGTATATTTTTTTTATTTCATAATTTTTCGGTATCACAAAATTCATATTCTTGACTTAAAACAGCGGCGGCTCCTGAACCACCAGGGGGGGGTGGGGGTGGTTTTTTGTCCAATATCCCTGGATAGGGTGATTTAGCAGTAAAATCTGTTGTCCCCGTTTTTTTCTTTGGTAATTGTTTGCCCTTCTTGGGAGCTAAAAATTTATTACCTACTTTATATCTGTACACAATACTATTATTAACACATACAAGGGATAACATCTTTACTGGCTGGTGTACTGTAAGCCCCTAAAATAAATGTCTTCAATAAGTACCTAGGTATATAAGTGTATATCTTACTTCGTAGCTTTTTGGCTAATGGTTGACTTTCAATGTCGTCACTAAAAGTCTTTTCGTAAACCCCTACAAAACATTTAAGTTAATTACAAAATAATATTTCCATCATAAATATATAATAACTTTTCATGTTAGTCAAACTGGTTTCAGATTTGACACGTCGTAATGAAGTTGAATTAGATTCAAAAGTTTGTCGAACACTATCACCACTATTTCCAAAGACAAATGGCCATGGTACAAGTCTGAAATTTGTAAAAATGAAATCTCCACACGGGTAAAAAATAACTTACTGTTGCTCCTCAAGGATTTCCACCAACGGCTCCAGATGGTCTCCACCCTCCATTACTTGTTCGTCCGGATTTTCCTCGATATTAACGTTTTCTTGGCTTTTTTTTCCTTCCATTTTAATATTGTTGATTACAAGTCGAATTTGAATACCCAAATGAAGCGGGAGTGTTTTTTCCGCGCTGCACTGACTGCCAGTGCCGACAACCGTACAAGAAAAAATAATACCAAAAGTATTTATATTTTTATTACGAAATAAGACATTTAAATGTAACTAAACAACTTTCTTTCTGGATTTTGCAAGAGTTATTTCTCGTTGCTTTCAGTTTGCGTACTTTTATCGGCTGTGGTTTTTTTTGCCTTGCCTTTATCTTCCTCACCTGCAATACCTAATGATTATTAAAAATATACAAAAAATCTTCTCGAAAAAATGTAACTTACGATTTCTTTTGCACATGCATGTACATTTGAATTTGCTTTTCTGCGCAACTTTGCTTCGAGAAGCGGGAAACAATTCTAACGAACTCGAAGACGAACTTAACAACGCCTCCCAAATCGGTCTCTTCGCAGGTTTCTTTTTCTTTTCTTGTGAAACCTCTTTTAGATTCACTGGTGGATCAGAATCACTACTTATTTCGATGATTTCCTCCTTGGGATCAGCCATTTTTCTACGTTTGTAAAACTTGGTTCACTCGCGCAGCGTCTTTCTGTGCAGTGAGATTTCAGAGTTGCCAACTTTAAATTAAATACCAGCTGTCCCGCTTCTGCAGTACTGACAGCTATGGCACGCCGTTTTAAAATTTTATTGGTTTTAAATGTTCCTAACCAAAAACTCGATTGCCTTCCTTCCTCCCGTAAAAGATGAACAATACAAAAACCGTTGTGCTGTTTATAGATTACCGTCAAAATTAAAGGAAAGAAAAAGTCTTTAATATTTTATATTATTTAATAAGTACCATTTTAAGTTTATAACAACTAATTAATGTTTTTAGAATCATTGGTGGATTTTTGTTTTTGTTAATTATTGCTCCCATTAGCTTGTCCTTCGTCTAAAAAAAATGACTAGGATTAGGGTTAGAACGATGAAATAATATAAAGTATACCGTGAGTTTGCGTCTCTTTGTCAGCTGTGACCCTTTTAGCCTCTGGAAGTCTTTCATCGGCTTCATCTGCATCGCCTGTAATAATTAATAAAAATGGGCAAAATAAAAAAAAATATCCATGAAACTCACGTTTTCTCTTGCACGTGCATACACAATTACATTCAGGACTGGAAGGAATAATAAACGTGGAAGCATTGGATCGAATGCTGGGCAAGCTGTTATCTTCACCTTCAATAACTTCTTCACTTTCTGCTTGCGAGCTCGACGATGATGATGATGAAGAAGAAGAACTCAACATCAGATCATTGGCAGGGTTATCTTCTCCGTTTCGTGCAAGCTCTTCCAACTCGCCTGATGAATCGCTGTTTATTTCAATTACTTCTTCGTCGTGATCACTCATTTTTATTTCTTTCATTTGTACAACTTCAAATAAGATCGGTAACGAACTGGCTGGGGAGTGTCTGCCCGCGCAATTGCCAACGTAAAGATTTAAAATTCAATGTAAAGTTGCTCTTTTTAAAGAAATAAATCATAAATATTGTACACGAATTTAAAATTCAAATTGGAAACTTTTATTTCTGTATTTCTATAAAGTTGAGCAATATTTTCAAACTTAATATGAACACCTGAAGAATATACTAAACACTGATACCACAGGTCTCCGATGATATAAATAACCAATAAATAATATTTGTTGATATTGGTAGTGACGTATAATAAAAATATTTAAATAATTTCACAACGTAAGCTGTTTATTTAAATTTGTGGTTGGTTTTAAGTTTCATTCTAAACAATACAGGGTTTTCTGAAAACTGCACACTAACACGATACTTATGGGGAGTTATTTGAAAACAATTCTGACGATCTACTACTCAAGTAGTTTTTCAGCTGGTTCGAACCCCTCACTTTGTTTTTCAAATTGGCCTTCTAATGTTAATGATAAAGCTTTTTTGATACTACGATATAAAGCGCTAGGTACCTGTTACATGATGTTACGAACCTCAAAAAGGGTACCGTGCAAACTGTGGTGGACATCCGAATAAGCTGTGCAGTTGTTGGTTGCGGAAGAAAATCGAAAGGGGCCCCAACGGAGACGATGCGGATGGGGCTAGCTATAGCTATATACAGCCCGTTCAGAGTAAAACCGAATATATATATATATATATATATATATGGGGCGTGGCCTCGCCTCCCTCCAACGCGCGACACAGTAGCTAAGCAAATAGCCTGCATCGCTAATGAGATTTTTTGCATTATTATCATTTAATTTTTTAAGTCGTCTTACCTGCTCGACCTTTCGTCATGTCGTTTATCACACAAGCTACTGTGACGCGCCTTGGATATATATATATATATATATATATATATATATTCGGTTTTACTCTGAACGGGCTGTATATGTTCATTGTAACAATACATATAAATCAGAGTAGAATATTTCTTGATCATTAGCATTTATCAAATATATAATTTTAAATAAAAAAAGTTCATTATTTCATTTTTGTCATAAAACTTTATTTTGAGAGTATTTTCCCTTGTTACAGCGCCCACTGTGCCTCAGGGTTATTACGCTCAAGTGATTCACGGGTTCGTCGAAGAACTAGTGGTAGACGACGACCCGGAGTATCAGTGGATAGATAAAATCCGGACCCCTAGAGCTTCGAACGAGGCGCGGCAAACTTTGTTTTTTAAATTGTCCGGGGAATTGCAAAGAAAAATCGGCGTGAAAGCGTTAAATTTGGGGGGTAACGCCGTGATTGGCTACAGTCAGCACTTCGATTTGGAGGGGGAGTGTGGGATAGTGGCCAGGGGGATTGGGACAGCTGTTACTTTGATCAAAATTGTGGATTTGCCTTATAATAATCCCGCGGTTTTGGTCAGCAATGAAGACAAGAGCGAAGAGTAAGTGCAGTTTTTTTAGTTCCCATTAAACGAGGGGCAAGCCTGTATCAACTTTCAAATTAATAAAACGGTTTTGCCCCTTGGTCCTTAACATACATGACTAGTTAATTTCAAAGAAGACGATTACATGCGAAGATTTTATTTTATACTAGGGATTTAAAGAAAGGTATTGCATGCTTTTTAAGTTAAGATGATGATAATTGAGTGAACTCTATTCTGACTTTTTTTTCTGTTTATTTTTCCCCCCTGCATGCAGGCGTGCAAAGAGTTATTTAAAATTTGTTGGTTGTGACAAAAGCTTTCGCCTAAACGCAACCCCCTCAATGCCGGGTTTTTATATCCCTTTTCCAAACCCCCTGAAAAATTTCCACCCCAAAATACAGGAACGCAGCTTGGTGAAACCTAACTACAAATTCACCAAGCATTTATCTTTGAACGACCATTTGACTAAATCGAATCCTTCCTTGAACGATCCCTCTCTGAAAACCCTCCTCAAGCAGGAGGATAAACGGGGAACGCCTGGCAAGGGCTTGTCTCAAAGATTCAAGAACTTTAAATACTCATCGCATAGCTCTTTGTCGAAAAAAATGACTGCTTTAAAGGCCAAATTGGGCGACACAGGTATTGGGGAGGAAAACGAGGAGTACACTCCAATGGACGGGAAACAAAGGCGCAACCTGTTCAAGCGCGCTCAAAGCGAAAACGCTCCTAGCAGTGCAATGGCGGAATTACTGGCCAGGAGTGTGATACAAGCACACAACAGTTTGAGTTGTATTTTGGAAACGAATTCTCAGCATACTGACTCAGAATCTGAGACAATGGAAAAGCTGGAACCCATTGCAAGTTTGCTAAGTAAAACCGTATCTGAGCCCGCGATACCTTTAGATGATAACGAATGCGTGAGCTATTCTAGCTCTGAGTCGACCAGCTCAGACTACGATTTCGACTTGAACGATGTAAGCCATGAACCAAACTTCGATGATTTTGATACGATAAGTAACATTCTTTCCAATGTCGAGCTGTTGGAGAGGGATCAGGGTAATCTCAAAAAACAGTACTCTTTACCGCTGCTACCTACTAAAAGCTCTTCCGCGGATATTACTGGAAATGTTTTTATGTTTCCTGCTGACAGCGAGGACGATTTCAGTGTTAATTATGATGCTGGATCGGAATTTTCCGGCATTATTCCTGATGTCTCATCTGCAGAAATATATGAGGTTTTTGAGGAAATACAAAAAATTGCGGAAATTAATGATGTGGAAGATGAAAACTCTACAAATTCTGATACACATGTAGATCAAAATAAAAGTAAAGAAAAATTGGCTGTATTCACGATGAATGAAGATGACGATGAAAAGGAAATAGAAATAGATCCTCTATCAAAACAAGAAGAAGTGGTGGTTCCACAAAGCCCTAAACCTGCACCTACAGATAAATTCATAATTCCCCCAGTTATGATTGGAGCTAACATTAAACCAAAAGGCTTAGTAAAAACAGCAATGCAGACAATGTTATTAGAAAAAGTTAACATCATAGGCACTTACACACCGCCCACTTCCCCTACATATTCTGATTGCAGTATTTCACCGTCGAAACCACAAATGTTTTATTCGCCTTTTGTTCTGCCTCAGAAAGAGCAAAAAATAAAGAAATCTTGTACTTCTGGAGATTTTTCCGATTATCTTAGGAAAAATGAGACTGTCTTAGGTGTACCTTTCACCCATATAACAACCTTAAAGTCTGATATACTCAAAAGACAGCAATCTCACCCCTGTTTATCTGTGCAGCAGACTGTCGTGGCTAGAAAGGAAGTTAAATTTCCTGAATCTATAAGGAAAGCGAGGCAAAATTGTTTTTCCGACAGTGAATTGCATAAGCCCATCATAGAGTCCTTTATTAAAGAGAAGGATCACAAGAAATTGAGGTTTTTGCAATTGTTACTTAAAACCAGAAGTCACGAGTCTTCACTAAATGAGCACGCACACAAACGGAGATTCAGCTTGTTTCACCACAACAAGAAAAAGGAGAAAAGTAGCGATGAGTTGCATAAGAAAAAGTTTCATTTTATAAGACGTAGAAGTCGTAAGGTGTCGGAGAATGATCATGAAGCCAAAGAACATAAAAACCTAATATCAAAAATATTCAGCAAATCTGAAAAACACATTGATGATAAATCCGGAAGTGTTTGTGAAAAACACATCGATGATAAATCTGGGAATGTTTCTCAGACAAATACTCCAACTCCAAGCCGTCCCGTCACTCCAAACTTTCCCTCGTCCACGATTTTATTAACCAGTACTAATACTACTAACGTCGAACCTGATAACGAAAACACTCAAAAAGTTGAGCTTGTCAACACAAAAACTGATACAAGCGTTAGTAACAGTGATAAGCAAGCATGCTTAACCCCAAATAGGAATAACACGTCACCTCTGCCTCCGGACCTCAACGTCAATGGGAACCACACGCCGGAGCAGATTCCCAAACAGCCTTCACCAGCGAAAATCAACCACAACATCTCGATAACGCATCGAAGATCTTCGGACTCCGACCTGAGCATCACGCCGAAAGGTAAGTCTCAAGTTTCTTATGCATCGGATAGAGTTAAACCAAGCAACACAAAAACCTTAGCTAAGCAGACCTGGAGCTAAACAAATGTTAGAAGTACACCAAAACAAGTACTTTTCGCCAACGTTGTTGGCATCTTCAGAAGAGAAGTGTAAAAAAAGTAGAAAGCACGATTTAATTATCGTAGGTGTTAATTATTAAAATTTAACTTTAAAAGCAAATATATCAGAAGTATAGCAACCAACATTACACTCAAGATTTTTTACAAATATTTATGCCCCCGTTAGAACAGCACTGCACTGGACCGTGACCTTCGATAGATTACTTCGTACGATTGTGCCTGATGAGTCACGTTCATATATTGGTGGTTTATACTGTAACTGAGTTACACTAAGCTTCTGAAGATACCAATATCGTTGGCGAAAAGCTTTAAGCACTTTGGGTTTTGTTTTGGTGTTGGGAAATATTTCTAATATTTGTTTAACACATCACCAACGTTTTTTAAGTAATACCTGGAGGTGTTCCAGGGAGTTTGCTATTTTACTTTCTATAGAAAGTGGTTTCTATCGGAAGTGATTAACCAATGTTGCTTAGATAAAATACTAAACAGTTGCTCGGGTATATTTACACAACACTGTATAGTTTTGACAAAATGCGATTTTATATATAACATCGAAAAGTTAATTTATCAATTCCTCATGTGTCATATTTTGCTCATTAACTAAATTAGGCTATTAAATTTTGAACAAATAGTTTTTTCATCGAATAAAATTTGGCACGTGACAATACTTACAACAAAAATAAACTTTAATACAATGTTATTGTTTAAATGTTTCATATTTGTTTAAATAATTCTAACATAAGGATTGTTTAAGAAAAGTGAGTATAAGATGCTTGTTAAATGTTGCATCTTTGTGTGATAAAAATGTAGAGCAACAATTGTCTTGAACAATAAATAAAATTTATAAATAACCACTTGATAATGATAATTATTGCTCTATTATTATTGATAAACTTTCATAATACTCATTAATTTTTTCCTTCGATAAAAAGGATTTTTAAGCAAAAGTGAGTATATCTAAATATGTTGTCAAAAACTATATCTGTCATTAACCTATCATGTTTTTCGATCTTCTTATAAATTATATAACTTACCAAAACCTACTACCTACTAAGTCATCATGGCCTTCTTGTAGATTTGCCAATAACTGTTTTTCTTTTGGCTCCTGATTAATTTTTTAAACCGACCAATTTTTGTAGCAGTATACGTTTTACAAAAAAGAGACGCTTTTGGAATACAACTTTTTTTAAAACCTGTTGCATGTTACAAAGGTAAGAAATATTAATAGACTAGATATCTAGATAGCTAAATGTTTAATTTAGACCCAAGCTTGGCTAAAAGTATTTCAGTTAATTGTCTTAATGCTACTTGAAGGCTCCTTGTTCACTGAAATCATTGTTTTGTAAGTGTATTGCTCTCCAAGTTTAAAACGTATTGGATTTTTTGCATATTGTATGTAATAAAATTTCACAGGAAATAGCTTAACAGGCAGTGATAGGTCTGGCGGAGCCACTAGCGGATATTTTATGAGAAACAACGTTATGTTGAGGTCTCAGGTGCATCAAGAGAATTTCGATATGCTGGAATATCCATTCCTAACCATGTCAAAATTTCCAACAGGATTTATACTGCAAATAGGTAAGTACATTAATGTTTACTAAAGTCCGTTTCACACGAAATGCGAAAAATGTTTTCATTGGTCCATTTGATTTGGCGGGAAAAGCGTTTAGACAGATCCTGCGAATCCTAAGATTGATTCAATATTTTGCGAAAATCGCACTAATTTAGCGTGATGCGCATGCGTTTCGCATACAAATTATTGCAATTGTTTATCATACCCACGCAATTTATGTTTATTTCGTCTGTATCATAGGGTTTTTTTATTGGTACATTAATGTTTCTTGTATTTCGCAATTCGCATCTATATGAAACCGACTTAACACTACAGCTTTTTAAAATTAGACGATTTTTATAATGCTAAATTTTATTATAAAATAAGAAACAGTGTTTTATACCAGCCATACATACATTCATAAATAGATAAATACATAAAAAATAAGTAAAAATTGTTTTGTTCCATCCATACAACAACAAAATGATTGCTAAGCAATGGGGAGAGTATCAAAGTTTTCCAAAAGTCTCACCAACAGGTCCAGTGTGGCTGGGTTTTTCGATAGATATGTATAGAACGTAAATGCCCTTAAGGCCTCGGGCAAGTATTTCTTCAAAAAGTACCTTCCAAATATATTTGTGCTGATTAAAGCATAGCACATTATGATATTGTGCAAAGGCTCAAGCACAATTGCATCTTTAAAGTCCGGGTAATGTAATTCCATACCGTTTATGGTATCATTTAGGGCCCCCACAATTCGCGTCAATGTTATACTTGTGGAGCACACAAAATTCAGCGCCTTGGGGTGTCTCAAAAACCTGAACATGATGTTAACGCAGATTATGGTTGTATCGCGTCTGTATGACGCCATGTTTAAGGCTACGGTATCCATAAAGCCCGAATCTATGCAAAAATGAATGATTATGTTGAAAGGTGTCATCAATATCATGTTGAACATGGTTAATATGCGATTTTTGATGCAACAGTAGAAGGGCAGATTGTAGTTTGTCATCAAAAACGGGTAAAGAGAATGCAAAAACGGCGAACATACCAAAGATATTTTTGTTCTAATATCGAGGGCAACCCATTCGAAAATTGTCAGCGCTTCCATTAAAAGTTCGAAAGTGCGTACATCCATATTCGGTTCAATAATATATTGGTTTGCATCGGAAAAAATGTTTGCCAGACACAGCATTAAACCTTCAGTCGACCATACTAGTTCAGCGAAATCATCTGGCGCAAAATATACCTCAGAAATTTTCATAATCGTCTTGTTGCTCAAACCTTGCTCCAAATTTGGCGTTTGGTTAAGCCAAAAGATTATTATTTGCCGTTTTACCTCCATTACTTCGGGGCTGTATAATACCACCGGCGATTGTGAGTTTAAAGGGTATCTTGGAATGACCATGTTTACTACTAAAACATGGCAAATGTCAAATAAACCATATTTCGATATTAAAAGTATATAAAACTTACATTTATTAGTTAATACACTGCAAATTTAAACACGACGCAAATGTCAAGCCGATTTCTAACGGTAGCATCAGAGATCAAGATGGCTGAATTAAATGTCATTTCCCAGCCAATAGAAAGCACACCCCAAAAACTCGGATTTCTACTTTATCGATAAAACACAACCATATAATAAATTATTATAAATAATATTTGTTTAGTATTATAGATCCCTATACTTCTAGTTTTTTAGTTCAAGACTTTTATACAAGTTGTTCCAAATAACATACGAAGAAAATGGTAAACACAATGTTTAAATAGTTTTGATCATGCGCAATGTATAAACGATAGTATTGGCGCCATCTGTTATCAAATTTATTTACTTTTTACTCTTTAAATGTCATCAACATGAATGACCAAATTTAGAAAAAGTTTCAATTAAATAAATTTTGAACCAAAAAGCTAAAATTGAAGCATAGGGATCTTGTACTAAGATTTTAATATGTACCATATAGGTTATATCAGTAATTATTTTTGTCAAAACGTATAATTAACTTTTTTTATTCATCATCGATTTCTAAATTCAAATAAAACTCATCTGAATATGCACTATAGTGACGAAATAAAGCTTTATTGTTGAAATACATTCAAAGGAGGGTATTAAATGGTAGGAGGTATCAAATTATCCAGAAGTATCACTAATAAATTCCTAGTGACAGGACTTTCCATTAGATAAAGTTGAAATGTAAAGGCACTAAAGGTTTCTGGAAAGTGATCTTTCAAAAATGACTTTCCACGAGAATTAGTGCTGATTAAAGTGAAGCACATTATAATGTTGTGCAACGGCATCCGCCCAATTTCCTCATAAAAGTCCGGAAAATTTAAGGCCATACCCTCTAAGGTAATATTTAAAGCGTCCACAACTATCGCCAATGGTTCTTCTGAGGCACACACGAAAATCAGGGATTTAGGGTGTCTCAAAATTTTTTCCATGATGCTAACAGTGATTGCACTTGTTTCGCGTTTAAACAAAACCATGTTGAATATAATGATATAAATAAACTCAGTTTCTAATAAAAAATTAATGACTACATTAAAAGGCATCATCAACAACAGGTTGAACATTGTTAATATGCGATTCTTGATGTAACAGTAGAACGGAAGATCGAAGTTTGTTAACAAAAACGGGTAGACAGAAGTCAAAACCGTCGTAGCCATAAGAGATTTTTTTGTACGATTATCCAGCGCAATCCATTCGAGAATCGTCAGCGTTTCCATTAAAAGTTGAAAGGTGTTTACATCCATCGTCGGTTCATTGATGTATTGGTATGCCTCAGAGAAAATCTTGGTCACGCACGGCATTACACCTTTGGTCGACCATAATAGCACAGCAAAATCCTTTGGGACAAAATTTAGCTCAGCAATTTTCATAATCGTCTTGTTCTTCAAACCTTGCTCCAACTTTGGCGTTAGGCTTAGCCACTGGATTATTTGTTGACGTTTGAACGCTGCTACTCCAGGACTGTACACTGTAATCGGGGCGTGTGGGTTTCTAGGGTATCTTGGAATGGTCATTTTAACTATTAAAACATTGCAAATGTCAAACAACGATATTAAAAGTGTATATAACTTACATTTATTATGTTGGTTCGCAGCAAATATTAACACGACACAAATGTCAAGCTGATTTGTAACGTTTGCATTAAAATGTCATTTCTCAGCCAATCATGGACGTAGTGAAGGTTCTAATCATGAGGGGTTCGAAGATTTTGCCGACTGCTGCAATATTTTATAGGTTTAAGATTGAGAAAAAATTATACTTATAGTGCAAATAAGTTTTTGAGAGTCGGCATTAGCTACAACTGCAAGTAATAAAACTTCACAGAAAAATGAGGATCAGAATTTGCTTTTGTATATTTAACCCATCGCTACGTCACTGCCTAGAAAACACCGCTGACATCTGTTGTGTGTTTGTTTAAAAGTTGTAGACAATGATGTTTCTTGAATAAAGGAAAGATTTTGTACTTCCATTGCCCTAGTATTTTTAATCAGGACGTTTCGACTGGTAAGTCGTCTTCAGGTGAATACTTACGGTATCGCCAGGTTCATGATGTCTTTGGATAAAAGAGCATTCTATAGATTCTATACATTACGGTAGTTTGGCTTCTGATGGGAAAGAGGCTTCGTTACCAGATAGAACATGAGTATGCTTGTGTTGATTGTCTGCTCGCTATCCACTATTTCAAGCACCTTTCCAAGTTTGGAATTCTGCCCTCGCAGTTCGATCTAGTGACACCATACCGAGCTTTATTATCGCTCCAATATAGAGACATAAAGTCTCTTACAATAGCATCATCTATTTGGTCGTCATTGTTTTCAGCGTAAGAAGCCCATCGGTTGAAATGGATCAACTTTGGCTTTTCTATTGATTGTTTCCTGATCTTGTAGATGATGTCATTTATTCAATTTATGTCTGGCTTTTTTTAAGTCAATGTCTGTTTCCCTGGACATCCTGAGATCTTCTGCAACACAGTGGGCCAAGGAGTAATCGGCCAAAACCTTGGGTAGATCTTTTAGTTCTTCTTGAGTGACACCATACCAAGCTTTATTATCGCTCCAATATAGAGACATGAAGTATCTTACTATAGCATCGTCTATTTCAATCAGTTAAAATGGCTTCCCTCTTGGTTGTTTCCTGATTCTGTAGATGATGTCATTTATACGATCCATGTCTGGAAGTCTGCAGCTTCAGCGAACGCCAAGGGTTGTATAACCAACTAGGTCTCCAGGTTAAAATCCTTCATTTTTCATCTTGATGTCGTATGCCTCTTTTATTATATCGCTGCAGCGAATTTTTTAAACATGTTTAAAAAATTCGGCTCTGAATCTCATTTTCTTACGTAAATTGCTGACGTAATCTTCTCCAACAATATCTTCCCCTGCTAGGCAGCCAAACCTCAGGTCACAAGGGAGACGTTCATAAATGGATTGTTTTTGACCATCACGTTCAAATCAGTGATAGGCACCCAGGTAGCACATTGACGTTTAAATGACGATGCTAACGTCGTTTAAACGTCAATGTGGTGCTTGGGCAGTTATTTTCAGTTGCTAATTGTAAATTTCCAGATATAACTAGGAAACCTTGTCGATAAAAATCATTTAACATGGCTTTCAGCTTTCTACCTTATCAATAAAACACAAATAGGTTAAAATGTTTATTAAACCATTAAAAGACATAAGTAGGTACTTAAAGTAACAAATAGGTTACTCTTACAAAAACAAACTCTACGAATCTCTTGCAGTCAGGATTAAAATCGAAAAACTCCTGTAAATTTCCATTAAGGAATCTTTCTGGACAGTACTCTTCCAATAAATCCCATGAAAGATGGCTTTTGTTTAAAAACCAATAGCTAATAATGATTTTCTCCAAAACGTCTGCGTTTGTTTCATTGAGTTCCATAGTATCCACTGCCTGTCTTAAAGAATGCAATACAATTCTCATATTGATGTTATTTTGGGATACGTAATTTAAACCTTGTTCTGTTGATAATATGCCTTTAACTATCTGTATAGCGTACATGTTCAAATTGCCGCTGTAATGTACGATCTTTAAACAAGCCCATATTGCGTGTGTATTGGTTATGTACTCAGCGGTTTCTGGGTCTTTATTTATAGCTAGTAACCTAAAGAGTCTGAGGGTGGCTTTCTTAACATCATCATCTATTAACTCGACCTCCAGCAATGGTAATAAAATCGAAGGAATATCATCTTTTAATAACAAACTTCTGGGATGTGGTTCTTTCAGCAGGACAAATAAAATTCTGATGGCGTGTACGACATGTTTTTTTCGAATCACGTGGCCTTGTTTTAAGATGGCCACCAAATTCTCGATCATCCGAGGCGTATACAAAACATGCAAAGCGAAATTCGGAAATGGCGAACTTTCAACTAAGCGTTTCAATCCCTTGTACTTCTTTAGAGGCTTGTTCATAAAATTATTAGCGAATTTTCTTAAATATTTCAAGAAGCCATCGCGGATTCGCATATCCTCGTATTTACGATGGAAAAGGTTCCTAGAGCGTCCATATGTAAAGTTTTGTTATTTTTAGTGTTTAAATGTACTTACCAATGGTTGTTTTCATTTCCGTATACGTAATCTGACATATTTATTTATTCAAAGGGACAATTATCCATAAAACTTGTAAACCTGGCGTCTCACAGAGATTAGCTAGCAAAAATCAAACCTTGATAAACTTTTGACAGTTGACAGTCCAGTGGCGTAGTAAAAGACTTTTACTACCCCACTAAAAGTACATTATGATATTGTTTCATTCATTAGGGGGTGCTGTAAGTGCAAGATCTGTAAAACTCTTGGAAAGGATAACAAATGTGGAAGAACCAGAATCCAGAGACACTTGGTGGTCGGAATTAAGAATGGAAATAAGATCGCACGCCAGAAGTTTAAATTGCAACGCTGTCTTAGGGTATTCGGAAACGACCAGCATATGGTAAATTACGCAATGTATTTTTTTAAGTAATTATTTCTTGATTATTTCATCTTAGTGACGATGTATGCGTTTTGAGTGCCATCGGTACAGCGGCGGTAATTGGCTTCATGTATACTGATGAAAATGAAGACTCGATAGGAAATTTACCTGTGATACAAAAACCCCACAATCTACCAAAAAATATTATGACAACATCGTTAGATAGGAATTTCGATAAAGAAAAAAATCCCATCAAGGATGAAAAGGTACAAATCAATGTCAAAAAAGCCATATTTACTTAAAAAAACTTAAATCCTCCTTTATAACATATTAAAAGTTTAAGTTTCAAAAGGGTCGTCTTGTGTGTTGGGTCTAAAATTCGAACTTTCGATAGTCCGTCACTAAATACATTTGGCAACCTTGGCCTCCTCATTTTATTTGTTGCTTTTACAAATTTCGGCCTATTGATAACAGATGGCGTCAGTGTCGTCTTGTATACATCGCGCATGTTCAAAAATGTATTTAACAAATATAATATAAAGGTTGATGTACTTTTTCGAGTAAATATGCTTCTTTTTGCCACGATAAGACAACTTTTTAACACCTAGGTATATTTTTAGAATAATAAAACACTATTTGAAAGTCCGGAACATAATTCAAATTCAAATGCATCTAGCTGGGTTCCTTGTAATATAACGCATTTGCCTTATGATTCTAATAATGTTCCCGTGAGATCAACAGTATTTAAGTGCGGGGTATGCTTGTAAGTACATTAAAAAACCTACCCTTTATTAATCGTAATAACAAGGTAACACATTTTAGAAAAGGGAAAGTGCCTGACATTTTATTATCCACCATAGAACCCCCCGACAATTTACCCATAATAGGAAGGGGATGTTTTTTAGAGTCAATCTTATGCAGGCCCTTAAAAGATTTACGTGGTGAATCAACCGCCAAAGACATAAGCGATGGTTTACCGTTTTTGGAGTATGAACTTCATAGATTGCTTATAAATAAGTTAAAAATTAAGGGGATGAATTCGATATTTGGCTTAAAAATCAAGATTTCTATAGGGGAAAGAATGCTAACTGGCATAGCCACGGGGACAGCCCTATTCTTAGCCCCATTACCGAGCCCTGGTATACCCAAATTAGTGTCAGACAGAAATTCCGAGGAAAAAAAGGTTACCAACTTGCAAAAAGATCTACACGAAGCTGTTAAAAAGAATAGGGATATTTATCAACTCAAAGGGGTTGTAAGTATGTTGTTCAGGGTTAAGAAGAAGTCTAAAGGGATTTTTTAGGAGGAGATTCCTAATGGACGGTTGTTGTCAGACAATGAGGACTCCGAGGACGAACTAACGTCCTTGGATTTGTCCTTGGGAAATAAGGACTATTGCGTTCTTGAAGTATATAAACGCAATACTTCAGTTAACAATTTTTCCTCACGATCATGTTTACAGGTCGACGATCCTCAGGATGAGGAAGTTATTAGTCTCTTAGTAGAAAGGCCCCCCCCAGAAGGTTTTCATGTCGTTAACACTGAAACAGTGCCAGGTCTGGAGGATCTGGAGATAGTGAAAAACTTGCAGATGTTCACGCAAATCTATCGCGTTAAAATTCAGCCCCAATTCAATTTGAACAATCATTTCCGTCGATTACTGGATACCGTTTATTTTAAGTTAAGAAGGATGGTTCCTTGTGCCTTATGCGACTTAGAATTTAGAATTGATTTGCCCGAACCGGACGAAATACAGTTATGCGTTATTGGAATGGCCTTGGGTTTGGGAAAGACTCAGAAAAAAGCGAAATCAAAAAGAACTGGTGGGTAGTTTTTGTTGTTTTAGCCTGTTTCTACTTCGTTTTTTTGTAGAGGACGATTTAATATTTAAGTTAGATGAAGATTCAGTATCTGATACGACTTCTCTATCAGCTCAAAGTCAGTTATCCATAAAAAGTAAGAAATCGCCATCGAAAAGTAGAGTTTCATCCATAAAACAAAGACATGTAAGTGTGTCAACAAAACCAATTTTTTTCTTCTGATAATGATATTATAGATACCATACAAAGAACGACACGGGGTTGACATTACACCTTTGTCCTACGTACCTGGAGGTAAAATAGAAAGATACCTAGGCAATTTAAACTTCTTTTTCATAAGGGAAACTACCTCTATTCGCGAGGTAAATATAATATGATTTAAATGATAGAGCATTTGGTCTGCAAATTAATTCTCGTCACTCGTCGCTGGTCATTCTACACATCATTAAAGCATTTTAACACATACGAAACAACTATTTTTACTCGTTTGAGATTTTCCAAATCATCTTAAAACGAAAGACGAGACCAAAAAAAACATTTGAAAAGCGATCTGTACTTTACACACCTCTTGGTGTCTTTTTTATTATGCTAAAAATAACCAAGCAAGACAAAAGGCCGATAATTAATTTGCAAGTTTTTATTACAGTACTTTAAAGTGAAGAAGAACATTATTTAAAACATTACCATTTAACTCAACACCTTTGCGCTTTTGGAAAAGCTTGTCTACCGTAAAATTGAACACACTTAATATATAGGATTCAAATCAGGCGAGTTTGAAGGCCTATTCTTGTTAAAGAATAAAACCGTCTGGTTCCAAATCTTTACAAAGAGCTTCCTGTTAATAGTTGTTAACATTGATCGTGCCAGTGACAGTTTTTGCTACAGTCTATAAAAATCTTCTTGTAAGTAAAAAGAACATGATCGCTGATGCAATTTCCGAAATGTATTTGATGTAATTTTTTGAATGAAGTTCTTCATCGCTTGAAAGTACGTTTTCAGTGACTGGACCAAAGTTTTATTCAGCTAAAATTTGAACCCTGTATACTAATAATTTTTAGGAGGGTGGGTTAAGCGGTTTTATTCACAGCTTTATGACTGAGGTGCTGGCCATTGTACGAGCTCATGTTACTGCGTTAGGCGGTAACGCACTTGTTGCGTATTTTATGACTGAATGCGTTTTGAATCACAGCCTCTACAAAAATCAGGTACGTAAGTGTCGGGGAAATGGGATTTTTCAGTGCAAGAAGCATGGAAAAAACGTATAGTTTTTAATATAGGGTGATTAAAAAAATCTACCATTATATACCATTTTTGATATCAGAAGTCAAAAAAGTGGAATATTTTTTAATCACCCCAAGGTCCCAAGCAGCATTTTAAGTAAAAGCGTAGAGCTTTGAGGCAATATTACTTAATTTAAGTAAATATTTTGTTAAATTTACCTTAGAAATTTACTTTGAAGTAAAACTTTTTTTAAAGTTATTTAATAAGTTGTATTTATGTTATTTTTACCTATTTTAATAACCCTTAAGTTTCAACCCTTTAAAGTATTATGAGGAATTATTTACAAATGAAAATTACTTATAAGTGTATTTCACCTAAAGGAAAATTTAACGGTAATTTTAACTAAGTCATAATTTTACGATATTAAGACCACTTTATAACCGTAAATAATTCCTATTCGCCTGGTATTTTTTAGGGTCGTTAGTGGTAATAAATACTATTAATATTGACCCAAAAGGAAAAATAACCCTAAAGGGAAATTTTTTTCGGGTCGCCATAATGAGTTATTTTAAGATGGCGTCCATTACTTACCTAAACATTTATATAATATTTTTTCATAAATATTTAAGTTATATTTTTTAATTTTACTCTAGGGTGGCCTTTATTACTTTGTAAGTACTATTTTGTAAAATATAAATTAAAAGAACAAAGAAATTACGAATGTCAATGTTTTAGAAAGAGAGAGAAAACAATTAGTAATTATAGCGTTATTTTTACGTAAATTTGTGGTATTTATATTGTTTTTATTAGTAGATCAAAAAGGTTATTATGTAGGTAAAATAACGAAATAAACCATTCCCTAAATTTGGTAATTTTTCGTATCTATACCGTTATAAAACCGTTTTGGTTAACCGTAAAAAATACTTTAAAGTTGACTTAGTAGTAAATTTGTAGTTACTTAAACATAAAATGCTGCTTGGGGTACGTAATAAAAGATACATAACTTTTTTCTGTATAGAGAGAAATTTTTTAAAAAATATTGTATTTGAAACTTATAAAGTATACGTAATAATAATAATGCCAGTAAACTATGGAAGCACTAAAAGAGCTATTGTCGTATAGCATATAAATACATAATGTGTCAACGCTGGTTTGGTTCCATAAATATACGGACAATGTATTTATATGTTAAACAACTTTTGAACAACATTCATTTTTGTCAGCTTGTAAATTAATCAAATTTACTTATCATAATTCATTTATTCATTGCTGTTTATAAATTATTGATTTTTTATTATCAATTTTCATTTAATATAAATTTGATTATAAACTGTAAATGATGTCAAATATAGTGTGATGCATTTTCCATAATTTTAAATCACCCCGTATATATAACGGTAAAGAGTAAATTCATATGCTATTAATATAAATAAGAAAAGATCCTTTATTGTCAAAATAACAAGGTAATAATAGATTTACAGTTACATGCTTTAAATCGAATTTCAATAAACACTTCATATCGACGTAGACAAGTTATTTAATTAAAATAATAATTTTAATTAGTAAACACTTTGTAGATGACGTATTAATTAATTTTTGTGCGCTTGCGCGTTTTGTAGGGACAATGCTTGATAAACGTCGGTGGAGATGTGGTTTTTGTTTCATACTTTAAAGAAGACATCTAATTTTATTTTTTGTTGGTATTAGGGTATATTTTTTACATTTTTTGCTTGCTTAATTGAAAAAATAAATCTGAATACTATTAGGTAATTTTTGTTGTATAAACGTGCTCTTAATACTCATGTGAAAACCGCAATATTTATTTTTGGCAATAATTTATGTTTAACATGACAATCATGAACATACTAGGTTGTATTTACAATTATTTAATTTGGTTTGTTACTTTGTATTAACATTTAATATGAAATACGAAAAATTAACATCTAGTCATTTGCTTTGTACTTAATATCCATACACTGTATTTCATATTAAAATTTTTTCACTTACATAGAAGAGGTCCTGGCTTAAAAATATTTTAATTATTTTGTCATTTTGTAAAAATGACACCATTTTTTAATACACTATGTATACATACCTTTGAAATGTAAATATGAATTTGTTTTAGTTGTGTTCTCAAAATAAATAAATTAAAATTTTCCCAGTCTTCTTATTTCTTCTTTCCTGCCTTCTTTCTTCTTCTTTTTGAGGGTAAGTAAAATAGAATAAAATATTTAAGTACAAATTAATATTTAGTTGTATTTTATATACAATTATTACAAGGTCCAGGTACCTACATATATATTTTTTAAAATTATTTAGGGTGTTTTATAAAACCATTGTAAATTTTTTGGTGTAGAATAATAAATGTAACTGCTAAAATATCGAAAATATTCAAAAATAAGTTTTATAAAAGTTGCTTTGTAGTTTCTTTTAAATTCTGTGGTAAAAATTTTTTTTTCTCAAGTTGGAAATGTCACCATAAAATTTAAAATAAACTACAAAACAACTTTTATTAATATTTTCGATATTTCAAACTTTTGGGCCACCCTGTATATAACTTAAAAGTAAATAGGAATTTGTTTAAGTTGTGTTCTCAAAATAAATCAATATACAGTTTTTTCTTATTTCTCGTTAAATATATAATGACTATAGAAATAGAAATAATACTTCCACAACAACTAATTTGAACAAAATTTGTGGAAAGAAGGAAACGACGGCACTAATTATATTGACACGAGCAAAATTGGAAAAAGAAGAGAACACTCGAATATAAAAAAAACACTAAAAAATATTGAGCTCAAAACGTAAAAACGTTCAGTATACGTCGAAAAACACTTAATATTTTTTTATTGTGAACTTACACCACTTGATTCAAGTGTATGGTACGGTTATATATGGGTGAATCTCACGAAATGTTGTGATGGTGTGATGGTGTTACCCCGTGATATTTAATAAAACAATGAGTTTCTTACACTTTTATTGTGTTTAAATCTTTCATAATTAAGTAGATATTACAGCTCAGGTTCCAGATTTTTAACCGCAATTAATTATTTTTTACAATGTTTTAAAAGTCTAAAACCTATCCTCCGTGACTGTGGGTTAACCAATATGTTTTCAAATATCTGAGATAGTAAAAGCATACTAAAAATATCAGTTCACTAAGTAAATTAAACACACCCAAAGCAATCGAATCAAATATAAAATATTATTAAAAATTAAAAATTCTATCCTCCGTGAATCTGTTTTTGCTTTAAATTTTATGCAACGGATGGCGCTTTAATCATTTTAAATAAGCAAAAACATCTGTTTAAGACATTATAAATGCATGTGATTCCTGAAGGTCAGTTAGAATTTATATGCAGATGAGAGTGTTGCTGTTTTATAATTCAATGTATACCTAGTTCATTAATTTGCTATTTAAAAACCTATTCACCGTGAAGTGTAATATCTCAGTAAGTAGTTTTTTTATGTATAATTGTATTTTTTAAAAATATTAAGGTGTCAAAAGATACAACTTATTTCAAATATACAAAGGGGTGTTTAAAAAAAAACATACGAAATCCTAACCTCCGTGAAGCTCTAATATTCAAAATGTATGATTTCTTAAAATTCTTGCATTAGTGCAGAACCACTTATGTTATGTTATTACTAAACCTGGTGGCTTTCCAAAAACCCCATTCGAGACTAACAGTGAACCAACCAAAAATAAAAAATTCATTTTCACTTGGGGGACATCTTAATATCCCCATATACGCAAAAATATACTTTCTTTTTGTATAAGTATACCTGGTTTGTTTCAAGAATTTGGTTTAATTAATACGTGTAAATAGTTTCTTCAGCGCCGGATTATAAAAATTTGCGCCCCGGGTCTAATAAAAATTTTCTGCCCCTACCTATATAACAAATTCAAAGAAATGTCACTTCTTAACAAAAGGATTTTATTTAACCATAAACATTAGGGTTGTAGTATTTTTTCGAAATTTTTTTGATTTTGGAGATCAAATAAAAAAAATAAGTCTAAAGTATTTGAGTTTCAACAGATAAAAAAATTTTAGACGTCGCTCAAAACTTTTTTAAACCAACCTTTTTTCTCAAAATCTTTGGCTTCTCACTATTTTTTTTGTAGGTCGTATAGGAACATAATACATTTTTAAGTCAAAATATTATTGGTCGCTCAATATTTTTGAAATACATTTCTTGATTTTTTTAATAATTTTGATCTTGTAACCACTACTATTTTTCCAATTTAGTTGATTTTTTTGAGCGACGTTTATTTTTTTTTTGAGTTGAAACTTGAATACTTTAAACTTAAATTGTTTCATGTGAGCTTCGAAATAAAAAAAAAATGTCGAAAAAATATTGCCACCCTAAAAACATAAACAAAAACTATATAAAAAACAAATACCTAAATAAGAAAATTAACATTTTGCCAACTCAACTTTGCGAAGCAAATTTGTTTATCGCAATATTGACGTCATCTTTTAATAGGCTAATACCTATACTGTATATATACATACATATATGTATATGACTGGTACTGTATATAACTATAGTTTTAAACTAATTTAAATTAATAGTTGTTCGTAGTGTAATAAAATATTCTTATATTAAAAAACCTTTACGCCCATACGCATCGCATCGGTGGAAATAATCAATTTCTGCAAACTAAAGTTCTTGTCGCCCAACAACTTGTCGGGCGCCCTACGTAATACGTGACATGACATATTTCGTATACTATGCATAGATAATACTTAATACTATGGCAACAATCACGGTTATAATTTAAATAATTTTTTTTATTAAAACTGATTAATACACGAAAAATAAAAAAAGGGGAAAACCCTTTAGGTTGTAGTAAAAAACAAAAATTACCAGTCAATTTTGCGCCCCCTGTAAGCTTGCGCCCCGGGTCTATAGACCCCCAAAAACCCCCCTAAATCCGGCGCTGAGTTTCTTTTAAGAATACCATTTTCTTGCAGCAATAGGTATAAACTAGTTAACCCAACTATAATATTATTAATTTCATTTAAATTTCAAGACAAAATGCATAGGTAATGTATAAGTAATGTTTTCTTTATTTTTCAACTTAACATTTTTAAGACTATTAAATAAAAGTACAAGGTATTCCTAAATAGTTAGCTGCATCTGTTATAATATAAAAAATATTATTACACAATTATTATTATAACAAAACATAAATACCTATATACCTATAGGAAACTACATTTTATTCATTAATATAATATAAGTAAGTATTAGGTATACAAGGTGTCCCTAAACTTAGTGGCATAAATTTAGGAGCAGATTAAGCAAGTCAATATAAGACGAAAATCTAAATAAATATTTTTCTTAATTACGTACGAGGTGTGTTCAGAAAATAACGGGAATTGTTCGGAGGGTCCGGTTGTCATAAAATTTTCTTTATTATGTTGGTATACATGCCCCCGAAGTATGATAAAAACTTTAGCTGTTTTCATTGTTTACTTTGTCTGTGGCAGCCGCTAAGGTTAGACGTGTTTTATGAGCTCGGCGATTTTTCGTTCGTTAATAGAAATGGATCAAAGAATTTGTATCCAATTTTGCTTAAAAAATGAAATAAATTCTGTGAAATGTTAACAAAGGCCTATAGTGAGTCTGCTATAAGTAAAACAAGAGTTTACAAGTGGTATAAGAGTTTCCAAGATGGCCGTGAAGACGTTGAAGATGACGAACGCCCCGAACGCACAAGCGCATTAACAACCGATAAAAACATGAAAAAAGTGGAAGAAATGGTTATAAACAATCAGAGAAGTCGCTGATGATGTTGGTATATCGATTGGCTCATCCCATGAAATTTTTTCGAATGTTTTGGGTATGAAACGCGTGGCAGCAAAATTTTTTCTAAAATTGTTAAATTTTGAACAAAATTTTTGGCCAAAAACAATACTGTAATGATGCCCCAGCCTCCCTATTCGCCAGACATGCCTCTGTCTGACTTTTTCTTATTCCCAAAAATAAAGAGAACCTTAAAGGGCCGTCGTTTTGCAAGCATAGATGACATTAAAACCGCATCGCTGAAAGAACTAAAGGCTATCCCAAAGATCGAGTTTTAGAAGTGTTTCGAGTATTGAAAGAAGAGCTGGCCCATGTGCATAATATCCAATGGGGACTATTTTGAAGGCGACAACATTAATGGAGACGAATAAATAAATATTTGTTTCAAAAAACGAAAATTCCCGATATTTTCTGAACACACCTCGTATGTTAAAAAGATACAGGGTGATAAAGTGTTAATTATCATATCAGTTTTTTTGATATAACTTGGTAGACTTGGAAAGGTGATATTTTGCGAACAGTCACTTACTACCAAAAACATATTCACACATAATTACAATTGTTCAAGTGAACACAGTGTCGTAGAAACAGGGGTTGCTTAAGCTTATTGTCCCATACAAACTTTAAGGTTGGGTTTTTATACCATTTGATGCAATTTTTCGATTACTCAGTTCGGCTACTATTAAAAAGGTGTACCTCTCAAACTGATTAATGCAAAAAAACACATTTGGCTTAAGAATAAGGAATAAGAAAAATTAATTCCTTAAAGAAACTGCTGGAACATTTTAAATAAAGAATATATTCTTAATTGAAATCTTATTTAACTTAACTGTAGTGAATATTTTTAAGAAAATATTAATTTTTAAAGTAAGAAATTACTGAGCTCGGCTATAATATAATCGTAAAAATACACATGTGTAAAATAAAAATACAAATTTGTTTTAATTTTTTTATTATCGTTAAATAAATCATTTTTGAGGGTAAGGGGGGAAAAAATAAAAGTCTTCTTATTTATAAATATATTATTATTGGTATTTAGGTATTTTATTTAAGTACAATAAACGAATGCTTTATGTTTATATATATTTAAAAAATGACCCTTCCTACTACAATAATATAATGACTACGCTAAAAACTACATTCTACATTAAATAACATTTATTTTATTCACAGATATTAATAATGTCAAGAAAAAATATAATACATATGGGAAAAGTCATTTTTAAATAACCGCTGGTTTCCCATGGGTTTTTAAACATTTAAAACGCATATACAGCAACTACTTTGTCTTCGACAATAACATCTATTATTCTATGTCAAGAAGCTTTTAATGAAACGCTCTAAATAATTAATATCCAAATCTTCTGCCGAATCTCAAAAAAACGTGGTCCACATCCTGCCTCTTCTTTTCAGCTGGGCTTCTTTCGTCCATACGATCTGAAAAAAACACGACGGCTGTAAAATGGATTTTGCGAAACTAAAATGGACTCACAGTCAAGCGGAGAAACCTGGACTTCATTGATAGCCTGCTCGATCGCGTTGCAAAGTTGATGTAGCTTCGGTGATACGATTTCGTTATTTGGAGGGCAGCTAATCACTGAAGCTACAGCTGTTGAGCTTGTCAAAAATAGACAGGCCACTCCCAAAATGAACATAGCTAGAGTATATTGCGACATTCTGTAAAAAAACTCTTTAAGTCTTTTAATATGTTTGTGGCTTGATTAAATAATTAAATGTTTAATAGCTAAAAACACACGCAGTCACGTAAAGCAAACACAGGTATTGTTTGCACATTTCCGAATTAAAAATAAAATTATCGCAGATTTTACCACGAATTGTATTTTATCCACGTAGCACTTCTTAATTTATATAAATGATCGACCAATCAAGCATGTTAAATCAATCCAAGTCTTACATTCAAATAAGTAATCGTTTTAAAAGAATTTCTTTTTGTTGTAATAATTAAATAAAATAACGCAAATGGTACAAAGAGCTTTTTAGTGCAGCTTGAAAGAGTGTTAAATTGAATTTTCACACACATTAATTTCGAGCATAAATTTTTATAACAACATTAGAAAAAATTTAAATAGAGAGTAATTTCTACTGTATTAATTGCAAATATCGTGCGTTTGACAGAATTTAATTAAAAAAAGTTTACACGTAATTAAATATAATATATAAATATGGTGTTTTGGGCTATGAAACATAAATCCAAAAACATCATCAAAAAAATGTTTCACGTCTTTTTAAATAAGTGGTTAAAAGTAATTAAAGTAATTTTAGTTTTAGCATTGTGTTTTTAAATATTATTACAATAAATATAAAGTATACTTTAATTAAATTAACATTAACAATTATTATAGTGAAATACAAATTTCTTGAAAAAAAAATATAACTTCAAACATAAAATTTATATTTTACAAAAACAAAATAGACTTACTTGGGGGTTAAGGGAGTTTTACTGTAACAACAAGTTGTAGATAACTGAAATTTTACTAACAAAATGCGATTTCAGGATGTTTGAAATCTCTTATATATGTTTTAGTTGCGCGTAGGCATTTCGTATTCTTCTGTGCGCATGTGGTTTTTTGCTTGCCAGAGAGACCAATTAAAATAAAACCACACAATTTTTATCTCGAATCAAACAGAAAATACCTATGTGTATCTACGCTAAAAAAGACAACATATTGCACATTTCATATCCCGGAGCATCCGCCATTTTTGCAACTTTAACTTAACATTAGAGCACGGATTATACGCGACATAAAAGACTTCAAATTTGCATGCAAAGGCATTTAATAATTAATAGGAAACGAAAAATATAGCGAACTTAATTTTTAGGTATTGGAAGTATGCAACGCATATATGCATAGTATCCCACTGTTATATGTCGTGTTTTTTCATTGCAATTTGAATTGTGTGTTTCTGTTTATTACATTGGGGAATAAGTCCCACCTAACGTTGTTCCTAATATCCCGAAACAAGATCACATTTCGAATTTGATTAAAGCCCTGTCAAAAAAAAAAATAATTTTGGATGTGTGGGGTGATTTTTAATTAATCTATTGTGCAAACATCAATTAATTTATGAATGGACTTAATCTTTGAGGTTCTTCTACCTTAATAGGAATTATGATATTTATAAGATTTCCCGGCTTTCTTGAAAAAAATATTTTTAATTATACCTCTAAAAATAAATGTGCCTATTAGACGTGTTTAATATTTTTCTATAGCATAAGAAAATATCCATTTTAATAATAATATTGTAAGTGCGGCATACTTAAAGAAGCATTATGAAAATATTCCTTGTGACTTTTAAAGATGAAAGCCGTATAAAAACTAAGACACTTTTTATATAAAACCTACCTTACAACATTAATACAGTATGTTTTGCCACACTTTGTATTCATGCAAGTATTTGACAGTTTTTAATAGTATTTTTTATACTACCACCTTTAAGAAACCCATATATAGTTTCCATGACCCTAAGTGTTATTTTAAATACGAGGTGTGTTCAGAAAATAACGGGAATTGTTAAATTTCGCGGTTCGGAGGGCCCGGTTGTCATAAAATGGATAAAAAACTTTAGCTGTTTTTATTGTTTACTTTGTCTGTGGCAGCCGCTAAGGTTAGACGTGTTTTATGAGCTCGGCGATTTTTCGTTCGTTAAAAGAAATGGATCAAAGAATTTGTATCCAATTTTGCTTAAAAAATTAAATTAATTCTGTGAAATGTTAACAAAGGCCTATAGTGAGTCTGCTATAAGTAAAACAAGAGTTTACTAGTTGTATAAGAGTTTCCAAGATGGCCGTGAAGACGTTGAAGATGAACGCCCCGAACGCACAAGCACATTAACAACCGAAAAAAACATGGAAAAAGTGGAATAAACGGTTATAAACCATCAGAGAAGTCGCTGATGATGTTGGTATATCGATTAACTCATCCCATGAATTTTTTTCGAATGTTTTGGGTATGAAATGCGTGGCAGCAAAATTTGTTCCAAAATTGTTAAATTTTGAACAAAATTTTTGGCCAAAAAGAATACTGTAATGATGCCCCAGCCTCCATATTCGCCAGACATGCCTCTGTCTGACTTTTTCATATTCCCAAAAATAAAGAAAACCTTAAAGGACCGTCGTTTTGCAAGCATAGATGACATTAAAAGAGCATCGCTGAAAGAACTAAAGGCTATCCCAAAGATCGAGTTTAGAGTATTGGAAGAAGAGCTGGCACATGTGCATAATACCCAATGGGGGCTATTTTGAAGGCGACAACATTAATGTAGACGAATAAATAAATATTTGTTTCAAAAAACGAAAATTCCCGATATTTTCTGAACACACCTCGTACACATTGACACATTGGCTAAAGTTAGCGACAGGTTTTTAGTCACGGGCTGAAGTTAGTTTTAAGTTAGTGGATAGTTGTCAAATGTCATATAATCGTCAAAATTGTATATTAATACTAAATGTGAACATTATTTCATAATCTTAATGCAAAAATATTTGTTCTGGCCTTTTGATAAACTAGTATTGGCCGATACTGGAGTATCCATAAAACATCCTCTTCACTTTTACTGTAAGAAACTGCTTCTATATCCGATTTAAACGGTTTTTAGTCAATTTTTACAGAAAGATTTGACAAACTAACACTATAGCTGTAGCTCTACACAAATATTTAAATTAATTAGTAATACATTATTTTTAGTTATAGTTTATAGACTTGATGATTGTAATAAATTTGTTTAAACATACTGACACGTTTTACATGTATTTTATTATGTAATGAAATTCGATCATTCCTTTATACAGGGTGTTATACGTAGGTATTGATAAAAACCTGACATCATGCACATGTTTACAAACGGATGTTGTCAAATTTTTGTGCACTATAATTATTGTGTAAATAAGATAGTAAAACGCTACCGAATAATTAATGGTTAATGAAATTACCTTATCTAAATGTTGAAAATATTGATAGCATTTTAATTGTATCTAACAAAGTAATAAATGTAATAAAACTTACCTTTGCATTTACACATAAATATAAATTAAGTTTGTCTCTTTGAATAACACATAAAACATTTTAGGAAAGTCTATTGGAATTAAAACAAGTTATTAATCGGATTCGGTTGAAGATATCGATAGGGTATCGTCTGAACTGGACGCGACGTCGTAAAAATCCTCCCGAAAATCCCAGTAGGGGTCGCAGTAACGCCCTGTATAATTTTCGGACATTTGTGGGATCATCCGCTTCAAATCTCCGTCCTCGTACATTTTTTCGGAGGTGTTCAGCAAATTCACGCATCTCCTTTTTTGTTTTCGGTATTTCTGCCAGTCCTTGATCATCCCTGTTTTATTTGCGTGCTCGTACAGCTTATCTTTTATAACGAACTCTTGCTTTGTACTGTTCGAGACGTACTTGGCGTTTATATCGAACAACTCAGGTGGGGTTTTCCGGTGTTTTTTCCGCTTGTTTTGGGATCTTATGAAGACACCATCTTCTCCTACTTGGTACTTCGATCGTATGTTACAGTAGAGCTGTATTTGGATTGGCGTCAGGCAACCATGGTAAACGTTGGAAGGTTTGTCCGTCACGTTGATGATCTCAAAACAAGGGTTCAACCTTTTTCTGTCCATTGATTCCTCCCTTCTGCTAAATGAGTTCACTATGCAGTTTTTTAGAACCGGGTTTTTCTCCAGCAATCTATCCAGAGAATCTATAACAGTTTTTTTGGTCGAAGATGTTGATGCAGGTGCTTCTGCTTTAGCCGGTCCCATTTCCGATTTTCACACGCAATTTTATTTTTAAAACTGACTTGGAATCGATCAACCGTACACTAAATTGCATACATAACATTTGATAAGGGACAATCCTGACTCTGCAAAGTGATTCATAAATAAATTATTTATTTTTATTTTCGATTTAAGGAGGTTGTTTTCAGGCATTTTCTAGGTATTAAAAACTATCATTTTATTTTAATAAAATAGCTAAATTATATTATTTTTATATAAATATAAATAAATTTATAAATTTAATAAAATAAACCACAAAAGAAACGATTTTTAAATTATTATCAAACCTATAATTTGATTATTTGGTTCACTGATATTGTTAATCAATACCACGCAAAATGTTAATAAAATTTAAACAAAATTAAATAAAATGCTTGCAATAGAAAAGCAGTAGCAATTTCCAACCCCAATAAAAATTAAGGCAAATTGTGTCATTGACACATTTTTAATTGACTGTGACAATAAAAATAATAAAACTGCCAATGAAAAACAGTGTTTTACTGCTCGAATTGATATTTAATTCCAAAACAGGCCAATGTAAATTATTTTCCCATAATGAGTTAACTACACTAGGTACGTATTTATTACCATCCATAAAATTTATATTTGCATAATAATGTCATATCAAATTTAATATTAGTAAAATAAAAATATATACAATTATATCTACGTACTACACATCTGTTGAGGGCTTATAGAAAATAATGCTAATAAATAAGGAACTTTGCGCGATATATTATGTCTCTTACACTCTTTATAATAATTTTACATACACCTGCGTCAGTAAAGCTAACCCTTAACAAAGTTTTGAAAAAAATATTTTTTATTTAATAACTCGCAAAATAGTTGGGATTTTAAAATAAGTAGTACATATTTTTGTTGATCTACAAAAAAGGTGTTTTTAGTTTTTTTGAAAAATGTTAATAATTTTTTTAATTTTTTATTTCAAAATATTATTGAGGCTCTTAGATGAAAGACATTTAAAACATGTATTTGTCATATAAATATTAACCACTAACCAAACAAAATATTGCGTAAATAACCACAGATTTGTTCTTTAAACAGTTCAGAATTTTATAACCAAAACAAACCTAAAGAAGGAATCTGTATTTATTTTATTGGTTACTGTGATGGCTACAAGATGGCGATAGTGTTAAAATATGTTTATTTTAGAATAGAAATATAATTTCGATTAAATCGATTTATTATAAGAAAAATAATACCATTTATTATTGAATTTTGAAAAATGTGTGAAGTATAATTTATCTAAAATTCCGCAACAGTGTTGCCACAACACCTGTATATTTCCTTGGATGTAGGCGTGCCTGCCTCGCGTATGCTAATACGAGAGAAGGAGACAACTATGATATCGCATTGTAATAGAACGAGACAACAAGGCTAACGCCAATCGTGAGTCTAAATTAGTTCAGGCATGCTTCTGAGCCAATCATCTAGCTATAAATATTAGTTTAAATTGCGGTCGTTTCAAATTCAAATAATTTAAATGTTGCTGGGTATTCCACGTATAAAATCAATCAATTGACAATTTCACAATTCATGTAATCCAAATATTAAAAATTTATAGTATATTATAGAAAGTAAAATATTTAAATTATACTTAATTTTTTAATTCTCTATGATGAGGCACTGCCTCACCTGCCTCCCCTGACGGGCCCCCACTGGATATACTTAAACAAAAGAAAACTTCTTGAAGATCAGTTAATATCAAAAACTTGTTTTAAAATTCTACTAATGTGAAAATAAAAAATTGCATTGAGGAGGATCTTACTCTTAAAAGTAAGGGTTTTTTGTTGTTCAAAAGTGGATAGGCTTCTATTGAGGTACCCAGCAAGTTGCTGGCAGCAACAAAATTTTCGATAATATCAAGTTCAAAAAATGAAAAGTAGATTTTTTGAATCACCCTACTGTATACATATTTTAAATATAGCGGCCTTTTAACAAGCGTGCGTGATTTTGCACTTTGTAAGGTGCCGCCATCTAGTTTTAAGTAGATTTTTATGTATCATAACCAAATTTGTGCAAAATGTTACAAAATAATCCCCCTTATTGTAATTTTAATATTACCCCCAAGACTTAAACAATCACGTTCAGTTGGGCCCAATATGTTGTGTTAATAACTCGTTAACATCGATGTACAATCGTTAATCTCCTTTGCGCATGATCCCAAGACAAAAGCGCCATCTAGTTTTCGGTAGTTGTACTTCTTACATAACCTCATTCTCACGCAAACAAAATGAAGATTATCGACGTTTTTATAAGATTAATATTGGCGGATTGTCCATTATTGCTGCAAAGATGGACAGGGCGTCCAATTCCACCAGTGCAGCCAGTTCAGATTGCACTTTACCCGGAAGAGTAAGTTTTTAAAAAACCCCCAACAAGCAACTATAAAATTAATGGCTTTTTGTAGGGATTATAGCGATTCGGAGACGGAAATAGAGGAAATGGTGCGAAGAAGATACCCACAAAGACGCATTATTGAACTGCCAAGAGGCCCAAAAGCAATCATTTGCTGGATTTTAAAAATTTATGGAATCATATACATTATCACAATGCCTGCATTCAGATACAACTTATATGATTTGTACTGTATCATAGCGTTTTGCATTAGTCAGCCCGTGTTGGTGTTGGGAGTCTTTGGTTTAATTTGTTATGGGCCTGAGATTTTTGGGATTCAAATCGTTTAAATTTGGCGCCCTTCTTAACGTTTTATTTCGTTAAAATGATTATTATCCCGCCCCGTGATTTTTTCTTGTTCATAGCACTTTATTCATTTGTCATTCTTAGTGTTTTGCCCAAACCAACGTCTTTTTAGTCTTTTACCATGGTGTTAACGTTGTTTTTAAAACAACGATGATTACCGTTGCTGCAATAAGTTTTTTGGGTTTCGCATATGGGGAATTTGAGTTATTATAATTTGTTATGTGTAAGTTTGTAATAAAAATAATTTTAGTATAAAAATTCTTTTAATTTCCTTGCAAATAATTTATGTTATGACTATGAAATATTATCTATAGGGACCCTATAATAGGGTAACCGTAACATTTGCCATTTTAATGTTTGAAATTTTTAAATTTGGCGCTCTGCTGCGCAGACAGAAACATGTTTGGATAGACAGCGCCATTAAATGTCATTAAATTTTGGTGTTTATAAAAAAGTTGAGCAAGTAAAATGTTTAACTTTAGGTGTGGAAATTTCGAAATTATTAACAACAATATACAAAGGGAGATAAAGTGAGTGCGAATTTTGTATTAAACAAGTTGTTGAACTGGTTATTTTAGTCTTAGTGAATCTAGTGAAGATGATGATGATGAAAATGAATTGGTTGCAGCTTCACCTTGGAGGAGTCACATTATATCACTTAGTTTTCTTATAATTTTTGGATTTAGCGCTCTGTCTGTATTTCTATTCGTCGAATGTTACTATAATAACAGCTATCCAGATCGCCTTAGATATAGAATAGGTTTTAGTTTTACTTTAACCTTATTTGCATTTTTCACTTTTAATTTTTATTTCCACGAAGATTTTTCTATAGATAACGATTATGAAGAGGATTAACGTAATAAAATAATTTGTGTTCGTAATTCTTTTTTTCCCACTGCTTTGCTTTGTTGATGAGTGGGTGAAGTTTAAATAAATAAAAATGATTTGAAATCTAAAATATTGTGAGTTGAATAAGGAATAAAGGGAGCAGATCCACCTAGAAGAAAATGTCGTTTAAAGAATAACTGTTGTTTATCGCATCTACAGTTCAATTAAGTATTCCATTCGAAGACGTATCATTTAAATTGGACCTAACGCCCTTTTTACGTCACAAATTTAACCTTGTAAACCTTTTATTTAAATGTTGCAATGATTTTTGTTGTCTTACACTTTACAGTCCAATTCTATTATAACTAAGTCATTTCAATTAAAACAGTAGGTATTTCAGTTTATGTCGTCTAGTAAAATTAAGCCAAAAGTATCCGAATTGTTTAGAAACTACTACTTAATATTAAGGGCGTTAAACAGCAGTTTTTTTCAAACTTCATATGGATTAATAGTGATTTATTTGATGTTGTTGCGAAAGGCGCTCTGACGAAAAAAGTTCAAAAAAAATTATGCAGAAGGAAAAAGTCGATATACTTTTTATGGACATACCTGTGTTGTTAAAAATGTTTAACTTGTATTAATTTTGCCTTGATTACTTAACATCACAGCAAGTTCGTAAAGTTTGAGATTACCGGACCACTAATGAAACCCCACAATTATTTACCGATGCTAAATATTTGACCTGTGGTTCGTATTATCCTATAAAATGCATTTTCAGAGCTTTACATTCTCATTCCCAACTTGAACCGAGATATATATTATTCAAGACGCACAATCATTTTTGTACATTTTTTATGTGTCATGGTTCAATTTCCCATTGAAAATTATAATATGAAACACTAAATGCGCCCCCTAATAAGAAAATCCTTTCTTATGCTAACCAAAAATTTTATTAAAATTCCGCTCAGGCAATCTTATGTGTGAGAGATATATGATATAAGTTTTAAAAAAATCGACTATCGACTAAGAAAGATCAGTGTCCTAATTAAATTTGCATCTATTTTAAAATTTATATTTGCATAATTTAAATTATTTCCTATTAAAGGTAAATTAAAGGTGAACATACAATGCCTTTTAATCAAATCCTTACCTTACTATACACTGTATAGTATACAGAGTTTTTTTAAATGCTAGGTTTGTATAGTAATTGTTTAAAGTTACAGGTAGAAATAAAATATTTCATGTAACTTTTTATCAAAACACTAAAATAAGAGTGAAACAGCTTTCAAAATTTAATTAAAAACTAAGGCCGGTCCTGGCTATTGTTGCCGAAAATTTCTCAATAAACTTTTCCTTACACACCCATAAAAACAAAAATGACAAATTTAGCAACGCATCCCGGCGAATTCGCCATTTTTTTAAGTATTTAACGGCTGCGCGGATTTTGATGAAATTTTGTTCCTCTATCATTTTTGCATGGTAGCAAGTGTTTAAAAAAATGATAGAGGAAAAACTGTATTGTTACCTATATTTTTATTTTTTTTATCCACAAAAAGTTTCCGTTCTATTTGAAGATTTTAGTAGTCTGTACTAGTATCTAATCAAGTATTTTTTCTAGTACTATGAAAAGCTCTGGTTGGGAAAGTTACTTCTGAAAAGAATCTAGTTACTTTTCTAAGATACTTTAAACAAAATAACTTAGTTGCATCTGGTAACTAGATACATTGAGTTAAAAGTATCTTTAGTTACAAGATACTATCCGAAAGTATCTAAGATACTTTTGAGTAACTAAGTTACTTTTAAGTTTGAATAAAAACTATAAAATTATAAAAATTCAACAAGTTGTAGGTTAGGTAATTATTTTGAATCATTCTGTAATTCCCCCAGAAAGTTTCTAAGTTACACTGAAAAATATTTAAGTTTCACTGAAAAGTTACTTTAAAGTTACTTTAAAAAGTGTCTTAGTTACTTTAAAAAGTATCTAAGTTACTTGAATGTATCTTAGTTACTTAGATACTTTTTCAGATACAAGTTACAAGATACTTTTCCAAAGTAACTAAGTTAAAGATACTTTCTTTTCAATATAAAAAGTATCTTAGATACTTTAAGTATGTAAGTTACTTTTAAGTTTCTTTTTTTCAAGATACTCCCAGCTCTAGTTGGTAGCAACACTCGGTATACTTTTTTTTAGTGTATGTTTAAACAAAATAACTTAGTTACCTCTGGTAACTAGATACTTTGAGTTAAAAGTATCTTTAGTTACAAGATACTTTAAAAAGTATCTAAGATACTTTTGAGTAACTAAGATACTTTTAAGTACCTAACTAAGTTACTTTTAAGTTTGAATAAAAACTATAAAATTATAAAAATTCAAAAAGTTGTAAGTTAGGTAATTACTTTACTTTACGTTACTTAGTTACAATGAAAAGTATCTAAGTTACTTTAAAAAGTATCTTAGTTACTTTAAAGTATCTAAGTTACTTGAATGTATCTTAGTTACTTTACCGAGTAACTAAGATACATTTTAAGATACAAGTTACAAGATACTTTTCCAAAGTAACTAAGTTAAAGATACTTTCTTTTCAATAAAAAAAGTATCTAAGATAAAGTATCTTAGATACTTTAAGTATCTAAGATACTCCCAGCTCTGGTTGGTAGCAACACTCGGTATACTTTTTTTTAGTGTATGTTAAGCTTTGATTAGACTAGTGTCTATGAAATAAAATCAAACTACCTTTGTACTATTTGCAGCCTCATTTATTTATTTATGATTTTTATATTCCTCATGTTTCCTGCCTTTGTCGTTATGCTAATGACACTTTGTATTTGACATTTCACCTCAAATAGAAACATTAACTGTACTTTCTATTATAATCAAATATATCTTGTGGACAATATAACCCCTTAAATTTAATATTTTGCCGGTTTGCAGTCGAAAAAATTCACAAATTTGAAAGATTAAATGAATTGAATTTAAACACATATGTAGGATATTTATTATTTCAAACGATAAAATATTTTGTACTAAAATTTAAATTTTTTTATTAAGGAAAATAACATTATTTGATTGTACCTACTTTTGGAGCCACCTCGTATAATGCCACTTGTATTCAAACAGAATAAAGCATTTCCTTGGTGGGGCACATTACATATTAATTACGATTTTTTTAAAAACAAACAAGTCTGGAACAAAATTATCATAATTTTTTCAAAAGCTTTTGTAAAAGTTTAATGTTATAGTAGGAAAAATTGTTGTTTTTGATTGAATTGGTATGGTTTACCTTTGGCTTTGGAAATTACCATTTGAACTAGAAATTGTTAATCATAAAGAAATATGTTTGTGTTAAGTAAACTTTAAACAATTTGGCATTATGCAATAAAAATTAAACTTTTTTTAGTAGAATTGTGCCGACAACCTACCGAAATCATAAACAATGAGAACGATTTTTGGGGAGGGAGTAATTAATTCTAAAAATTTTAATTTTTAATCGAACTTTCGGAATGACTTTTAGTTATAGTTCGTTTTTCGTTAAGTGAAGGTGTAGAGTGACTAATTTGACCAAAATGTTAAGTTCTTTTTATGATGACGAAGATAAACATGATATCGACAAGAAAATTTCCGACATCATCGCTTCGCACATGAGGACCTCACGCTTGGACCACAGGCTACTCGGCGACGGTGAATATGAAGGTAAACCACAGAATTTGGTGTATAAAAATACCTATGCACACCAAAGCACCCTTAAAAAGATTATCCAATCTTGAAAACCATAACTTCAAAATTTCCAGTCAAGTGATTTTAGTAAAATCTTGAATTGATCAAAAGCAATTTTAAATATTTAACAGGTTATTAACATCTGATTGTTGTTATGCCTTGAATGTACATATGCAAAATTGCTGTCTACAATAATAATTTTTTTGACACCCCCAAAACTTACGTATAATTGAATCAAAACATAAGTACACGATTATCTACTTTACCTTAAAACTAAAGTTTTTGTTTCAAAAATATATCAACAGGTGTTACCTGAAATATTTTTAAGTCTGCCAAACTTTCCGTCTATAAAAATTAATCATCCCTACAAAGGTCACAGTTACCTGGAATTTATACTCTTGATATATTAAAGAAGTCCACTAACTTCCTTTATAAAAAAAACAACAAACCTATCTTATTTGATGAAAGTCTAACAAGAAAATATGGTCTTATAAAATGTATTAAAGCTAAAATAGAAATAAATTCACAAAGCTACCTTTATTAAAGCATTCTTTCAGTATTTTTCAAAGCTTTCTGTGAAAACCGATTATTATATATTTAGATAAGAAATTTTAATTTTTATAAAACGTTTCCAAGATTTTCAGATAAAAGGAAAGGTTTGTATATTATTCTTAGTCGTTGTTTGCAAAATGCACTTTAATACACTTAAAGGTGGACAAAGAGAAATAAAACCAAAGAAATTATATTTTACTGTTCAAAATTTTTGAATTAATAAATTGATACGAGATACGCCATCTAATATAACTTTACGGATCAATATATTCACACAGTAGAAATCTGCATTGGATAGCAAAATACCCCTGTAATAAATTTAATTTTTAGACTTCTTGATAAAGGAGAAGCCGTACTTCAGTCAGAAATACGAGGAAGCTTACAGGAAATCGATCTTGAATCCTGAAGAATTTTGGGGGGAAATTGGAAATCTTGTTACGTGGACCAAACCCTGGGAGAAAGTTTTGGATAATTCGCATCCACCATTTACAAAATGGTAATCTCATCATGATTTAAACAAATATTGGAAATATTCCCCAACAACAAAACAAACCACAAAGTGCTTGAAGAACTTTTCGCCAACGATGTTGGCATCTTCACAAGCGAAGTGTTACTAAATCTAAATGCTAAATCTACAATATTTTTACTAATTATAAGATAAGGTTGACTGAACCGTAAAGGGACACAGTTTACTAAACCCTGGACCGTAATCGCTTCAGTGAACACGTAAAGAGAAACTAAGAAACTAATTAATACAAACTAGCAGACTTTAATACAAACTAGCAGACTTGGTTCCCTAACTTCCTTAATAAGTTTAAGGTCAAATCCTATTCTATAACCATCATCAAGTATATGTTAGGCATCACACGATTTCTTTGGCATACCAAATCTAGCATGGGCCAAGTGCTCTTGGTCCAAGTTTATTTCGTAGATCCTTTTCAAATTTTAGGACTCTTATCTTTGGGGTTGCCTAAAAGCGTCTGAAGTGTGTTGGTGCTTGAACTAAAAGCAGTTTTCAGAAGTCCAGTTCTCGAAAAATCCCTTCCAGACCTCGAGGGTTCGAAAGGAATAGTCATAAACTTGACTTTTGTGGTATCTGGTTGAAAAGTCGTTAATCTAGAATTATATTAGATTTAGTTACACTTCGCTTCTGAAGATGCCAACATCGTTGGCGAAAAGTAGTTTAAGGACTTTGTGACCAAAGTTGTCCTTTTTTAAGTATCATGATTTAATCAAAACTGCACTAGGTATGTTGGAGGAGAGTTGAACGCTTGCTACAATGCAGTGGACAGACACGTGGAGGCAGGGAATGGAAACAAAATCGCCATAATACACGACAGCCCTTTTACCTCGACCATACAAAAAGTGAGCTACAACAAACTGCTAGACAAGGTTTCACATATGGCTGGAGCTTTGGCGAAACTGGGAGTGAAAAAGGGCGACAGAGTTCTCATTTACATGCCCTTAATTCCTGAAACTATAATTGCCATGCTGGCTACAGTGCGATTAGGGGCTGTTCACTCTGTAGTTTTCGGAGGTTTTGCTGCTAGAGAGTTATGTCACCGAATTAATCACGCTGAACCTAAAGTTATTATTGCTGCCAGTTGTGGTGTTGAACCCAGTAGAGTAATTAGGTGCACTACTATCGATTATAGTGAATGGATTTGCAATTTAGTCATTATAATTTCAGATATAAGGACATTTTAAATGAAGCTATAGAATATTCATGCCACAAACCATCAAAATGCATAATATTTCAACGACGGAACATCGAGTCTTGTTCTTTGGATGTTGAAATGGACATCCTTTGGGAGGACGCATTAAAAATGGCAGGGCCTCACGACTGTGTATCAGTTGAAGCTAATGATCCTTTGTATATTTTATACACTTCTGGTACCACAGGTATCTTAACACAAACTCCCCTTTGCAATCGAACAATGTATTAAACAAATATTATAAATATTCCCCAACACCAAAACAGTTAGAAGTTACACTTCTAAAGATGCTAACATTATATTTCAAATATTTGTTTAATATATCACCAAAGTTGTCCTTTTTCAAGTATAAACAATTTATTATAGATTCTCCAAAGGGGATTCAAAGACCAGTAGGTGGCCACATAGCCACACTGACGTGGACAATGAGCGCTTTGTACGGAATGAAGCCGGATGACGTTTGGTGGGTGGCCAGCGATTTGGGTTGGGTTGTGGGTCATTCCTATATTTGCTATGGACCCTTGTTGTACGGAATAACCACCGTGATGTACGAAGGAAAACCTGATAGAACACCAAATCCTGGAAGTTACTTCAGAATCATCAACGAGCATAAGGTGAACGCCATGTTTTCGGTGCCAACGGCTTTCCGAGTGATCAAACGCGAAGATCCTGAAGCTGAGTTTGGGCGAAAGTACGCTATTAATAGTTTAAGGACTATATTCGTAGCTGGGGAACATTGCGACTACGAGACCAAGTCTTGGATGGAGAAAATCTTCAATGTGCCAGTTTTGAACCATTGGTGGCAAACTGAAACTGGACACGCTGTTACGGCCACTTGCATTGGTTTAGGGCACAATCTGAATCCGCCGAAATACACTTCTGGAATGCCTTTCCCTGGATATAATGTGAAAGTTTTGAGGGAGGACGGTACTGAGGCCAAACCACACGAGTTGGGGAGGATAGCTGTTAAATTACCGCTACCGCCAGGAACTGTGTCGAGTCTTTATGAAGCTCCGGAAAGATTCTGTCAGATATATTTCACGAAATATCCAGTAAGATGACACTGTACATATGCGAACATTGTTAATGTGTTTTTTAGGGTTTTTATGACACCATGGATGCTGGCTATGTAGATGAGTATGGTTACATTTACGTTACAGCTAGGGATGATGACGTTATCAATGTGGCGGGTCATAGAATTTCAACCGCTGCTCTGGAAAACGTTGTTTTAGCTCATCCAGATATTGGTGATGCTACGGTGGTTGGAGTACCAGAAGCTACTAAAGGGGAGGTTCCTCTATGCCTATTCGTCATCAAAAAAAGTAATAATACAAAGTTGTATTTTTTGTATTTATACGATTGTATTTTATAGATGCCCGAAAAAATGAGACGACGATTGCAAGGGATTTGATGAGGATGGTGAGGGAGTTAGTGGGACCGATAGCAGCTTTCAAAATGGCGGTTTCCTGTAAAGCTTTACCGCGCACAAGATCTGGGAAAACTTGCAGGAAATCCATCTCGGATTTGGCCAAAAACAAACAGATTAAGGTAATTATTTATACTCACCTTTCTTATTACAATAAAATCTACCTGAAATGGTGAAGGTTGTAAAATTAAACATGTTTTTATGAAACCATAATTTATTGTAGATTTCTCCGACCGTTGAAGATCCCACAGTTTACAAAGATATCAAAGTCACTCTTGAAAAACTGGGATTCGCTCGTACTGCACCAGATCCTCAGTAAAGGCGTGTTCAATTATATAACAATAGAACGAATAGCAATAATTTGTAATGTAATGTTTACAATATTATTTTACTATAATATTTAGGTTATTAAATAGCTAATTTTAATTTAGTAGTTCTGTAACTTATTACTATTGTGCTTTATACTATACTTATGTTGGTTAGTTTATTAGCAGTTTATTAACATTCATACAGTACTGTATTTTTCTTTAACAATTATTGTTTTTTATTTAAATAATAGATACATTACAGTATCATTTGGTATTTTATTTATTTTTAAAGTTAAGTTGCAGTAGAAAGACTTATACAGTTCCCATAGGTCCCACTATAAAAGAACTGCATTTCCCTTTCCTTTTACAGTACTGTACTGTGTGGCTCTTTCTATACTGCGGTTTAATATGCTTGCTCCGCCTAGTTCCAAAAAATATTGTCTATAACAGTATACAGAGAGGTGAGAGGTTGTTAAATAAAATCCAGATGTAATTATATATGCGTGATTATATTTTAAAATTCATCTTTAATATGAAAATATCCATAGCATTTTGTAAGTTCTTTAAATTATATTACAACGTTGAAGTAGAACTAACACTTATACGAAACTTGAGAACAGATAAAAAAGGCCTTTCACAACAATTAAATTAATACGCAGGCAGCTTTCCTGAAATGGAACTTTTTTTTTAACACTTTGAACAGCATATATTATTCACCTCTCTTTAATTTAAAGCTCAGAATACCTTTTTTATAAATTAAGCACAGACAGATTAAATGAAATCGGGGTAGTTTAAGTCACGGGCGTGCAGTCGCATCGACTTTGATCGATTAGCAAATATTTTAGCTACTCCTCAACAAAATTAATTGGAGACTAACAAACAACTGACTCAATCCAAAAGGTTTGATTGTTGGGAGCGGCTCATGTTGCGTCACTGTTGGATAAAATTGATGGGACTGCACTTAAGTACTCCTATTCACCTTTAGTTCGATCTTATAGTGATAGGCTTAGCAGCAAAGGCATTGCGATGAGGTTAAATTATATATATACGAGTATATATAATATGTATTTTTTTTTGTTTCTTGGTGGCTGATGAATGATATAATGCGAGCATACGAGCAATATAATATAAAATAACAACTATATATAATAACAAATTAACGATTTCTTAATTTATTTTATTATCTTTATAATAATTACAGGTAACAACTAAAACTGAACCGCCAACATTTGGCATTAATAAATATGTATGTATTATATACCGACTGTTCCAAGAAAAATCTTCTTTGTCCGTAAAAGCGAGTCAAACTGGCAGTCGTGGCAGTTCTTGTCAAAAATTTGGAGACAAACAAGCAATTATAAGAACATTTTTACTATAGTGTAGATTTGATTGGTGTTGTTTTGGACTGTCGTAATCATCACTACGATACGATTAGTGGTTCATCTTCAGTATCACCTGAGGACGATTAGAACCACCAATCGAAACGTAGTGAAATCAATAAATCAGCCCAAAACAACTCAATCATCCCATACAGCACAAGATATCCATTGGACGTCAAATGGACTTACATTGGACGTACAATGGTCGTCCGCTGGACGTCCAATGGATATATGTGCTGTCTGGGATTACTACTAGTAATAGTAATAGTGTTTTTAATTGTTTTTTTATAAATATACAACGCTAGAAGCTAGAAGAACTGCCGCGAGTAGAGGCATATTTGACAGAGATCAACCATCCTACTTTTGAACAATAATGGTAATTACAAAGTTAAAAACAGTGATAAATGACAAATCAAAAGTAGGTAGTGAAAAAACAATCGCAATTGCGAATAAAGACGAAATTGGTCGATACTTATGGTTATTTAGTCGAAACACCCGGTACTATAGTTTGTAGCTTTCAAGAAATCGAAAAGGTATTTCGTCCCGATCATGAAATTTTTTTGCGCGAACGGATGATCGAGGAATAATTGACAAATGATTTTCCCGCTTGAACATTGAAATTTACTTGCCAATTCCGCAATAAAATAACTATTTGTACTTAATTCAGAGTGTTTGTTCGTCACATTAACATTTTTGCCTATTAATTAAATGCGTTTCTTGAAAACTACAATCTATATTCATAAATTTTGTTTAATTCTACAGCAAAAAATTACTAGTAACACCCCATTAAAATATGTTTTCGTACTTGATTCTCAAGGTGTAAGGTTTTAGAAACATTAAAAACAAATCAATTATAAGTGTATTATATACATATAAAGCCTATATGTATTTGTTTCTTGTATGTATAACTGAATGTAGACGATAGTAGAGTAGAATAATAAATACAGTAGTTCGTATGATCAACTATAAGTGTATGGAGTTTTTAGATGAATGGCGTGACGACGAACTACTTTTTCTTTTAATAGTTAAATTATTTATAATACAACTTCATACGATAGTTAATATCTACGCACTTCTTACAACTACATAGAGTTGTCTTCAAACTGGCGATTGGTTTGACTAGTTCGCAACAGTTTAGAAGACAGTCGTTTGCGAGAAGGTCGCAGCAGCTATGAGCCTACCCCTCCAACACCAAATGATGTTTACTTGGGTTGGAGGCACTCGCTTTTATAATATTTATCCGATACGGAGTAGTGTATAAATATGTGCGTTAGCGTATTGAAAGAACAAGCTATGACGCTATTTCGCGCAAATACTTTCAGTTAACGAGGTATTTCCAGTATGATCGATCATCAGTCCAATTGTATCTCAAGCAAGAATTACTGCACTGATTTATTTACACTATTATTTTTTTTTCATTAAAGAAGTCGTCGAGATTGGAAATGCAGTATTTAGTGATTGAAGTAGAATAGAAGTGCGTCGCTTTGGGCTATTAATTTACTAGTTTTAGTCCTCAAGGTGCGAGAGGAGAAAATTAGGTAAAAAAATAGTGATTGAGAGAGTGAGATTAAGAGAGATTAAGTACAAAAAGCCGACTAGATAGTTTCGGCACGACGCAGCTTGTTTTTCCGGTGCGCCTTAAAACACAGCTCACTAACTACATACGTAATAACTTTATTATTTTAGTATTTAGTACTGTAATGGTAGTTGTATTAATGAAACACACATAGATAAAGTATAAAACAATCACTGAGGCGGAGGCAAAGTGTCCTCGGTACAAGATCATTTCAAATATGTATGGGTATATATCTAGTGTTCACTTTTCTAAACTTCTATCTACATAACTGTCATTATTAGACCTAGATTACAATAGAATGAAATCGGAGGGAAGGCGGTAACGCTGCAAATAACAATTCAAATAATAATATAATAGGTATTTATAAATTCTGTCTAGCCTAAAAGATGCGCGATTATCGGCTTCCCTCTAACGTTTGGCAGACAACATATGATTCCTACCTTTAAATAAAAATTAAACGGGTCCTCGTCGACGAAATCGCAGATCGTTTCGAGGACGAGGGTCCGCGAAAGTGGACGAGGCCGTGAGACGCGCGAGCCAGACGGAAAATCCCGCCGAAGGTGATCGGTGCACAATGAACCCAGGCGATTTGATCGGGCGCTCGGCGTCTCGCGTCCCCGTCCCAACGTGGGATACGCTGCTTCAACATTTGGCGTATCCCAACTAGGCACCTAATTTTAACGCTATGAGCGTACTTCCGTGCGCCCATTTATTGCTAATCTTTTGTTCGTATCGCCAGCACATTATCAGTCTTGCTAAAGTGCCAAACGAATCACTCGGGTCCACTAAATAACAACAAATTAACCGTAGTAGAGATGACGATGATGAATTTGAACAACATTTGCTTGCCTTGGACATCTCCTTAATAAAACTATACAACATGTGGCGGCGGCGGCGGTGATGGTGTACTTGCGGCTTGTTATTTTTTGTTTTATCGAGACTGGAAGTTGCGGTGTTGTTAGTAGATGGCCGGAGTTGATCGAGAACAGGAACAGGGTGGGTTGGAACAGAGGGGAGCTAAACCGCTGTCTCCGTGTGACTGTGCGAAGACAACCGTTCCACGTCTATCTCGGGAATTGTCAGCTCATCGGGGATGTTATCGGCATACTCAATGGAAGAAGTTTGAGACAGTCTCTTCGAAAGAGAGGTCTGTTTGCGAAGTACCTCGGCTAGGGAAGTATTGCTGTGTTCGCCGTAACGAGCGTCTAGGCCCTGTCGGAAAGCGTTTACTACTCGGATCTGAAATTAACAAGAAACAACAAAACGAGGAGAATTAAAAATAAGAACATTCCCGCGCGGAAAAATGGCGAGCCGTTAGCATTAGACGGTTCAAACATTACAGTGCCATTTTTTTTAAACAGCTCCCAGGTTGATTCTCTCTCTCTTTTTCATTGTGCTGCTGCGGCTGCTTACATCCTAAACATTGGCTTGCTTTGCTGTGGCTGGACTTTACTTATCGGCATCGCATGCTTTTTTTAACCAAACAATGTAGGTATACTAAAGGCTTTCTAGACATTTTATTTAATACCACTTTTCCTACTCATTTTCAATGTTAAATCAAATGTAGACAAAGGCAAAACTCTATTTTATTAACCTATACTATTCTTAAACTTAAAAAAGGACAACTATGGTAGATTTAGCATTTGGATTTAGTTGCACTTTGCTTATGAAGATGCCACTTTGTGGTTTGTTTTGGTGTTGGGGAATATTTCTAATAATTGTTTATACTATACTTATTCCTTTAAGTTTATTCTATCCTACACCAAATATCTGCCATCCAAAATGAAAGAGAAACAGACTACTGCATCAAAACAAATAGTGCATGTGCAACGGCTTGGATCTGAAAAATTCCCTCTTTGGATTAGTTTCTAGAGAAGAATGCACTAAGGCTTGCATCTCTGGCAATTGGATCTGGAAAATTCCCTCTTTGGATTAGTTTCCAGAGAAGAATGCACTAAGACCATCTCTAAGACTTACGACCACTAAACTGTGAAAAGGATCCTCCTAGAGTTATAACTTTAACACTCCCTAGATGTTTGATATTTCTATCTTTACAGATGGATCCAGAACCCAATCTGGTACGTAATAGTAATAAAGAAAATGAAAAGGCAACTAAACTTGAAAGACAAGGATCATGAACCTGTTCTGCCTCTAACAAAATTAACCAGATAAAAAATCAAACCCATGAAAAACAACTAAGAAGAACCAACAAAGTTATAGAATAATAAAACAGAGCTTAACCTTTATATTTTTTTATGTAATATTAATTATTTAATTCACTATATCTGTGATTTGATATACAGTGTTTTAAGTAAAGTATTTGTCAAATTGTAAAAATAATTACTTACTCTTTCTAATACAAATTTATGCTTCTTTATAGAAGTTTAATTTAATACCATGTGATTATTAAATTTTAATATTTGTATGCATGTAGTAATAAGTAGTTAACAATCCTCTTTGAATTTTTGTTTTCGCGGATTGACATGCGCGTTTTAAAATGTAAAATGCGCATGCCCAGTGTGTCCGAACTAGTTCAGAATTAGCACCACGTAGCTGTAAAATGTAAAGTGTTATGTACAGTAGTTGTTTACAAAAAGGTATAATAATTAGTTTGACCTTAACAAATAAAGCAATCTGCTGTATAATAAATAAGACGTGCGAAAAATTTCCTGAGATTATTTTGTACAATTGGCATTAAGAAAAAAAATGTGCAAGAGAGTAATTTTTATACCTTTTGACAAATTGATAATGAAAGTGGGTGTAGTATAGTGCATTATGTGGAAAAGGGGTATTTAAAGTGAGTGTGTTTCAGGCCCTAGCGATTGCAACGTCATTTTGCGATGAAATTGTTGAAAAATTTCACAAAATCAAACGTAACAACAAGGGGGCCCAATGAGAACCAACCTAGGAGCTAAAAGAAGTTGACAAAAATAAACAAACATGCAAAACAACTCTTTATATTTATATACATGCCACACATAGGCGGTGGCTGCAACACATCATTCAGTGAATAGAAAGTTATACAGGGCAGTTTGAAAGTCGAACTCTGCCAGAGCAAAATGTATTCGTGTAGAGCCATTCATGCCGTGACTGAAATTTCTTACAATAAGGCAATTAGAAGCTTTACAATTACATTACTGTTTCAGATGAGATCCGGCGTTTATATGAAGTTTACAACGTTACCGCGCATGCGCTAGTCATACAAATGTTTAATTTGGGGGTAAATAGATCATTTTTTATTTATTACAAAAAAGGTGCCCGGTCTTCAGATCTCTACGATATAGATTTTACTATTTTAGTTTTTTGGGACCACTGTGATAAAAAAAATTGTGCTTTGCACTGCCTGCGGAGTTTATTTAAATTTTCTTTCTATAGAAAATGTGTGCACAGTAGGTGCGGTGGAAATGTCGTGCTTTAATTGGTTTAATGTTTTCTATAGAGATGGCACATTTTAAGGAACACCCCAAACCCTTTCTTACTAGAGGCGACATACATCAAAGTTGATCTCAAGTAGAGATCTGAAACTTCCGACCTTGTTTAATTTCTTAGTGTTTCCCAGAACTAGCGTAAACGTTGTAACGTCATTTTTACGCTTTTTGCAGACTATATAAGCTGCTTTTGATACATTTATATGACCGGGCAGGCAAAATTATGTAGATTATATATACATATGACAATTGAGTTTTAGTGTAAATTTTTCGAATGCTATTTTTTTGTCTTATGTATGTTCTACATAGGGTTGCTTGTCCCTGTTAAAGCAAGCAGTCGTTTCTTGTCATACCGGAGTGATCAGGAGTAAAAACATTGAACTTGCAAAATTTGTCACAACTCAATACAATTTTAATTTAAATAAATGAGCACCACTTAACACACACGAATAACAATAGTCAAATACATACAGTCTTTACCAGGTATTGGTTAATTTACGTACGTGATTATGCCCCACCTGTATGTATATATATATATGTGGGTATTAGTAAAACACACAAAACTGTTAAAAAATATTATAAATATAACACATAAAAATAAAGGCCAGTTCAACACAACCTAGCATTAGATTAAAAATAAAAATTAATTATTAAGTTTATTAACTTTATTAAAAAAAAACTTTTATCGAAAAACAGCAAGTGTGTTAAAATAAAAACAATTCTAAGTACACTTTGTCAATATATGTGATCCATATGTATATTAGTCCGCTACACATTCATATAAATATACACGAATATTGTTAATGAAGTACTACTAAATGAAATGAAGTACTCTTTCGCGTATACTTACACAAATTACGTTTTGAGTATACATATAAATACATTTTAAATACAATACCAAGTAATTTAGTTAAACAATTTCTTTATATAAATAAATAAAAGCCTCTACAATAATTTAACAAACAGTACTATTACTATGTGCAAAGAGGCTAAAAGAAATAGCCTAGGATAAGCAATACAGGCATTAAATTTCGTGACAGTGTACGAGTCAAGTATAGTATTCGATTTTATTTTGCCATTTGACCATGTGATTATCAACAACACTCAAAAGAACATCACCAACATATATACTATACTAACAAATGTAACGAGGAAGACTTTTTTTGGACGATAGTTTCGAAAAATCAAGTGATGGAACTTTGAGTTTTATGCAAAAGCACAGTTTACAAATGATAATGGTTATCACAGGTTTTAGACAAAAATCTCGCACTGATCTAATCTATGAAAATTTGCGTGATATTAAAAAAGGTTTGTTCCTACAGAACATGTGGACTGTCGAATGGACGTCAGGGACATACGCAATACCAAATTCGCATGCGCATCACGTCCATTTGACAATCCAAATGCTCGATAGTAACAAGCCCAAAAATAACGCATGATTTTGTCAAAAAAATCCGCAGCTAAAAACATAATAATAATAATAATAATAAATTTTGAAAAGTTATTGTTTTTTTTTTCGGCCGAGCAAATATGCATCTGTGAACTATGTGTAAATTAAAGAGAAAAAAACAAACAAATAACAAAAAAACCAAAACTACATGCTACATGCAAATCAAACGAAAATGAAAAGAAATCAGAGCTGGACCGCATAGAAAAAAGAAATACGGAAAAACTACCAAAAAATTGTATTATTCTTATATACTTCACTGCTTCGATATTGACAAGGCATTTTGACTGTTTTTTTACATATAAATAATGTTAGTCTACAACTTTCTACATAAACTAAAACAAGAAAACACTATGATAATGGTTACACTAAAGGTAAAAGAAACATGGCCACATAAACAGTATATGAAATGGGCGGAACACTCTTTAAGTGCTGTATGTTTTAAAAAGTTATTCGTTTACTAAACTTTTGAAAGTTCAATTCTTATAGTAGATGGCGATAGAATGATTATAGCTTACAGTCAACTACATTTCTAATAGAATGTCATAGAAATACTAAATTTTAACCACTAGTCAGTTAACAGATATACAGGGATGTCTTTACCTAACTTTTGCTGATAATGATTGAAAGATGTTTTTAGGGGTTTAAACATGCTTTGAAGTTAGATAAAGTATATATCGTGGTAATAAAATCAGTCATGTTAAATATAATATTAAGAAGGGGGCGAGGTGCCTTATGCCTAAACAATGTGGAAGCAGTGAAAGCATTGCCAAACACAGAAAAACGTCCAATGAGCAGCGGCATACGAAAAATACGTTACATAGCGAGACAGAAAGATTTTTAGGAAAGCGGCTTACAGCTTGGTCAGTTGAACTCTTGCTGTATGGTACCGGAATCAATCTCTCCTGCAATTCACCACCTATCACCTATCAGTAAAGGGCAACGTTAAGAGTGGTACGAGTAAGACAGTGATAGACATACAATAGATAAGTGCACAGAGTAAGATAGTAAGATACTACAATGACCATGTGCACAAACGTTCGCCTATGGAGATCATTTTCTATAGAAAGCAGCAAACCAATCAGAGCACAGCATTTTACACAGCACACTGCGTGCTGTGCTCTGATTGGTTTACTGCTTCATATAGAGGTCGTTTTCTGATAAAAATGTGACTTTTGAAAAAAGCAAAGAACGTTTGTGCATACGGCCATAAAAAGGTCCTTCTACATAAAATAACATATTATGTTATTGTGTGTAGAACGGCATATATACATGTTGCTAGATCTACAAAGCACCTTTTCATCGTTTACCACACATACCTCAAACATTATAAAATGGAAGAACATAAATTTAATTGTTTGAATGGTGTAATATTAAATATAAAGTAAATGTGAGTAGTAAAATAAAATAGGCATATTACTTACTTCATCGTCTAGTCAGCTACTAACTCTTTTAAAAAAACAAGATAAAATATTTAACTTTTCGGTTCCACTTACTCTGTTTTAATATACGCATACCCTCTAAGAAAATAAAAAAAGTGTAATTATAATAAAAATATTTTACATATGGCTGAAATCTTTGGGTTCAAATTATGTTTGAAGCATGCGTGTCAAAGAGGATTCAGGCAAAATTGCAGATCTATTAACTGAACTAAATAACCTGAGAAGAAATGGCCGTATGCGTCCCAGGAAGTGCATTAATTATTATTAAAATTATTTTCGATGTAAATGTTCATGGAACAACTTTCTGGGACACTTAAGGCCTGAATGCGAACAAGTGGAAGCTGTTAACCGTATAATAAAATAACGATACACAAAGGCACAATGACAAAGTTACGAATGTTGTTAAATCATGTTGTGCAGCTTACACATGTTCATGAATTAATAAAATCAACAGATACACGATTGCTCGAAACAGTGTATCTACAACATGGCTCATTGCCGATTTTTTTATGTTATTTGTATAAAGAACAGAGCTTAATATTGAGGGCCAACCTAAACCAGAGACATCCATTTATATTTATATATTTTGTTTGGAATACTGCGGGTGTGAATATGAGGATGGAAAGGAAAAATGGATTGTCTCTAGATAGAGTTAGACCCATATATATATAGATATAGATATTAAAACACTTAAGTATATTAGCTAAATAGAAATAACCTATAAATAAAAACGAGTAAGTAATTGTGGCCTGCTCACAAAAATATAAATAAAATCAGCGCATTAAGGGGGTCGTATCGTATGATAAATATCAAATTGGTCTGTCTTGTAATAAAATTAAGTAATTATTTGCTGGCCATCGACACTAAATACAGTTGACTCGCAGTTAGTGTGCGCATGCGTAAAAAAACGTAACAATTTCTCTCCATTACCACTAACCTGGATAATAATATATGAGGGTTTTTCCGACCGGCTAAAAGAGCGTTCAAAATTTGGAAAACGGTCTTTTGGGCAGCGGGAAAAAGCCTCAACTGCCGAGCAAAGCAAAAACGCCGCACGCACAATTTTAAGTAACAATTACTTAACATTGCGGATGGGGCGTTTGTGGTTGGAACAACGGTGTAGTTGTAAGGCTAACTAAAAAAATACACAGCTATACATTCAGCTAGATGCTACAGTGAACGACGAGTAAATTTATGTACAAAAAATAATCTGGTTTGGTCTGATTATAGAGTGAATAAGTCAGTAATTAGTATTCTACTTATAGTGCTAAAAGCTAAAACAACGAACGATAGTAAAAAGGGGATCGAATTCAGGTTTGGTTGTCGTCAACTAATCAACTCTTGCTGACTCGGTTGTTGTCGGTTCGGATCGGGTGGCGCTTGGGTGTGATGGTAGTATTTGTGGTGGTGGTGGTATTGGTGGTATGGGTAGGCATTTGGGACGTCGGCGAACTACTGCTTGATGCAACAGTGGCTGAGGCGGCGGCAGCGGCAGCGGCGGCGAAACAGGCAGGCATTTTTATTGCTTTAGCTACTACTACTCTTGCTGTTGCATTGCTATTAACGCTGCTGGTTATTGGTTTCCTTTTATTCGGACTGCTAGATAAGTACGCGTGATTGATATTGATATGGATGTTATCGCACGAGTAAGCCTTTTCAAAGGTCTTAGGTACGCGGCGGCGGCGGCCTTGAGGCCACGACCGGCACTAAATGCGAGTCTCATGGATAGGTTTCGGCAGATCGGAGTTGTTGGAAGCCCCTTGAGAATTGGGAGAGGGGTGTTGTTGATGGTGGTGATGAGCGGAAGGTATTCTCAAGGTATTTGGGGACAAGAGACGTTGCTCGTCGCTTCTCGACGCCGCCTGCTGCGACGACAATTTCGTTGCAGTAGGGTCCTCGTCAATGTATGTGATGTCTGAGAACGGACGGGGAGGCCAAGGGCCCGTGTGGCTGCGCGAGCTGCGCAAACTGTGTAAGCTGTGTAAACTATGTACCGAACGTCTCTCCTCCAGATCCTCCAGGGTCGACTTGAAAGCTCTGATTACTCGCAGCTGCAAACACAGGGAAGCAGGCTATTTCATGAGGCCGGCCGGGTTTTACATGCAACCTCATACTCGCCATGCAACAACAACAATACCTACATCAAGCATCCGTCACTCTATCGCCCACAAAATACTCAACATCTCAACTAATTTAATATCACTAACAAAAACAACTTACACTGTTGAGCATTTTCCATTCTCTCCTACTTACACAAAAGGTCCTATATTCGATATTTTTTTTATTTTAAGTTTGCAACCTTACTTTCTACAAAATGATCTCCATAGAAAACAATAAACCAATCAGAGCACAGAGTGTGTAGAAATAGAAGGTTATAATAGCTTTCTTTAGAGATTATTTTCTATAAAAAGCAACGTCGAAAATTTCAAGAAAAAGCAACCATTATTTTTTCGTGTTAAGCTGGATTTAGCCAGCATTTAACACAATTTAATGTAACATAACGTAATCCACCGTAAGTCCAATAAAATAATACTTTAGGTGGTTCTTAAAAATTGCGACTTTGCTTTTTATTTAGATGATTTATTTAGAAAGCAATAAACCAATGAGAGAACCGTGATGTGATCTGATATAGCCTTGACAGATTCTGCCAATTGAGAATAAATATTGAAACATTTAAAATTTGGAGTTAGACCTTTTGCTGCAGAAGGAAAGAATAACTATCCTTTCAAACTCCTTAATTTTATTGAATCATGATGCCTTCAAAATTTTTCGCAAGCAAATATTTATGGTACTTAGATAACCTTACTAGCTACATAAACATTTTCTTGGTAAAAATTTATTACCACCAGAGCTGGGAAATTTACTTCCCTAAAGTATCTAAGTTACTTTGGGTGACTAGATACTTTGAATTGAAAGTATCTTTAGTTACAAGATACTTTGGAAAGTATCTAAGATACTATCCGAAAGTATCTAAGATACTTTTGAGTTACTTAGTTACTTTTAAGTAAGAATAAAAACTATAAAATTATGAAAATCCAACAAGTTGTAGGTTAGGTAATTACTTTGAATTATTCCGGAATTTCCCCAATTTTCTCTAAGAAAGTAAGAAGTTACACTGAAAAGTATCTAAGTTACTTTAAAAAGAATCTTAGTTACTTTAAAGTATCTAAGTTACTTTATTGAGTAACTTAGATACTAAGTTAGAAACTTTCTGTCAAATATAAAAAAGTATCTAAGATAAAGTCTCTTAGATACTTTAAGTATCTAAATTACTTTAAAAAGAATCTTAGTTGCTTTAAAGTATCTAAGTTACTTTACTGAGTAACTTAGATACTTTTTTAGATACTAAGTTAGATACCTTATGTCCAATATAAAAAGTATCTTAGATACTTTAAGTATCTAAGTTACTTTACTGAGTAACTTAGATACTTTTTTAGATGCTAAGTTAGATACCTTCTGTCCAATATAAAAAGTATCTAAGTTACTTTTAAGTATCTTTTATTCAACATACTCCCAGCTCTGATTAACACCATGTAAAAGTATAAGGATTTTGAGAAAACATCCTGAAACATCCTTTAAAACTTGTTTTTGCCTGTGAAATAAATGATCTAGGCAAAAACAAGTTCTTTCATCAATAAATAGACAGATTTGACGATAATTCTAAAAATAGATTAAGTCTCTCGCTTCTTAAACATTTGTCCTGGGAATTCTCACCATTTTAAAAACAATATGGATGAAAGTAAAGCACTGTTCGCCCAGTCACACATATATTAATAAATTTAACCATCACCAGTAGTTATTTATAACAATAATAGTGCAGTGAAAGTGATCTGTCTATTGATTAACTTTGAATTCGGCATAAAAAAAACACACACATTAATTGTGCAAGTTAACACGCATACACACCTATTAAACCGTACGCTCTCGTCATTTTTAAAAATTGTCAACCTAATCTTCTTTGATAGTGAGTGAGTCTCGTCCCGAAAGGCTCGCACAGGATAACCAACCTCGCTCCTTTTTTAATTATCGATAGCATTGTTATTTCGGCTCGTCTCGATTCATACAACTCGTTTCTACTAAGCATGCGTAACACCATCATAAACATTTATCCAGATGATTATCATTAAACTTGAGGAGGCGTTTGGTTGTATGAATCGGCCAAGCGAAAAATTCTTACCTAAGATTCGCTGGTGATAGTTTAATCATAGTGGTTAGTTTAAAGTTTGTTTCCAGACACCAATGTAGTAGATAGTTTGATGATAACAGAAAGATGGGTATAGTATAGTGAGATAGGCAGTAATAGTAGTAGTAGTAGTAAAAGTAGTTTGTTGTCCCGTCCACAATAGCAAGCCGAAATCGCGCACGATGTTCTTGTGGCTGTGTTGTCAAAATAATAGTACGAAAGATGGGTTGCGGACTATAAATAAAAGTAAGTGCACCTTCCTCACTACGCATACGACACTTGGACTAGAATTTTCATTTAACAGGCGCATGAGCAGTAGTAACTAGGTAGCACATGCCCAAATCATTTTTAAACATAAAGTGCATTCGGTAGATGTAGTAGGTGTTGTGTAGAAGAGGTCCAGGACTAGACAAAAGTCGAGAGACATTAGTGAAGTGCCGGTTAACTGAAAATAGTGAAAGTGACCTATGTGTAGCAAGAGGTATTCTTCATAGAGTCGGTAATAATAATAATAATAATAGGACATCCAGGGGGTTCTTGCTCTTGCTCTCTAAGACAACTAACACCAGACATAGTGCGACATCACTGCACCAGCTAAAAGGCTTACTAAACAAACTACATACTTGTTTGTGTTGCAGAGTTGCGTGGTTCCTTATACCTCAGTTTCTCGCATTGGCTCGCAGGCTGGCTGGCAAATCAAATCAAAATACACATTGTTAAATGTCTTGATCGTTTATTTTTATCCTCTCCAGCAGCACCTTTGTCTTACTTTTTCTCTATTCAATCAACGAGCAAGGGATTTCATTTCCTAAGTAGGTAAGGCCTTGGTGGGGGTGTGCAACCTCTTTAGACAACACAGCCAATATCGGAGCTCGGGTTAGAAATACGAAAACGAACGAAGAAGTACGATTATAATCTAACGCAAAATCTTAGGTTAGATTTTGCGCTAAAGTCAAAATGAACAAATCCACCTACACCCAAGGTCGATGCAACCCTCTGCCTTTTTTTTTGGTAACTCATGCGTTGCATGTAGGTAATATTTGTTCATTGTTGTGTTGTATATTGTGACGGTAGATCATGCAAACTAAACAATATTCAAGTACTAGTAGCACTAAATTACGTGTAACGCGGCAGTTTTATCTAAATTAAGGCATTGGGAGCAAAAACCGACTATTTTTCTTTCTAGTTGGAAAATTGTTTATTGTACTGATTTTTTAAAAGTTAAATAGTCAGTTTTTGGGCCTCCATAATGTGTATGTTTTTATAAATAAGTGTTGTTTAAATAAAACTCAAAGTCATGCTAGGGTTAGGTAAAAAGACAGTATAGTATTAGTATATCGAGGTATATGTTGAACTAGATAGAGCGTTCATAAAATTATATAAACGCAAGCAAATGCTACTTAAAATATCACCAACTGTTTCAAACAAAAATTCAAATCCAAGAGGACGGCTGTTATTCCACTGCTGGCCAATTAAAATGGTCCTGTCTGTTTATCATAATCAAATTAATTATAATTATTGCTACTTCGTGACAAAAACATTACATTAAAGTATGCTACAAAGAACACTGACAACTAAATAAGCAAACAATTATTTGAGTGGTCCCCAAAAATGGTTTATAAATCTATAATTATAGACCTATAAATGGTTATGGTTATGGTTAAAACACACGTGAATGTTAGTAACAAAAAACACGATCGAGCCACCCAATTAACTAAAATCAACTTTGCACACACAATGTCAAATGTCAAAGCGCCATGCTGGTCAAATAAAAATATAAGACTAAGAACACAGAATCGGTTTTGGGGAGTTTAAGGACAAGACGGGATGGAAGCCTCAACTGAATTTTTTTCATATTTATCATATTATTAAACATTGTCTGCCTATAAGATCCTAAATACCTGAGCTCTGTTTATCAATCACACTTTTTCAAAATGCCTGCGCACTGCGATAGCTCCGAGGTGGGCCAAGGGGCGCCACCTCGCGGCCATCGTGCGCATCACAATCGTGTTTACTCATATTATGTACTCATAGCACGGTACTTACCTGGGTTTGCAATCTAGTTAGACCTCTTATCCACAATATCTGACCCGCCCTCGGTTTCTTATCTGAGTCAATGTCAAATTTCTCCTCTCCAATGTTTATTGCTTCAGTGTACTCTTCAGGGTGTCCTCGACCCCATCTATATATAACGTTTTAAGTAATACTAGCCTTATCTGGTCAAGAAAGTGCATAACTCGCTTAAAGACTTGTACTCATAAAGAAGTCTTTTAGAAGCTATTCATTTTCTTTTAATTCATTACCTTCACCTTAAGATCAAAATTACAACAGAGGTTAAATCAACAACTGACACTTTTTCAATGTTTACTCTAGATTGCCACCTACACATTTATAGTTTATAATTTAAAATTACACTATATGGGGTCAATTCTACTAAATTATGAACTTATTGTTATTCAAAACTATTTATATTATTTGTTCCCCTTGTCACACTATAGTGAATTGTTGTTTTGATATATTTTTATAAAAAAAAAATATATTGTCAAGTTCTTTTTGAAAAAGTATTGTTTTATGTATATTAGGGTAATTCTTTTTGAAGGAACATTTATTTTTAGTCACTCCCAAGCAAAATATTGATCAAGAAAAAAATGCCCTTAAAGTTTTAACCATTAATCTTACTCTTATTTTAATTTTAAATTTACTCTATCAATATTTGACACTAATAGTTATTTATGTCATTAGGTTAAGAAGTAAGGCTTTTTATGCTAAGCTCAAGGTTTGAAGGCCGACGCGTAGCGGAGGCCTACAATTGAGCGAAGCACAAAAAGGCCGAATGGCATACAACATTTTATCTTCAAAGCACTTTATATAGGTCAATTTAATTCAACATCAAAGCGGCCTAACCTCACTTTTTTAGAATCTCATTTATTTATTAGCTAAAGCTAAAGATAACATTAAATGTAAAATAATTATTATTGCTTTTAGAAGCCATAATAGTTTGACAATACCTGGCAACATGATTTAAGTAGAAATGGATTTTTGCTATTACATTGAATTCAATTAATTGTTTAATAAATAGGTAGGTATCTAATTTCAATTTGTTTGGATTTTTATTAAAAAAATAGGTAGTTTGGAATGTTTAAGCTGTGTTTAACATTTAATTTCACTGAAAACCTAAAGCAAATAAAAACTTAAAGATAATTTAAATCGTAGAAAAAGAATCGTGCGTTTTCTTGGTTGCCTAACCTCACTTTTTGTTTTATTATTCATATTTAATTTTACAATAATTTAATGAAAAATATTAAACATCAACAGTAAAACAAACTTAGTGCTTATTATAAATTTCTTAGAAAAGGATTAATTTGTCAAAACAATACCCCTAGCGAGAAAAAATCGAACTAATTACTTGCCTCATAAATTTTTTTTCGGCCTAGGCCATAACACGGTATTTCTTTATCGAATGTTGACAACAATAAAGTTTAAATTATAGACCGCGTGGAGATAAAATATATTAAATGAAGTATATCTTTTAAACTATACATTTTATTGCATTATTTCAAAGGAAATTGAATTTCCTACAATACACAAATTTTATTAAATTCGATATTCTCAATATGTTGCTTGGGAGTGAAAAAAATATGTTCCTTCAAAACGAAACACCCCAAAGTATATTTATAGAAGAGCGTTAAAAATTATTTAAATAAAGTGAAAAATATTTATTTTTGTAAAATGACCTTTTGGTTTTTGAAAATAGGTGGCAACCCTACTTCATGTACAGCTGTTAACCTTTATTGCCATTTTATATTTAAATGAGTTTTGCTACTTCTCTTTAAACAATCATCTATTTTAACCATTTACTCGTTTAAATCTTTCAATTGAAATTAAAATAGACGAATTCAGTCCCTACATGCATTTTACATATTCACATTTGTAACAGGTTTAAGCATGCGCTAATCGTTAAATTTTGATTTTGAAGAGCAAAATTTTTATAACTTTATATAATTAAAAAAACGAATACATATCGCCATAAGGCTCGAATCATAGTAATAATACGCATGTTTATTTATAAAGGAGTTTTAATGGCGATACTAATCCGTTTAGTTTTCATGCTTTGTTGTTGTAACTGTTTATAATGAATAATTTTTTGTAGCAAAGTTTATTAATGCTGGGATGGGAGTTAAAGCATATTAATATGTACATTTTTCTAGACCAAAACGAAAACATATCGCCATTCAACATGGACACTTACATATTATACACGGAAATTTAACATACGCATGCGTATGAGTTGTTTGTCGTTTAACTTACTCTGGATTAATAATAATAAACATAAAAGGGGGTCAAGCTGTTTTGCAGTTGTTTTTTGAATGTGTAAAGTGTTGGAGTGGCGATATAACTTCGTTTACATATAAATTGTGTTTAGAAAGTATTGAGCTTTTTGAATGGTGAAGCATTGTCTGTGTAATGAAGTGTATACCCAAAAGCCACAAAAAATTATAAGTGGTATAAACATAAAACTTTATTCACTTAATTATTATTTTATAACATATAAGCAAACAGACAACAAAACAACAGATGTTTTTTTTTTAACATTAAACAAAATTGACGATGATTTTTTTTTAAACTTTCTTCCTCCTCACCATTTTCATTTCTTTTAACAACTAGAAAAAGAAATGAGAGTCAGTACATGCAAAACTATGTTAAAACCGCTCTACGGATTCTAATTTGAAAAAAAAAATCAATCGTTAGGGTAGATAGGGTAGACAGAGAAGAGCACTCATGACAGTTAGTTAGAATGACGGCTAGATTAGTACCAGATGCAACCCTTTTGCTAAAAAATAATTACTCACGAAAGAATTTTGGGTATTTTTCTTGTGGGCACCGTCGTAACCAACTGGCCCCACAACAAGGTGCCAACTCCGAAGAACAAACACCAAAGCCACTGCTCGAGAGTCAAACTCTTCGTCGCGAACGCCATCTTACCATACTGAATGATGACCACCTGAAACGGAAGCAATCAAAAGACATCGGTCGACAAATGTTTTTTTTATCCGGATCTTATACCTGCGAGGCACACGTGCCGATCCAGATGGTGTAGAAGATGGGGTTGGTGAAAATTCCCTCGAAAACGTTCCTCTGTCCGTGGATTTTCCTGGCGTTGAACTCATTGAACAACGTCATCATAACGAACGAGTTAAAGATGACGGTGAAGTGCTGACTTGGTCCGTGAGAAATGTCTGTGCCTCTGCCATTCTCAATGTCCAACATTTTGTCACCTACGCACAACGATATGTTTACCAGAGTTACACATTATTAAAATAATGAGTAATGTGTTTAATTTTCATTATTCATGACTTCCCTTTTAATAAAAATTAAGTTAATTACTCATTACATTTTTTTAAATTCTTATTTACATTCAGAGCTGGGAGTATCTTGAAAAAAAAGATACTTAAAAGTAACTTAGATACTTTTTTTATTGGACAGAAAGTATCTTTAATTTAGTTACTTTGGAAAAGTATCTTTTGTAACTTGCATCTTAAAAAGTATACAAGTTACTCGGTAAAGTAACTAAGATACATTCAAGTAACTTAGATACTTTCTTAGAGAAAATTGGGGGAATTCCAGAATGATTCAAAGTAATTACCTAACCTACAACTTGTTGAATTTTTAAAATTTTATAGTTTTTATTCAAACTTAAAAGTAACTTAGTTACTCAAAAGTATCTTAGTTACATAAAAGTATCTTAGTTACTCAAAAGTATCTTAGATCTTAGATCTTTTATTAAATTTTTATGATTATCGAATTACTCATTTTTAGTGAGCAAGGAAGATATTTTTATTGCATGACACATTTTTTCAATTTTTGTTTTAAATTGTATTTTTTACCAGTTAACAGACGTTCAAAAATTAACATATTCGGACCATTATTAAAGAAATCAGCAGCAAAAAAAAACGCGATTGTTATGAAAATTTGGTATCTTTTAAACGAATAATCAAAAAAAATATCTGAATTTCAGCAGACTACAAGACCAGCAAGGATAGGTCCTAGCAGCATACTAACCAACCAAACCTCATTCATGAACCCCAAATTAATGGGGGCATTACTAAGTACTGATTGTACTTAGTTTTGGGTCAGTTCAATGTCACCCAAAAATCAAAATGTTTTCCCTCCTTGTCCCGTACTCTTCTAGCCTAAATCAGGCGTATGGCCCGGCCCGGCGACAAAATCATTTTTTACTGATTTAATGGGTAATATCTTTCGTTACACATTTTTTTTAATGTGTAATGTATTGTTCGAATTTTTTTTATGCGTAATGAAAATATGACGTTTGCATTATTTTTTACATAAACACCGACGATATTTTTACTTACCGACAAACAATAACGCGAAGATAACAGTCAATTGGTAGACTGCTTGTCCTAAAATATTTTTCATCATGGTACGGGAAATGAGGGGTTTAGTTCTACCATAGGGTTTTCTTAACAATAAATCACTAGTGGGAAGTTCGGTTGCTAGAGCTAGAGAAGCTAGTGTGTCCATAATCAAGTTTACCCACAACATTTGTACCGCCTGAAAATAAAAAAAAAAGTTAATTATTTGAACACAACGGATGATGATATTTTTACCTTCAGGGGGCTGTCTTGTACAGCGCAAGCACCGATAAATGCTACAACAACGGCAACAACGTTGACAGTAAGCTGGAACTGCAAAAACTTCGCTATACTGTCGTACACATTCCTTCCCCACATAACAGCCTTCACAATACTGCTGAAGTTGTCGTCTGTTAAAATAATATCCGACGCTTCTTTGGCCACATCCGTACCGGCAATACCCTAAAACAAAAACAAGCAATTATATGCGCAGTTATATTAGAAATATCTCCCTACACCAAAACAAAACACAAAGTGTCGTAAGTAGAAACGTTGATTTATTTATATCAACTGATTTAAGTTTGAACCAATTTGGCAACATAGCAAACTTTAAATGACAGTAAAGATTTGTAGGTTATCTTACATATACTTAAATATGTGTTTAATACATTTTTAAAATATACTATTAAATATACACTGACTAAACCTTATTATTGACAAAAACTTGGTTTGAAGAGGATTGCGGCAATATAAAACATACACAATTGGGTTATGTTCGCAGTTTGCAATGGGTTCTGGTATAAGTAAATTTCAAATAGAAGGTATGAAAAACGAAAATTACGGCTTAAAGCCTCTGAAAAGAACAAAGAAATTTTGTTGGAGTTTGTGGAAATTTTATTCAAGTGTTTGTTCTTGTAAAAGATTAATTAATTATATTATAGTTATAGGAATACTAGACCTGTTTCTAAAAGGCAATGCTCTTTTTCCTATTGTTTTTCAGGTACTAATAACACCTTTTTAGACATTTAGGCAAATGTTTTGAAAAATAAATGACAAGAATATAAAAATTAAGAAACAAACTCTAGAGGATTGTTAGTTAATACATAAATTATGGCTTCAGAATAAACTTTTTTAATCAAAAGCAGGGAGCTATGCTCAAAAATTGCATGTCCAGAAAAATTGTGCTAGAAAATGGGTGGGAGGTGGAGTCTCAAAACTTTTTGTAGCATGCATATAGTTTACCCTTGCCTGCCCCCAAAACAAAATCCTGGCTACACTCTTGCTGGAAATGGGGCAAGAATCCCTGCTTTTCTAAAAGGTTAAATTAAACCCAATGAAAAAAATTATGCTTGCCTTATACACTTAGTTTTTTAAATAATTTATATTGAACAATATTGGTCCATAAATTTTAAAAACTGTTATTTTAATAAAGGAGTTTATGACATTTTAATTGTTTAATGTCTAATTTAAAATGTCGATTTATAGAAATCGACTTTTTTATGGAAAATATAAACGTTGAAAGATAATTACCCAATTTATTTTATAAAACAACAGTTTTTAAAGAAAATTAATACAGTTATTTTTTTTTTATCTTGACTCGTGTTTTTTTGTTAGGTTGGTGGCTTATGCCGGTTTGTCTTAGTATTTTTAGTATTTAAAAATGGTACTTCTGCTAAAGAATTTTATTAAATACTTTGACACTGTCAAATTGACAATAATATTTATTATTGATAATTTAATTGTCAATTATAAATAAAAAGATTATTGTGCCAAAAATAATAGCAACGAATTCGAATGTAAAAGCCCTTTTGAGGGCAAAACTTCATTTTGATGAAATCATGCCAGATGCCACAATGGAAGAAAAAGTACATCGCCTTATGTTCATTTTTGGAGTAAAAAAGTAACGAATTTGGTTTTATAAATATTACATCACACATTATTTTCACATTAATCACCATTGGACAACATTTACGTTAAAAAAAAATTTCTTTTATATAAATTCTTTTCAAAGCGAAGATTATTATCCGCTAGGAATACGTTCTTTTCTGGGCCGTAAAGCAACCTATATTTAACTACTTTTTTTTATGTGATTTTACTCATCCAAACACCACCAAAGCCAAATTAATTGCATTTTTAACTACGAATTTCGACAACTCAACTTGACAACTGCACAATGTAACCTACAATAATTTATACATAACCGCAATTAGATTTATAGCTAGCTTAGTTTGTTTTAATCAATGCGACCAACTTGACAACTGTATTTACCAACCAAAACCCTGAATTTGCCGAAGTTCAGATAAAAAAAAATGAACTTTACGTTTGCCATGTTGATATGCTAAATCAGTTGATATAAATAAATCAACTCAGTTGGGGGATATTTCTAATATTGGTTTATATGCGCAGTGTGTTGGTTGCGCACGAGAGTGATATTTACCATGGCGAATCCGACGTCGGCTTTCTTCAAAGCAGGCCCGTCGTTGGTACCGTCACCGGTGACGGCCACCACCTCCCTGTTCTCGCTGACTTTGCTGTCGATGATGCCTTTGACCAAAGTGAACTTGTCGGTGGGCGATGAGCGCGCGAGCACGCGCAACTTGGGCCACACCTTGTCCAATAAATGCTGCTGCACTTCCCCGGTGCTGTCCCTGATCCTCCTGTTGAACTCCTTGCCTTCGAGGATGAGGAAGTCCTCGTTCGGCTTGACGATGCCGCACTTGGTGGCTATCGATCGGGCGGTGTTGACGTTGTCGCCGGTCACCATTCTGACGGTGATGCCGGCCTTCTGGCATCGCCTGATCGCGTCGGGCACCTCGGGACGCACGGGGTCCTCGATGCCGACCACGCAGAGGCAAGTCAGGTTGTTGACGATGTTCTCCTCGTCCTCCCAGTTCGGCTCGTTATCGATGTGCACCTGGTTGATTTCCGCCTTTCCCGGCACGAATTCCCTGTAAGCGACGCAAATCGTTCTCAAGCCGTCGCACGCCATCGGCTCGATCACCTGTTTCAGTAGGCGCTCCTGCATGTCTCGCGTGAACTTCTCCAAACGGCCGTCGTGACCGTAAATAAAGGCACACTTGTTTAAAATTATTTCTGAAGCACCTTTAGTGAATAGTCTGAAGCCGCCGCCCTGTCTCGGGATCACAGTACTCATGGACTTCCTCACAGAGTTGAACGTGTACACTCTGGTGAAACTTTCCTCGGGAAAATCGTCTCGGACTGTCTGATAGTTCTTTTGCAAGTTGATCACGAAACCTAACAGGGCGCACTCGGTCTTATTACCGACTTGCTTCATCTGATCGTTTGCGTCGTCACCAGGCTAAAAGAAATAACTTTCGTATTTTTTTGTTGCGCTGTGCTTGTTACGAACAAAAACACATCTTACCATAAGAAAGAATTGAACCTTCACCTCGCCGGACCAACTTCAAATACATCTTACATCTCGCCTATGTTAGCATACTTAAGCAGTATATAAGCTCAGGTAGTGTTTTGTTTTGCGTGTGCTCCACTACATCAAACTGCTGGACACTGATGAGACCCAAAATACTTTGTCGGTATTTGAAGTTGGTGGAACGCACTCGAAACAAAAACTCTGGCGAGGTGAAGGTTTACGAACAAAAACATATCTTACCATAAGAAAGAATTGAACCTTCACCTCGCCGGAGTTTTTGTTTCGAGTGCGTTCCACCAACTTTAAATACCGACAGACAGCTGTTTCGACCTACACTGGGTCTCATCAGTGTTGCCAACACAAAATCTATCTAGGAGGTAGGTATGATTTTAAAAGTTGGTAGTTTCCAACAAATCTTACTTTAAAAAGTTAGTAGATCTACCATCTATATTTTTCGAGTATTCTAGAGAAATCTAGCACACTAATGTAACCAATGATAAAGCAGAATTACAGAATTTTCTAAAAAGAAGTTTAAATTGCAAAATATCTCATCGGCTGCATACTCAATGTTATCAGGGTAAAAATATAAGAAAAAAAGTATAGATTTTTGTTATTTTATTCTTTAACAATTGTTAATTTTTAAAATACACATTTTGAATTTAGTAGGGGTGCTCAGCACTTTTGTTGATATATCAATGAAATATGATGTAAGAAGTCTTCAAATCTAATATTTTTCTCAGTTGTAAAAGAAAGCTGTGTTTCTTAACAGTGGACTAACAGTGTTTTACAGTAAGAAAAATCTTATTTTGACAGCTCTTCGGTACAGTAACCTGTAATTTACAGGTTACTTACAATCTCTCAAAGGGTAAAATGTAAAAAAACTACAAGGCATTATCATCATTTTCACGGAGATTTGATTAAAAAATTTAAAAAGTTGAAAAAGTAGATCTATCGAAAAGTTGGTAAAGTTGGCAACACTGGTCGGGAACTTTGTGTAGTGGAACACACCCAAAACAAAACACTACCTGAGCTTATATACTACTAAAGTAAGCTAACAGAGGCGAGATGTAAAAACATCTGTCGGTATTTGAAGTTGGTGGAACGCAGTCAAATTAAAAACTCTGGCGAATTGAAGGTTCAATTATTTCTTATGAATATTAGCAGCAGTCAAGAAAGTTTCTCGAAGAAACTAAGAAAATTTAATGTATATCCTACGATATTTTTTGAAACTTCCTGGACTGACATCATCTAAAATTGTTTAGTAACACGACAATTCAATTGCTAGTAGATCTGCAATCGTTATTCACTTGATAACGATTGCAGATCTACTAGCACAATTTTCAAAGTTTCAAAAAATATGAAAGCCAAATTTCAAAAACATCTTCTTACCATGATTCTCGACGTGTAGGCGCAGTTGACGGCGATACCTTGCAGAATCAGATTGCCAACTGTGCTGGGGATATCCGAAAATTTCGGCATCGTTTTGCAAAGTTGCTCGCAGATGTACGATTGCACGACGGTCATGCGATTGGTCGTCAACGTGCCGGTTTTGTCCGAACAGATTGCCGTGGCGTTGCCCATTGTTTCGCAAGCGTCCAAATGCCTGACTAAATTGTTGTCTTTCATCATTTTCTAAAAACCGCAAAAGAAAACACGTCAGTTTGGATTAACGCAGGTGCGACGGACGGCATACCTTGACACTGTAAGCCAGGGAGAGAGTGACAGCTAGCGGTAGACCTTCTGGAACAGCGACGACAAGTACCGTAACACCGATAATAAGATGTTTCACCAAGGTGTTGGCGTAAGAATTTTTCCACGGTTGTTTCTCGAAAACGAACGTTTTGATGCAAAAATGGATCATCAGAATGACGACGGTGACCACAGCAATGCTGGAGCCGGCGTAACCGATCTGAATTGCAAGCTTGGTGAGTTTGGCCTGCAGCACGGATTTTTCTTTCTTCGGCGGCTCAGGCGCTGTGCCAGATGATTGAACGTGATTTTCTTTGCCGTCTTGAGCTTCTTCGTGTTTGTTGACAACCGGCGCTGGCGAGTTCATGTGACTGTTGCCCGTCACGTTTTCGTCGTCACCTAAAGTTTTCGTTACATTAACGTGCCTCAAGATTCATTCTTCGGAAATTTACACCATTCCCATTGCTTTTTTTTTAAACAGGGAATAGCAGACTAACTTTGGTGACATGTTAAACAAATATTAGAAATATTCCCCAACACCAAAATAAAACACAGCACTTTGTGTTTTGTTTTGGTGTTGGGCAATATTTCCAATATTTGTTTACGGAATAGCAGAAAAATCAATGAAAATCAAAAAGATGGTCTTGAAAAAAATATTTTCATTATGCTACTCCTTTATTTCTGTTTACCGTGTATAAAAAACACCAGCTTTATTAACGAAAAAAATAAAGCAAATCGACATAAACATTATGCAATAATACCATGAAAATTATACTAAGCAATTTGGTGTCAATTTAATTAAAAATAATAATAATATATGCTTAAGTTTAAAACATGAAACATTAAAAACAAACAATAAAAACAGTGCAAATTTGTTTGGATCACACAAATTAGTACCTACAATACAAAAAAATAAACTGACTTGAAGCATGCATGTTAAAATACGACTTGTAGCAATCCCAAATAATTTATAACACGTAAAATAAATTTTGCAAAATTTGCGATTGCCGCAAGTATTCGTATGGTTTAATTAATTAATTAATTGTAATTATTTATGTTGATTTTATAATATAAGATAAAAAAAATTATTCACCTGTCAAACTTTTCTTCTTCCGCTGCTTTTTAGCTTCTGTACAAAACACATGCAAAAGGATAACATTAGCAAATCTCAAAACACTCCCAAAGTCCTGAGATGGGTAAAATATATAACAATAAATGGCGAAAATATACCCCCAATTTTTCAGACAAAAAAAAATAAAAAATAACATAACCCAAAAACGTAAAAACTTGATTTAATCATATTCTGTTTAAAATTAAACTATAAGGGTTTAATAATAATATTATTAAAAATGTCGTTTGAAATCTGGCGGATTTATTTAAGTTTTATTAATGTTGATTTATTATTAATTTGTTATTTTTATAGTACATTAATAGGACAAACATGTGATCCTAGGGTACATGCACATTTGTGGGGTAACATCGAAACATCTAAATAGTTAAAGTTAAAAAAAAGGAAAACAAAATAACTAAACAATTCTTTTGGAATACAAACCTTGTCTTGGTTTTTGCTTTTCTATATTTGCGCCATAAATTGTTGAGAAAGACGATTGGCCGAAAAGTATGTATAAGATAAGAGTTCATATGAAAATTGGCCAATAAGTAATATTTCGATTTTTATTTGTGTAATTTTTTTTAAATTAAATAACAATGTTTGAAGGAAATAAAAATCTAAATATTATATTAACTAATAAATAAATAAAATAAATTGGGTACACGTATTTTAAGGGTATACTGAATGCGAGGGGTCACCCACACCTGGGAATCCCTGGACATTTTAGAGGGGGAATACCATAGGAATATAATGGAAATACATAGGAATACAATAAAATATAATGGGTGGTTGACCCCTCGACTGAATGTTGAAAATTACCATGAAAAAATAAGTGTACCTGAAGTAGTTGCAAAAATAAATATGGCATTTAATTAAAGTTACATAATATAACCCGATAGAGAAGAAATAATCATTACGATCAAAAATTCGTTTAAAGGACTGTGCACTAACAGTGAAATGACATTTAAAATTCAAATGCAACTGTACGTACTTCGACAAAAATTATTGCTAAAGTACCTACAGAGATAGAGGGTTGGGGGGGGGGGGGTCACGTAACTCCAACACATGCCAATGGAGTGCGATTTAACGTACCTTTCTTCATCTTCTTGATCTCGGCCTCCTGTTGATCGACCGCAGCGCCCAGCAACGTGAAAATGATGCCGGCCTGCGAATTCACGCCGACGGCGGTCACCAGCATTTTTCCCGAACCCTCCATCACGTGCGTACCGGACAATATCATCGGATCGTAGTTCTCTCCCTTCTTAACGTGGTCCGATTCACCGGTTAACGATGATTCGTCCACCTAGAAAGGCACAGCGGTCAGCAGAGGCTCGATGCGCAGACGGAAACGTAACTCGGGATCGCGCCGCGCAGCGTTCTATTAAAGTCCTGCGTGGGTTTGCGAGAGCGGGGTAAAAATGATTTTAAATTTGTTTTAGACCGCCCGACGTTCTCAAATTTGTGATTTTGACATTCTAGCAGCGTTAGAAAAAATCATGATTTAAAAAAAAATGTTTTTTCAAAATTATAAGCTTTTTTTAATTAAGTGTACTATTAAAAAAAATACTAAAAGTAACTTGACTATAATATTATATTGGCACTACTTTATAAACAAATAAACCACCGTCGGCAACTGTCATATATTTTTTTGTATATTCCTTTAATATTTCATTTAACAAAAACAGTTTTTCTATGCATATGAATTTATTTAAATAGTATCAAAATATTATTGTGCTTTAGTTTTTGATCTTTGAAGTCTTTTTTTTAGATTTTAAAACTGATTAAAATCAAAAAAAATCACTTGATTTAAATCAGGCGAACCCTGCATTCTAATGATGTTTTTTAATGTTTTTAGCAAAATAAATCATGTCCATAAATAAAACTTGTGAGCTGCGCATTAAAAGACACAAATGAGCGTGGTTTTGCGCAGGAATTTTTACTGTAGTTAAACTTTGCTGAAATCTTTTAAACCATAATCATCGAGTTACTTTTGTCTCCGTTTTGATGAAATTTTTACAACATGGCAGAATGAGAGTAGGGTATTTTCTGTGTTATTAATTACCTTTAAGTCGTTGGATTGTATAAGCATACCATCGGCTGGTAAAAGGTCGCCGTACTTAATTTGGCAAATATCACCTACAACTATATCGCTGACCGAGATTTGTTTGACTTCTCCTTGCCGAATGACAGAGAATTTGTGTTCGCCCTCGATTCTATTTTGAAGACCCCTAAATTGCCTTTCTTTTGTATAATCATTAAACGCTGTTACAAATACAACTACAATAACGGAAATTAAAATGGCCAAACCCTCTATCCAACCATGACTCGTCTCATCGTCATCAAAAGCTGCAAAATAAAACATGGCTTAAGTTAACGCTTGCGCACCGAACGGCGATAAACTTACGTTGATCCTCTTGAGGCGGTTGGTAAAACGAAAGACCTAAAGACACTATGGCTGCTACTTCTAAAATTATAAGGGTAATATCTTGTAAAGCTTCCCATACTAACTGCATAAAAGTTTTCGGAGGCTTGGGAGGTATCGAATTCGAACCAAATGTTTCTCTTCTATGATCTAAATCTACTCGTGAACCACTCAGACCTAACAAACAAACAAAACATTACCTATACGTCAGTTTTATTAATTAACTGTAATTGCATAGATTTTTGTTCACAGTTCTGTTCAAAGTGATAAACCTCCAAATTTGAGCCTTTGACCCTTTTGGCCAATATCCAATCATAATATCTCTTTATTTTTGCGTTTTATGGCCAAACTAAAATTGCTTTACTGTGTAATTAAAAATGTACTAATGCGATTTTCTATTTGGAGAAGTATTTACTTAACATTAATAATAATATGACATGAACACGAGGATTATAATATAATTCGCAGATTAAATCAATGTGTATAAAATTCAATTTAAAACAATTTCAAAATAAAAATTGGTCTGTAAATCTCGAGAACCATACAATTTTTGTTTTTAAACATACCTTCACTGGGTGATGTGTATAATTTTTTACATATTTCTTGTACCCCTCCTAGGTCTTGTACTTTTGTGATTCCTTCGCGACCTCGATGTTCCATGAGGTCGCGCAATTGTTTCAAGGATATTCCATATTTCGAAGGACGGCCGTCTACTGTAGCCATTTCTTATATCGTAATCTGTAAAAAAAAATCAACGAATTAAAATTTGAAATTAATTTAAAACAAATTGTGCAATCAATTTATTATTTAAAACAATTCCCAAAGTAAACAACTATCAATATAAAACTATGTAAAATTTTGAAATTAGCCTGAAAAAATAACAAAAGCCAATTTTAGTATGCAAATAACCACAATTTGAACAAAAGTGTTTTTTAATGACTCAAATACATAAAAATCCAATTAAAAAACTGGATATCCATTTAATATTTTATACAGTTTTAACATTAGGTCATTCTTTTTTAAAAAATTAGGTACAGCATTTAGTGATTACTAAACAAATGAGTTGAATTATTTAAAAAGGTTGTGATAAATTAGCATTACTTTAAAATTAAAAATAACAAGGTCTACACAAATAGTAAATTATATTAGAAGTGAAAAAAATAGCCATTTTTCTTAAAATTGACTTTATATAGAAAATGATCTCTATAATAAACAAATCATTGCACCTAGCCGTGGATAATGCTGTGCTCTTATTGGTGTATTACTTTTTATAAAAATTTTAAGAAACACCCCTATAGGGGTATACTTCATAATTAAAAGTTTATATTTTTACCCAAGTTCTGTTTCGTCTAAGACTTCTCGCTAAAAATTGTTATTGTAGTTAAAATGTCAAAGGTAAATAAAGTTATAATTATAATGTTAGACTCACATTAACAAACCTATGCACCAAAATAGTACACGTTTGTACTGTATACATACATTTTTTTTATCTTATAAGACATTGAAACCCAATATTTTCAGTTCATAATTCTAATCAGTTAATATGAATCACGTATAGGCGCCTGAATGGTTACCTCATAAATAATTAGCATTATTAAAGCTATAGGCGTTTAACTTTGAATTTCTTTAGGGCACGAAACATAACCTCAATTATCGCCTATACGTTCGGTGAAGGAATTTGTACACCTAAATCACGCAAATTATTAGACTTGTTCATAAACATTACCCAGAGCGTCTATCAGTATTATTTAATTCATAACTAGCACTATAATTACAAGAATTCACTGAAAACTAACTGTCACAGAATAAAAAACTGGTTTCACATAAATGTGTCAGATGAGCTTGTAGGCGCGCAACGTTGCCATGTGTATTTTTAATCACACAACGATCACATAGGGATTAAGCTGAAAGGATTTATGCTTTTGTGTATTGCTTATATAGTCAATATTTACTGATAATAAATATTAATAAATAAATATTTTAACGAAGAATTGATTTGTTTATTAATAGGTCGGTAAAACAGGGTGTCGTTCGTCGACTATTTGAAAAAGTTGACAGTCGAAAAACAATTTTAGAATAAGTGCAAGAAAATGTTGTTTAAAAGTGTAAAAATAAAGAAAAATTCAATGAAAATTAAAAGCTGGCGCGTCTGGGTAAGCTTTAAATGATTTCATATAACTTTTTTAATAAAAACACAGTTTTTTCATGAAGTTAGATTTAAAAGTTTTGATGAAGAGCTTATTAGGTACATAGATTTATTTGAGTGCATTTAGTTTTTTATCGTGAAATAAAAAGCGTGTTTCTTGAAATTTGCGACCTTACTTTCTATGAAAATGATCTCCATAGAAAGCAATAAACCAATCAGAGCACTGTATTCTCCACCGCTTGATTTGCTGTTTTCTATAGAAAATAATCTCTATAGAAAGCAATAAACCAATCAGAGCATGGCATTCTCCACAGCACAATCAAAATAAGTTTATTTATGTGATAAAAAAGTATAAATGTAAAATTTAATATTTGCGATTTAACTTTCTATAGAAAGTGATCTATAAGAAAAGCAATAAACCAATCAGAATAGCATAATAAAATATATTTTATATCTACAATAGCAAAGGAATTGCTTTTTGATATTTTCTACTTTCGCTTTAACCGGATATAACACCTACACCCTTATATTTAATAGATTTGCTATTATTCGCCTCGTTTGACAAAATTTTTTCCTCAATTAAGTACTGATGTTTAAAAATCACATCAAATGTGGAGGTACTATTATTTCATATACAGGGGTTCTCTGTTAAACACACCTCATTGTAATTTTGAACACATCTTTAGGCATTATTTTTTTTCTAAAAACTACTGTGTGGGCAGTATTATAGGTATTTTGGCTACGCTTGAAAATATTGTTTTGAATTTTGGTGCCAAATATTTTCATTTTTGTGATGTCATAAAACAATAAAGTCTGGGGTTAACCCAGACCCTAATTAGTCATTTAGCGAGGGGAAAATCTTAATTAATTTTTACCAGGTAGGTGTGTAATTAAAATTTCTATTTATACTTTGCATTCTTGTGCACATGCTCGAAAGCAAGGTTGCCAGTTTAAGTGATGTTTAACCTTTCAATCAGTCAGTGTGATTTGACTACAAATTTTTTAATTTTATATAGAAATAGCATCAACCATTACAGGTTATTAGCGACGTCCCACAATACATATCATTGAGGTTAAACTGACTGACAGATAACCTCAATTATGTATATGTATTTAAATGTCAAAGTAGGTTTTTTATGTCGAGCATAGTATATGGTATTTAAAATACCGTATTTTGGGCATTTACTTATTAAAAATAAATATTATTTAGTAGATCCTACCCAATAATTTAGTAATAATAATTTAAAAATATCTTGCTTATATATTGATTAAAGAATGTTGGTTTAGTGCCATATTTCGGGGTTATTGTAAATTATAAACAATTTATATATTTAAACGAAATAAAAGTATTTAAGGTATGTCTTTGATATAAATAAATTACCTGAGCAATAATAGATTAGATGTTTGGTTTATTTATAGAAGCTTATATAATTTAGCAATTATTTTTAAACGAAATACAGGTCGATTCAAAAATACTTTTATCAAAAGTTGTGTAATAAAAATTGCCCCTGTATAATTTGCAGTCATATTATTTATAGTGGTTGTAAAAAGGTACTTAATTTAATTATAGCCAATATTGAATAAAATCATAATGACCTTGTTAGCAGTATTTATTTATAGAACATTTTATCATATATAAATTTAAAAAATTCTATGAAATAATTAACAAAGCAATTTTTATTAAAATTTAACGTTTATTCGTACATACTCTATTATTAAAGCAATGTTATTATTATAATGCCTGAATCAACTAAAGGTTGAGAAAATTTAATATAATATCGCAAATAGTCAAGTAGGTATTTAAAAACAATGCTTTGGCCTAGTTTTTGAATTCACCTTCTACATATGACATAACTGTTTAGAAATGTGTACCCATATATGAAAATAATACCGTTGGAAAATGTTTTCACTAAAGGTACATGCAGTTTTAAAAAATACAAAACTAAAATAATGAAAGCGTAAAATATTTTTTTTTAATAAATATTTTGCTTTAATTGCAAAAATATTTATTTAATCTTCTATATTTTTATTATTCGTTAAATTCATTAAAAATGTTTGTTGTATATTTTTATTTTATTTATATTTATTTTAAAAAAATACAGAAATAAATTCGTAGCAGGTTTTTGAATAAACATTTAATTTTTATAAAATGTGTAAAAAAACTTACAACCGGGTTATCAATTTAAACGATTAAAATAATCTTGTTTTTTAATTTGGGGACGTCGCTTTTTTAGATTAAAGTTTAATCATTAAACTTGTGTATTTATAATTTATTGATAATGTAATGATTATTGTCAGGCGTGAGTCATTGATTCCCAGAAATTATTTTGAAGAAAATGGGAATAATCGCTTATAACACGTCATTGTATTATTAAAGTTTTTTGATCTTATTTTTGCCGATAACACAAAATTTGTTGTCATAAGTCTTAATGCTGATAAAAAGAGCAAAATAGGTTGTGGTTTGGAGTGTCACGTATTTAGTTATAAAGGGGTTATTTGCCCGTTTAAGGGCGAATCAATACAATACAAATGTTTTCGGTGCGAAAAAAATCAACAATGGCTAAATAATTAACTTTCATTATTGATTTGTTTAAATTTTTTCGAGCGGTAAGTTTTGAAAAGTTGGAGGTTAAGGAATCGGTTTAAATTAAGAAAGCAGTAAATACATCCGGGCAAAATTACTCTAATTTCTATAAATAAAAGTAGTGTAGACTGAATATTTATATAATAATTCAGACTGCGGTGGTGGGAGTTGCAACTTTAAATTTGAAAATTTAGCGCTTCAAAAATTTTTTTTTCGCGGAATAAATTTTTAACAAGACTCACCTTATATTTAGTGTAATAGAATCCTTAAAATCATAACTAATATCACAGATAAAATTAGTAGTCTTTGATAGATAGATACTATGAGTAGAAACTATAGATGTCACTAGCTTAATTTATCTGTCCGATTTAACATGGTACAATAAAATTGAACTCGCGTAACGAGACTCTCCCTTTGCTGACAGATCAAATGTTCGCGGAGCCTGCACTAACTCGGCTTTAACCAACCCGTTACCGACAATATAAAATGATTGAAGGACTTGGCGCAACTTGCCTCTACACTGAAACCGATGAAACCGCCTCTCTCGTCATGCGCACCAACTTCCACGAATTTACTTAAAGCTCAAAACCATCAAAACTGTTTTAACTCGACCGCTGCTTCAACATTTACCAAAATTTCACTTTCAATTGTTCATATTTAATTTTAAAACAATTACCCATCATCCGCGATCCCTCTCTCTCTCTCTAATCCACAAATATTTTTTCTTACCAAAAATTATATAAAATTTCAAACGATAATTTTTAGTGGGGCAACGATTAGGACTGCAGAAAACGTTCTTAAAGATATGCTTGTATGTTTGCCACTTTCTATAGAAAGCAATACACCAATCAGAGCACCTGCTTTCTATAAAAATCATTTTCTATGGAAAGTTAAGTCGCAATTGCAAATTAATTTTCCCAATGAAATAACATAGGAAATTAAGGATTCTATAGCCATGGCGGTATTAGTAATCATATTATATAGTAAATTAATTCATCAGTGGTTTCACTTAATCAAATTAATAATTAATTATTACGAATAGCATAAAACCGTTGATTCGCTGAACGATAAAACCTAGTTTTTATTTTCTAACATTAACTGGGTCAAAATATGCATTAAGGGTGCGGTATGATAACATAGACCTAATAAAATGTCTAATAGTGTCTATTTTTAAATATCCTGCACGGGAATATTAATATTTAGTTAGTTATTTCTGGTTTTATTTAATGTGTAATTTAAATGGTATTTTTTCATTTTTTAAGTACATAAATCTAGAAAAAAATCAAGATAAAATAAAAATGCGTCAATACAGCAACCACTCAAAATATTATTATAGATTATATGCTTAGTCTGTATTACATGTACCTAATAGATTTTTTATTTGCTCATGCCGATAGATATAATTTTACAGTACTTTTCAACGTTTTAACCCAGATTTTTTCTGTATAGGAAGAGGATCTGACGCATTCTCTTTAGCTTACGATTTACAAATGAGACTGTTCTCTTTTCAAACATTCGCTAAATGGAACATTGTTTATCAATTAGTTGACATTGTTTTTCGCCGAAAAATACATTTCTAATGTAGATCAAATTACATAGGTCGGCAATAAATTTCTTGTAAAATATTTTTTCTACTCCCGCCCTTTATAGTACATGTTTCCATGACCTTTTAAATACACATTGACAAGTTGTGGCTTTATGGCGCTTTAGCCACAGGCTGAAGTTAGCAAAAGGTTTTTAGTCACGGGCTGAAGTTAGTTTTAAGTTAGTTGACAGTTGTAAAATGTCATACAATCGTTAAAATAAATTGCCTTTCTTGTAGAATAATTAAATTTGAAAATTATTTTATTATCTCAATACAAAAATACAAAAGTATTAAATAGTTTCTCAACGCCAATATTTGAAAAGTTCATATGAACATTGTACTGACCTTTTAATTTCGCCGGCAGTAAACTATAACTTAAATTCGGGCACGGACTCCACTGTAAAGTGCTCATAAAACATTTTCTTTACTTTCACTGTGAAAAACTGTCAATTTTCAAGAAATACATTTTGATTTATAACCTTTATAATTGTGTTTATAAAATATAAAAATTTGACATTTGACGGTGACACAGATTCCCCTATTGTTTCATAGATGTCGCTCTATACAAATTTTTGATTTAAATCATTTTAAGATAATAATAAGTATTTGTCGTAGAAAAAGTATAGTATGCACCTCGTTTATAAATATTCTAAATTAAATTTGTGTATAAAATGGTGTTTATCAAACTTGATACATAATATACTATTATCGTTTACCTAATAATTACATTGAGTGAAATAGTTATTTTTATCAAATTCATAATTATTTTACAACCTTATTTAATTAGATTATAATAACTAAATATAATATAATAAATGACGAAATTTTGAATAATAAAACAAATGGGTGATAAAATTAATGTAAAACAATTTGTTTTTATAAGAATTAACAAATACGTAACAAATTAAATTACACTTCTTAGCCAGATTAAATAATTTTGAAGGATTTAAACTAATTTGTGCAAATAAATGTTGTAGACACACATAAACAAATATACTATAAAGTTCAGTATAGAAAAATAATCGATTTTTCCACAGTACTTCAAAGTATCTTATTTATTTAAAGATATGTTTGCTTTGGGAACATTAAGATCACATTTACACTATCTTTCTATGAAATTGATTTTATTATTATTTAAAACACTGTAAATAATGTCATGCTTTGATTGGTTTATTACTTTCCCTATGACCTTTGACCCTTGACCCTTAACCTTACACTGTCCCTATATCATAGCTGATGCACTAATTCCTAAGTCGTCTCGTAAACAATAAATGCAAAATGCAAAAGTATGTTATATATATGTAAATTAATATCATCAACACTTCAGTATCCATATATTATATGCTTCAAAGTTATATCCATGTATTCTATGCTCTAAGATACTTAACCTTAGACTACATAAAACATGGATGTACTAATACATTTATAACTCATCGATCGACAAAAAATTAATTTTAAATGAAGTGGGACAAAAGTTTGAAGGAATAGCTGATTAAGTTTGAAATTTCATAGTCTTGTTCTATTTAACACACGAACCGAGTTTAAATAGTAGACAAAAGTTACAGATATTTTGGACTCGTGCCACGAAATTCGGAAATCTTTTTTCATTCACCGCTCAAACTTGTGCGATCTGGACAAAAACCCGAACAGCTATTTTTACAATTTATATTTCAACTCGACGTATTGTGAAAGGAAAAAAATGCAAGAAATATATTATTGTCTAGACTTTTATTTGTAATTTTTGCCGGATTCCGTTGGATATATGTGGACCTTATTTTTATTATCCAGCCCTAGTTTGTATCCGAAGTAAAAACATATATAAGACGTTTAATATTTAATATTAATATATTTTCCTGAATGGTGTAAAATTGACATTATTCCGTATTATTTTAAAGCAAAAATTGCTGACTTATCATTTGGGCCAAACATTAACCTGGTTTAAAAATCTAGTACCACTAATTTACACAACTCAAAAGCCCAGAGAAGCTCATTAAAACAGCTCGTAAACTTAAATTAGGCATTGGGTACTTCAGAGCTTTCAATAAAATATATTTCACATTCTAAATACGAATTAAACCTGTCGTAACTATAAATTTAAATTTAATTTTACGACCGAAAAAATTTAGAAGTCTTTTAGTGAACGTGCACACATAATTATTTTTTAATCGTGTCACTTTAACCCAGCTTTACTAGCGCTGCTATACAGCGAATAAAAATATACGCAGGTACGTCATTTCGGACACGTCAACGGTTGCAAAATTAATTAGTCTCTTGCCAAAATTATTTTATTGTTTGGATACGGGGGAGTGCAAAAAAAAACACTATTCGAAATGTTATATTAAATATGATAGTCTAGGAAACAAAGGTTGTAGAAACTTGATGGTCGGGTTTTATTTTTTTTATGTAGAGTCAGGGGTGCTGATAATGAATCAAGAATATTCCCCAAAAATTTCCTTCCGCGTCCCCTAATTTCATCCCCTGAAAGGGAAGTTTTTTGCTTTTTGCGTCATAACTCGCTAACCCTGCTTTTTTCAGAATTTGACCTCTAATACTTTTGATTATGTACTAAATAAGGCACACGTTAAACCCCATTGCGCACCTATATGATGTGCCCTTTTGCTATGCGCAGTGTGCAAAGTTGAGCGTTGCTTTCAAAATCACTTTTTTTGTTTTTTTTTATTATAGCCCAATTTTAAAAGTAATCGATCCCAAACCTTACGCTAATCAAACATAACCGAATGGACGATTTTTTGAGGCACTAGACTTTTTTCAAAAGTTACTGCTTTTCAATGCGCAGGGGGTTCTTTTAAAAAAAAACCCATGATATATTTTCTAAATACCTCATGTATTATTATAATATTATATAAAAATATTAGAGATATAGAATTTTAAATTATTTATATACATATGTATATATGCTTACTAGGGTATTTTTCAGTGTCGAAGGTAAAAAAAATATATTTTTTTGAATTACCCTAATTAAGAAATTAGTAAAATTAGTTTTAATTAACCCCGGCGCATCCGCCATTTTTGAAAGTTTTTTAACACCTAAATGGATTTTGACGAAATTTATAAAAAATTGAGTTTAACGCTATTCGGAACTCTACTAAGCAAAATCAATTGGTTTAGTGTTTTTAGCAACTATATATTAGCAAACATATAAAATTTTAAATTTAACCCTGTCAAAAAAATTAAACTTTCCCCAACAGTACAGAAAAGTCCCACTTGCAATAATATTCACTACTTATTGCTATTTAAATACCTCAGAGTAAAATAATATCCTCCTTTTTTTATATAGTTGAGAATATATTCCAAATATTACAGAAAAACCCCATTGGTGGTAATATTTAAAAATACAAGTGGTTAAAATAACCCCTTAAGTTTGTCCCTTAATTTTGATCCTCTAGGTCACGTCTCCTGGGTCACAGCGGCATTTATATATTTGGTAACGGTTTTTAGTAGGAAATAGTGTTTTGAACTATCTTGAAGCCACAACACGTTTTTTTGTATTTTTTATACCAGCGTGCCAAAACTGTGCATTCTGCTGTGTCTCAGTAATAAAAATTAGTAAAGGTATCAGTTGGACTTTGATTCTCAAAGTAAGTATCCTAGTAAAGGTTTTAAGGGCAAAAATACAATTTTTTATCTTTAAAACAGTAAAGATGTTCTAAAAACATACATGTGACCCAGGGGACAATTCCAAGGAAATAAATTATAACATATTTTTGAAATGGTATACGAGGTGTGTTCAGAAAATATCGGGAATTTTCGTTTTTTGAAAAAAATATTTATTTATTCGTCTACATTAATGTTGTCGCCTTCAAAATAGTCCCCATTGGATATTATGCACATGTGCCAGCTCTTCTTTCAATACTCGAAACACTTCTAAAACTCGATCTTTGGGATAGCCTTTAGTTCTTTCAGCGATGCGCTTTTAATGTCATCTATGCTTGCAAAACG